TTCTCCACACTTTTGGCAAAGAACGACAAAAGGAAACAAGACGCACACTTGCCTTGAAAAAACAAATGGAGCATCAAGCACCCAGCTACAATGATGCTGACAATGAGCATCACCATCTCTCCCTGCATTATTTTAGGCTCCTAAAAGTGCGTGCCAGCGAAGTGCATTTTCTTAAGCGCACAACAAAAGCATTATTCCTAGAACTTTGTACTATCATTAAGACTACAAGGCTGGCAGTGTTTCGGCTTTTCAACACAATGGCTTGGATTTCTATTTTGAATTCCTCTTCTCAGTCTGCATCAGAAAAGACACTTTTAGCTATTTGCCCATTGCAATTTGAACTGGACTGCTCACAAACATCACAAGCTTTTAAAACTGCAAACATCCACTCTGGGAAGAAAAGAAGGATACTAACTGATTTTTCTGTATTCTGCTTGTTTATAATATATACCTATAGAAGAACTATTTTATCCAACACAAAACCCTTGAATCCAATGATTTCTGCTTTTTATGAGCTGTGCATTGGTGTAACAAAAACTCAATCACATTGTTTTACAAAATAAGCCTGTCTTGAATTACATTCATACTATGTTATCTGATCCAAAAATACCAAACTGCACACTGATTGCCTATTGTGCTTCAATAACCATTTCGCTGTATTGTTTAGCTGTGCCAAAATGATTTTCACAATAAAAACTACACAAAAACCCCACAAAAGAATAAAATGCTAAAACGTTGTAAAGATTTAACAAAAGAGGGCAATTCTACCAAGGTTACAACCTTTAATTATATAATTTCAAACAAATTCAAGTAGCAATTACACCCTCCCTGTATAGCTCCACTCAGATTTTAGAATTAAACAATACAATACAAATACAAGCCATTTGTAGCACAAAACTAAAAATCTTTAAAATACGTTCACTTGGTTGACCCATTCCCATTAAAATATCGGAACACATACGCATTCTAAACTTTAACTAGGATTTCAAGAATTATCACTTTTAAGATTTTCCTCTGAAATGTGTGAGAAGCATTTCAAACAACCATTCACACTTAAAGGTGCATGAGGATTTTGAAAAGAAAGATGAAAGTCCAAGTCACTTCTGATACCTGCCTATTCACCATAATGTACTCTCCCTTCTGAATTAAAAATAAAATAAAAAAAGGAAATACCCACAGATCACAATTCACAAAGCACATTGTTCTCTTTCTCACCAACCAAACAAAAGCGCAAGGGAGCCAAGCGAAAGCAGTACTACACTTCAGGGGGTATCAGAAAGAAGGTGCACAAGGATAAAAGGAGCTACAACAGCAAATGATCATTGGAGTGTGCAGAAGATGGATCTGCCCCCCCCCCAGTGAAGCAGGAGACAGCTCACCAAGAGGATATCGGGAAGGTGCTGCCATGCACATTCTAAGAAATATGTTGTGTGAATAGCCACAGAAAGCAGTAGCGCACACACACTGAACAAAGTGATGGTAAAGAGTGTCTGTAAAATTCATGGTAGGGAGAAGAGCTCACAAAGGCTACAGCACAGTCACGGGCCCCAGATTCAGTCTCTATCCAGTTAAAAGGATCTCAACTTCAGGGGAAAAACCTCTGCCCAAGACACTGAAGAGCCTGTCCTGGGCTAGATATATAAAAAATTGAATGACTGGTCTAAGAATGTTTCAAATCTAGGTCAAGGGGCAGTTGGGAGGGGAAGAGGTCATATTGGGTTCAAAGAGGAAAGAAGAGTTTGGAGAGAGAAGTCCTCCTCTGCCTCCTGCCACATTCAGCCGAACAGGATGTGGAATGGTGAGAATATTGATCTATCTCACACAACAGGGAGCACGCACAGCCAGTGGGTGTGGGAAGCATCACTTGGGGACAAGAAGAAAGTTGACAGGAAGAAAATGCTTGCATGGAGGCCAACCAAGGAATCCATCCCAACGCATTTGCCAAATGAGTTTATGGCTAAAGGGGCAACGAAGAGAAGAGAGACAGGTGGAAGGAAATACATAAGACCAAGGGAGAGGTTTAAGAAGATCTAACAGTGAAAAATTGGGGGGGGCAGACATGGGTAAAGAAAACCTTAAAATAATTACAATGGAGGAAAATAGGAAGCATTTAGTAAGGAGAAAGACCCAGGTATCTGTAAAAGAAAAGGCACCCAAATTGCACTAAGATATGATACAGAGGGACAGGGATAGCTCAGTCCGTAGGGAATGAGACTCTTAAACACAGGGTTGTGGGTTGGAGAACCCCACATTGGGCAAAAGATTCCTGCATTTCAGGGGGTTGGACTAGATGACCCTCGCGGTCTACTTTGCCATTCTATGAAGTTAATCAAGGAGTTGAGGGTGGGGTTGCTGAGCAAAAACCATGGAAGGGTAAGGGGTGGGACAAAAACCCAAGGGACTGGGTGAGAGAAGGACAAAGAAATATATGCATAAGAAACTGAAGTCAGAAAAAGAACCCAAAAAAGAAAAAATAGGTGCCAGGGGGACTTCTAGCTGACCACAAGGGGAAGACCACAACAAAGGGGAGGGGGTCCAAGATGTAAGGCTGCAAGGCTGCCTTGGAGGGAGTCTCACTGACCAACTCTAGGGGGATCTATAGAAAGAAGACAACCCATAAGGGGCACAGCACCAAGAGGCGAAGGGGGAAAGCCAAGGGAAAGGAGATGGGAGAAAAGCCCTGAGGATGTGGGGACGCTGCTGCTGCGGTGTGTGCTCAACTTATGTGCAAGAGGGGAGAAGCCTCCCAAGAGGACGGAGGTGGGAGGAGCCCCCAAGCTGCCTTGGGGGGAATAGATGGGGGGTGAGAAGAAGGCGACTCAGGAGGGATAGCACTAAGGGGTCTGTACTAGGAACTGGGTAGGGGGGGGAGAGCCTGGGGGTTCAACAATGAGCGGGCGGAGGGGCGAAAAGGAGAAAGCCCTGAAGGGTATCTGGTGGAAAATGAGGGAGGGGAGAGATAGAAGACATGTTGGAGGGGGGGGGGGTAAGACATATGGGGGGGGAGAAGAGATGAGTAGGCCACATGTGCGGGTGTGGGTGTTTTCACAATGGGACTCCCACCCACCTACTCGGAGGCAAGGAGAAATGTTGGCCTGTCTGGGGAGGGAGGGAGGGGGGCGCCGACACCCCCGCGCCGCCCCTCTTCCTTTCTCCCCTTTCTCCTTCTCTCACTCCACACGCCCCCCCCCCTTAAAAAATAAATAAATCTCGAGACAAAAACAAAGCCGCCTCCTCCTCCTCCCTGCGGCTCAGCCTCGCTCACCATTTGCGCACTTTCTCGATGGCCGCCATCACCCGCTTGATATCATCCTTGGCGCGGCTGCGGGTCTCGGCCCGCACCGACCGGCCCGACATGCTGCCGCCGCCGCCGCCGCCGCGAGGGAGAGCCCGGACTCCGGCTGGCTGGCTGGCTGGCTGGCGCGCTCCCTCCCTCCCTCCCTCCCGCGCTCGCTCGCTCGCTCCCTCTCGCACTGCTGGGCCCGCACCGGCAGCGGAGGCTGGGAGCGGGAGGCGGAGGCGGAGGCGGAGGCAGCTCCGTCCTCGCTCGGCTCGCTCCGCGGCAGCGCCCCCGCACGCACGCACGCACGACGGAGGCGCCTTGGCTGGGCTCCGCCCCGGAGGGAGGGAGGGAGGGAGGAGGAGGCGAGCCGAGCGGGGCACTGCGCAGGCGCCAACTCGGCGGACGCGCGCCCTTAGCTCCACCCCCAAGGCGAGGGGGGCGGGAACGCGGCGGGGGCGGGGGGAGGGGCGTTCCCGCGCTTTTGTCCTCTGAGGGAAGCGGCGCTGCGCCGCAGTTTGGCGTGAGGCGAGCGCTCTTGGCCGGACGCGGCGATGCCTGCGCTTTCCTCTGGGGCAGGCATAGGCAAACTCGGCCCTCCAGATGTTTTGGGACTACAACTCCCATCATCCCTGAATACTGGTCCTGTTAGCTAGGGATGATGGGAGTTGTAGTCCCAAAACATCTGGAGGGCTGCGTTTGCCTATGCCTGCGCTTGGGGGTTTCCTCCCGCCCCCCACCCCTTTGTGTGCCACCTGGCTATTTCCAGCTGGATGAGTTTACCTCAGCAATTTATTTATTTCCTTCATAAAATTTATACACAGCTATTGTAAAACAAACACAAACACGGAGGGTCTCGAAGCGGGTTCACGAGAAGGGGCTGCTTTATGTGGTGCCTGTTTTGCTTTTAAATGCACTTTGCATTGTCCCTGTACCCTACTGAATTTTTTGTTTTTCACTCACAGTTTCTTGTTATATACATCATCGCCTTAAGATTGTTGTACGGAAGGTAGCTGATGAACGAACTAAATAATGCATAGATCTGGGAGATTTGTGCTGTATAGAAACTGCTTGTCAAGTCAGTTTAATAAGTATGCAGATTAACTGTGTCCTTTGAGGCAGTGGTGCAGCGTGGTTTTGCCAGGGCCAGGCAAGTATTTTGCACCCGCTAACCCAGGCTCATTCATGGTTCCTTGTCATCCTGGGGAAAGGTGACCAGTGGGATGCCGCAGGGTTCTGTCCTGGGCCCGTTGTTGTTCTACATCTTTGTAAATGACTTGGATGAAGGACCTGAAGGTGTGCTAATCAATTTTGCAGATGATGCCAAGCTTGGGGTGCATAGCTAATGCCTTAGACAGAATCCAAAATGACCCAGATTGGAGGACTGGACCCAAAGTAACAAAATGAATTTCATGAGGGACAAATGTAGGGTTTCTGCACTTAGGCAGGAAGAACCAGATGCACAAATATAGGGCAAAGGACACCTGGCTTACTAGCAGTGCACGTGAAAGGGACCAAGGGGTCTTGGTGGACCACAATCTTAACATGAGTCAAGCGCGTGATGCAGCTAGGTGTTCCCTTACCACCTCTTTTCCTATCATGGACTGCAGATCCCTCCTTACCATCATTTATTCTGTTATCACCAGAAAAAATCCTTCATCTTCCATGACCCTGGCTCTGATAATTTTTATTTCAAAAGAAAATACAATTTCTAAAATGATGCAAAAAATTAATAATTTTTTAATGCAGCTACAGCAATGTGTTTTCTTTTTAAGGCTTAAGAACAATCAGCGGCCATTAAGATTTAATGATCAGAGTGCTGCTCCCAGATTCAGGTTCATTTGTGGTCTTTGTTGTTTCCGTCTCTGTCCGTCTTGGCTCAGGAATTGGTAAGTCAAGAATGTCTGTTATGAAGTGTGTGGCTGTGATTTCCTCTGGAATTTCTTCCTCAATAAAGGCATCTGCACCTGAAAGGCGAGAGGCATTGAAATGGATGTTAGGATTCAGGACAACGGAGATAATGATGTTGCATCTGCACCCGGCTCTCCCCTCAACAGCTTACACTAGGCTGCATAGACATCATTCATTCTGCTGATGTTTTCACAGTAAGTGAACCCCAGGGGCGTACAAAGTGGGGGGGCGGGGGGGTGACAAGATGACCCCTGCCTCCCCCCAGCTATAGAGCGGTCATACGGACTGTGCATGTGCAGCAACCGTACGGGATGCCGCACATGCGCATTCTGTACGGGATGCCGCACATGTGCACTCTGTACGGGATCCCGCACATATGCACTCAGTACGGAATGCCGCACATGCACAGTCCGTATGGGACGCCGCATATGCACAGTCCGTACGGGACGCCGCACATGCACAGTCCGTACGGGCTGCCGCTTGCACATATGTCTGTACGGGCTGCTGCACATGCGCACTCCATACAGTTGCCGTGCAAGCGGCAGCCTGTATGGACTGCACATGTGCGGCAGCCTATACAACCCATACAGCACGAGCAGCAGCCCATAAGGAGTGCGGCATTCCATACGAAATGCACATGTGCGGCATTCTGTATGGCATGCGCATGTGCAGGATGCCGCACATGCGCACTCCATATGGGCTACCCCGCCCCAGGTGCCAGAGACGGTTCCTCCGCCACTGCTGTAGCCAAGTACCTGTAGCGTCGTAGGTGCCAACCTCCGAGCGGCCCCCCTCAGGATTTGCGCCCAGCAAAGTGGTGAGGCACTCTGCTAGCTCCTCTTCTGTGAAATGCTCTCCTGGGTCAAATAAGGTAAAAACACAACCAGTTAGCTTTGTGACAAATCCGTTTTGGGGCCAATGCTGCCCTCCTCTGGGTTGAGGCCCACCTCTCTGTTGTAGCAGCAGCAGCAGTTCATCCCTAGTAATGGCCACCTCGCTGTTCTCATTCTCATAGCCCAGCACTTGGAAGGCATTTTCTATTTCTTTTAGTGAGAGCCCAAAGGCAGGCCGGTGATTCACATACAGCTTGATAAAGTCGCCTAAATTGATGTCGGTCACTTGCATGCCGGTCTCCAGATATTCACTGAATTTGACTTCATTTAGCATGTCTTCAATCTAAAGGAATAAAAATGTGCCTTTGTAAACGGAGATACTGACGCCACTGGAATGCTTTGACATTCTGCGCCAAGGCAACAATAAAAGACATTTCATGGCCACTGAAAAAGGAACACTTTGCCGCCTAGAGAGGTGACATTTCCCAGCCCTCCAACCCATGCTCAGAAGGATTGGGAATAAATGGTTTGCATGATGTTCCCTCTGAGTCGTACCCATTTGGCTGCCGCTGTTTGCAATGATGTCCAAATATATATTTGTTCCGTTTCTATGCCATCTGTGTACCAAAGTCTGCTGGGTGGTTTACAAAATCAGTAAAATATACAAATACAATACAGTTCAGTTTAAGCAAACTGGTTTGCTGTTACATCTGAATTAACAGACCATTGTTTCTAATGTTGCTCCACCCTTGTGGGCCACTGTTTGGAGCAGCATCTGAGAATTGTCCAGAAAAGCAGAAAAACCACACAAAGCATTGTTTGCACAAACGGCCTTTTTCAGACATAAAATTAAACCATGGTTTAATATTATATGAACAAGCAAATGCTGCGTGGAACCTCTATTTTAATTCTGCTTCCAGATAATTGTGGAAAAACCATACTTCAGCAGTGTTAAAGAGCTCAAGGAGATGCAAGCTTGGAAGTCATGAACCCTGGAGAACCCTAGAGAAGGGATGAACCCTAGAGAATGATGAACCTTCCCCAACTAGAGATTTAACTTTTAGAAACTTGGGTATTGGGGTAGAAGCTGAAGAATTGCTTCTCTCAAGTAACCCGCTATATGCCCACTCAACTGCTTCAATCTGCAGAACTGGCACTGTTAACAATTGTTCTGAATTTATAAGGAATCCAAATTCTAGTGTGGCAGCACCTACATTTTGGAACCCCCTGTATATTGACATCAGGCAGGCACTGTCACTAGACTCTTTTCAGTACCTGCTAAAAACCTTTTTGTTTAGAGAAGCTTCCCCAGATATGTGGAAAGTTGATGTGCATTTTAATCTGCTGTTAGTTGTTTTTACTGGTAATGTCATTGCTTTATTCTTTTTTTAAAAAATCCAATTTGATGTTTTTCACAACCATGTGGCATATACGTTTTAAGAAATCAAATAAATAAATAAATAAATGCACACACCCCTCAATAAAAACCTCCTGAAAAGGAAAAACAGAGGTGGTGATTTACCAGCCACAGATACCAGATAATCAGATCTGGTCCTGATAACACAGATTCTGTTAGGAGTGAAAATAGATTTATGAATGAGAAGGAAGAAGAGAAGTGACGCCACTTGCAAGGCTATTATAATAATTACTGCTCCCGCCATAAAATTAGAAATATCAGTTTCTCTCCACGACCCTCATCATCCCCAAGAGGCATTTTTCCAAGGATATGACATGCACAGGGGGAAAGGAGTCGCAAAGGATTAGTGGGGACGGGAGAAGAGCTGGTTCTCTTTTCACACCCTCTGGCTGTTTCATAAAAGTGGGGCAGCTCCAGCGCTGTTCTTATTGTGCCTGCGCATTTCTGCTCAGCGGAGGGAAGTAGGCCATGAACCCTCCCCGCTACGCTACAATGCGCAGGGAACTGGGCTACATGTTTGGTCACCCTTGAAGAGCTTTTCCTGTCCTTCTGCCACCAACAGGCACCTTCTCTTTAAAGCACACACAGAGGCTGCAAAGGAAAGATGCTGCTTGGGCTGAACTGTCTCTACAGCCCTGTGAAATCCTGAAACAAGGACACTTTTTGCTCAGTGGGGCTTCCACAACGTTCACCTTGTTTTGCTACTATTTCTGCTCTGTCCCTGTCTCTCCCACCCTCAGGACTACCTGCCAGCAATGCCCTTTGGTGGTTTCCGCCATCCCTAAGTGACAGAAGAGATACAGCTGCAATCATTGACACACATTTTCATTGCTTCTGAGCAACTGCCTATAGGATTGCTCTGAAAAAATAGGCATGCACAAGAAAACCTACAAGGGAGCTTTTGGGTCTCCCTGGAAACCCCTTCTCTTCAATGCAGTGCCATCTGGCTCAATACATAAGCTGCTGCTTTATGCAGAATCAGACCGTTGGTCTATCAGTACTGTCTACACTGACTGGCAGTGGCTCTCCAGGTTTGTCTCTCTCAGCCCTACCTTGAGATGGCAGGTATCTGTGCCAATTTCACGTCAAAAATATATCCAACCACTCAGTCCTCTTTTTTTAAGGAAAAAAGTTGTCAGTACTCAGCATGAAGTGTTGCAGTACGTGCCACACTTTTAGCATTGGGGGGGTGGAAAAGGTACCAGTACTGCGTACCCTTGAGTACCCCCCAGAAAAAAAGAGGGGAAAAATGCAATCACCACTGCTTGCAGTACCTGAACAGTACCTTCGGTGGCATATACAGTGGTACCTCGGGTTACATACGCTTCAGGTTACATATGCTTCAGGTTACAGACTCCTCTAACCCAGAAATAGTGCTTCAGGTTAAGAACTTTGCTTCAGGATGAGAACAGAAATCGTGCTCCGGCGGCACGGCAGCAGCAGGAGGCCCCGTTAGCTAAAGTGGTGCTTCAGGTTAAGAACAGTTTCAGGCTAAGTACGGACCTCCGGAACGAATTAAGTACTTAACCCAAGATACCACTGTGGCTGGAATGGTGGAATTTACGGCAGGAAAACAGCACAGGGCCCTTATATGGATCATTTCCCCAGTCTTCAGCTCTCAACATTTCTGCAGACTACTGTCAGTATATGTATGCATACGTTGAGAAATTTAGTGCAAATTTCTGATCGTATACATATTTTAATAGGATATTTTTCATGCTTTACAATTTTTTGCAAGCCATTTCCCCATATATAGTACACCCCCCTAAATAGGGGTGCCAAAACTTTGGCCCCACACGGTGGGTGCCCAGCACGCCCCACAACGTCAGGACACAGTGACACCGAGTTGTGGCCAACATTGGGAGCGGGGGGTGTTGTCTGGGGAGAGAACCAAAATGGATGGATTCTTCCATTCCGTTCCTACTCACAGGTTTGTGCAACTCTCCCCCGTAGTAATACTGACCTGTTCCTCAGATGGGTAGAAGCCCATGGCGCGCATGACAAAAGGGATTTGCTCCAAAGGGATGTGTGTGGACACCTTTCTGGGTTCCATGGTGTCAATACCTTGATGACGCAGCTGAGCGTAATAAAAATAGTCTTCCAGCTCCTGGAGGAGGGGGAAATGTAATACACAGCCCATGAGGAGAAGGTGAGGGAGCAGAGTCTGTTCAGCCTGGAGAGCACATGGTTAAGAGAGGTAACTGGGTAGCTACCTTCAAATATTTGTTTACTGCCACATACAGAATGGAGCGGGACGTGGGTGGCGCTGTGAGTTAAACCACAGAGCCTAGGACTTGCCGATCAGAAGGTCAGCAGTTCGAATCCCTGTGATGGGGTGAGCTCCCGTTGCTCGGTCCCTGCTCCTGCCAACCTAGCAGTTCGAAAGCACATCAAAGTGCAAGTAGATAAATAGGTACCGCTCCGGTGGGAAGGTAAACTGCGTTTCCGTGCACTGCTCTGGTTCGCCAGAAGCGGCTTAGTCATGCTGGCCACATGACCAGGAAGCTGTACGCCGGCTCCCTCAGCCAATAAAGCGAGATGAGCGCCGCAACCCCAGAGTCGGCCACGACTGGACCTAATAGTCAGGGGTCCCTTTACCCTTTACCTTTACATAATGGAGCACATTTCTTTTCTCTTGCTCCAGAGGGTAGGAATGGAACCAATCAGCTCAGATTGGGATTAGACTAAACATTTTGAAGGATTTCCTGGCTACATGAGTTGTTCGACACACTGCCATAGAAGATGGCCAACTTTCTTTTTCAGAAGCTTTTAAGCGCAAGGTTTGATGGCCCCCAATTAGGGATGTGTAGTAATGGCTTTCCTGCATCAGCAGTGGCCTCTGGGTGTCAGCTAGATGATCTTTGAGATCTTTTCCAGCTTTGGGATTTTATGAGAAAGGCACACTGAGTTTTGTGGCATGGAAAACACAAAAGGTGATGATTTAGATAGCTAGATAAATGATATCATTAATAACCATTTCCTCTAAACTTGAACCCTGACATTTGGTCATGTTTCATCTTTTAAAGAACCATTTAGTTGGGGGGAAGTGATCAAGTATAAATGGTAAAATGCAAATGACCCCATGTGCAAAGCAACCAACTGGACATGCAATAATGGCTGGATCTTGAAACAGTGCTGGCTCCAGGGTTCTGGGTCCTTCAATGGGGCACTTGGATCTGGGGGAGGTGAAACATGGGGCTGACTTTGAAAAGCATTTGGAAACTTCAACTGGTGCAGAACGTGGCTTGCTAGTGGGACCCAGCAGCAAGGAACATATTACTCCAGCATTCACTGGAGGCACGATTTGAAATACAATAGTGCCTCCAGTATCTGAGACAGCCTCTGAATATCAGTTGCTGGAGAACATGAGAAGGAAGAGTGCCATTGTGCTTCTGCTTTGCTTTTGGGCTTCCCATAACAAGCATCTGGTTGGCTCCTTTGAGAACAGGATGTGCCTTGGGTCTTATCCAGGAGCCAGGCTCTTCTGATATCTTTTGAACTTTAAAACCTGAAACAATATGGGGGTGAGGTATCTAAAGGAGCACTTTCTTTCAATGAAGCTTCCCACTGATTAGGAACTTCGTCAAAAGCCTATCTCTGTGTATCCCAGTCTTCCGAGCTTAGGAAGGTGGCTGCTGGAGAGTTTTCTCTACAGTGGTGCACAAACTGCTGGAAGCTCTTCCCAGATAAGTTTGCTTGGTACCACTTCCATTAGTGTTAAGGGGTCAGGTGACGTTTATTTTCTGCTTTAATTATAGTCACAGTCCTTTTCCTTATTTTTGACTGCTGCTTTCACCTGCTGTCTCACCAGGGCTGGCCCTCTCCAGGGTGAAGCAGCAGGCGCATGGATGGGGTCAGGAAGCCGAAGGAAGGGCTTGGAGCACTGGGATAAGATTCAGCCACCAGTCCAGTCAGCTTCTCTGCATGGAATGAGTTGCTTCAGGCAGCATTGCATCTTGGGCTGATGCTTGACTCTGTCACTTTTCATCCATGCGGTTCTACTGCTGCTTTTTGGTGATATATATTTCATCCATCGACTTATTGTAAGCTGCCTTGAGGGTGTGGATGCGGAAAGGTAGAGTAGCAAAGCTATAAATAAGGAAAGCATGCAAGTCTTACATTACCTTGAAAAACTCGCCCTCTCTGCCACCTTCCAGAAGGTTGTAGAATGGGATCAAATCTTCACCCCCCAGAAAAGAAGCTGCTTCCAGAGCACTAGGAGGAGAGCAACAAAGACACGTCTGGAGGAGAGGGGTGAGGCAGGAGCCCCACACATCCCCATTGCCCCTGCCACCTACTGCACTGAAAAACAGGTCCTTAAAATTATCCTGTGCACTTCCAAAAAAGCCTAAAGGGTGCAATCCTATACTTTTGCTGTATGAGGAAGAGCTTTGAGATATACCATAAGCTTGATGAACATGCCAGCAGAATACATCAGATATACAGGTGGAACTGCTGAAAGCGATGGGGAGGAGCACCCCCACGATGTATCTTCTACCCCTTCACGCCACATCCTGTTGGGGGCGGAATTCTGCACCAGCCCCAGAAATGGGCCCAATTTCCACCCCTTTTACTTTGTTGACTGGCATTCAAAAGCTGAGTGGGACCATGCTGTTTTCTACCAGCTGAGGGAGCTTGAACCTCCATCTTCTCATTTCTGACCACATGACCAATGCAGTGATTGTTGCCTCTCCCGGCCCTCCCCTTGGCTGCTTGGCAAAAGAGTCTTGCCACCCCTAGGTGGGACTTGAACCCTTGTTCCAGGATTGCTGGGCCATGTGGGAGCTGTGTGGGTCCTCTCGCCTTCCTGGTACTTGATTTAGGGGGGCAGCTGCACACCCCCTGGGTGTACGATGTCACACACATGTACGTGAAATCGCATAAAGTGGAGAACATCATCCAGACCTCTGGAAATCCACAAAAATCTGCCAAACTCCACCACAATCGCTCCCTCCAAACCTGATTTCACAATCTCCAACTTTCCACGACTCGGAGGTTGGTGCAAAGCTGCAATAGGATTATAGTTACAAAGGCTCCTGGGATTGCTAGCTCTTTTCCCACGGTTTTTGCAGTTTCACCCCCTCTTTCTGGACCGTTTTTTGCCCTTTTCGCACCTTTTCGCAATTTAAATCTATTTATTTATTTCCCAGCACCACACATAGAAGGAGGTTGCACGCAAGTTGAACGCATGTATGTGGGGAGACATCTGTACGCACGTATATATGATCTATTAAAAACATACGGACAATCACAACAAAAACAGAAGCTTCTGATTGCTTGCTACAGGTGGAATTTCCAAGGAGGCTGGGGGCATAGGATAGTTTTGTGCTGATTTTGTATTTTCCAGCTGTGTGCTTCCCTCCTCCCCTTCTGGTCTGAGGACATGAAATAGCAATCCCTCACCCCCATAAGACACAAAAAAATAAATATATAAAAGAGTCCACATGTCTCACTCTAGGCATTACACACACACACACCTCACACAGAAATAATGAAAGCCCTCAATTCCCGCAGTTCAATTTAATTTAATTTAATCCTTCAGCCTCCAAGCCCATCCCTGCAGGAGCCAAGGCAAGAATCCAGTTCCTGCTGCCTTCTTTGCATCTGAGCATCTCACTGGAGACACAAAACTAATGAAAAGGTGATAACTGAACCAGGGTGGAGCCTGGGCTGCTTGAAGAGTGCTTCATTCCCCCCCACACACCTGATGAGGAGTTCTGTGCAACTAAAATCCTTGCATATCCCAGCATGATTGAATATAGCAGGGATGGAGGATGTTTTCCAGCCCAAGGGCCACATCCCCTTCTGAACAACCTCCAGTGGGCCAGATGCAGAAGTGGGTGAAGCAATAAATGTGGGTTTTACCTTAGTAGTCTGGTTCCTACACAAACACACGTCCCTCTCTACCCTCCATCCAGACAAGCGAGAGCATGACCAGAGTTCAAGGACGCATATTCTGGTCAGCCTGAACCCACTTGTCCTGGCTCTCACTCTTCGCTTCAGGAAACCCAAAAGCTTCATTCAATAAATCAGCACATGGTCTCAGCATTAGCTCAAGTTAGACAAAAAAAAAATCATTGCAATTACAAAGTGTAAATTGCAGCAAGGCTTACAAATTATTTTTGTATGGTTGTTTGCAAGCCTTGCTGAAGTTCTACACTTTGTAATTGCAATGGTATTTTGCCCTGCTTTATTGTAAATTTATTCTCCTTATCAATATGTTGTCGTTGTTCCAGTCCTGCCCACGCTTAACTAACAGCCATGCTTAACCATGGTTTGGTTAGTGCCCCATCCCAGACATTTGCCAAGCTGGAAAACAAACCATGCTTTGGGGAAAGAAACCTTTGCCCACCTGCGTGAAGGTCTGCAGCTTGTTGAACAAACTATAGTTAAAACAAACCATGGCTTGGTGTCATGCATGCACAGAGTGATTTCCAATATTTCTTCTTGCTTCAGCCTCAAAGAGCAGCATAAATTTTGATCCATGTGCCTGCACCCTGAATAAGGCTGTGCCTTCTGCGATCAAAACGCTTGATGCTTCTCTATATAATTAAGTTAAACTTGGACATTAAATATTGCAGACACACAGAAGATGCCAAAGGCAGCAGTAAACCACTAATTAGCTCATAAAGCTCCTTCCTCCATAAACAAACTACAAAGCCGTTCAAAACTGCCTGGACTCCAGCCAACAATTACAAAGAAGGATCATTTATATTCTAGTGCCTTCGTTTAAATCTTGCTCAGGCTGGACCTCCAACCGATTAAGTCACATAGACAAAGAGTGTGCATGTATGCACCTGCGTGGAGAAAATATTACTAGTACAGCTGTCCCACTGCAATTGTATTTTTTCTGCTTGCTGTGATGCTAGTTAGCCAGGTGCCCTAAAGCAGGGGGCAGAGAGGGAAGCTGTGGCCCTTCAGATGTTGCGGGACTTCAGTTCCCATGACCTCTGGCGACTGGCCACGTTGACCGTGGGCTGAGGGGAGTTGGAATCCAACCACCCATCGGAAGCCACAAGTTCCCCACCTCTACCCTACAGCAGTGGCCCCACAGCTGACTGCCAGGAGTGTCCTGGGGAGCATTTTTACCCCACTCCCACCCCAAGCGGCAAGCATTTGAACACCCCCTACAAAAAACACATCCCAGAATGCCCGGGCATAGCACACACAACCTGCTGAAAATATCCTGCAATTCCTGCAGTGCTTTCAGCTACCACCTATCCATAGCTAGGGGATGCGCAAGGGGTGGGTCGTCCTGGGCGGCACTGGGCCCAAGCTGCCGTGTCCCTCCTGGGTGCCCTCCAGCAGGATGGTGCCTGGGAGGGACGTGGCAACTCGGGCCCCCTGCAGGCCCAGCGGTGCCCCAAAAAGGGGCTTGCTATGCCGCTGGGGCCCATGTTCTCTAATAGCAACTCTCCTAAATCTCAGGCGGATAAGCACCCTTCCTAGCCCTGCTACTTGAGATCAATTTAAGTGGCGACTGGACTGTCAAGGGAATCCGACTTCAGTTCTGGCAACGGGAGGGTATCCCCTGTGCTGAAGGACAGCAGGTTCATGATGTGGGGGCAGGCCAGGCCATACACAGCTTTGTCCTCCAGCAGGCGGATACAGGAGTAGAGGCAACAAGGGGGCTGCCCCCACGGCCTGAGGCAGCCACCTCACTTTGCTTAATGGTAGGGTTATTGTTGTATTTTATTCTGTGAACTGCCCTGAGGAGATCTTAGGATGAAGGGCAGTACAGTGGTACCTCGGGATGCAAACGGGATCTGTTCCGGAGCCCTGTTCGCATCCCAGACGGAATGCAAGACGCGACGGCGCATCTGCGCATGTTGCATTTCGCCACTTCCGCGCATGTGCGTGACATCATTTTGAGCGTCTGCGCATGTGCGAGTGGCGAAACCCAGAAGTAACGTGCTCCGTTACTTCCGGGTTGCTGCGGAGCGCAACTCAAATGCGCTCAACCCGAAGCACATTCAACTCGAGGTATGGCTGTATATATATTTAATAAACAAACAAGTAAGTAAATAGATAGGGCCAGCCCTGCATCCCAGCCGGTTTGGGATAATGCCTTTTACTCACACTCAAGAGCACTCTCAGGTGGCGGGGGGGCAAGTCAATTTCATCTCAATTTCATCTCAATTTCTCCCAGTTTCTGGGAGAAACCACATTTCCACATCAGTTTGCATTAAAATAATTTTTTAAGTCCTCACCAGCATTTCTTGTGGATTTCTTCTAATAAACACATTTACGCTAAGCACCTCCCTCTAACTGAAATTAATATATGTATTTTAATTAAGACATGTATTTTAGTGCACACGTTACCCTTGTATTTACATTTTTGTGCACATTACTTGGCTGTAGAACTGCACTGCAAAATTTGGAGAAGTGAAAATTTCTAAGGATGGATGTGTTTCGATAAGTGTGAATTAGTTAAGTCCCCCTTTAAATGTAAATCGGACTGAATTGCTTCCCTCCTCCCAGAACCCTCAGTGGTTTGCTCTGCAAGTCAACCTTGCTGGCCATCCCAGCATTGATCAGGGGAAGTGAAAGCTCTGTTGCAACTTACACTAAATTAATGTCCCACTTCATCACAGTTAAGTCGCTACCCCCCGTCGTGAAGAGGTGGCACCCGTCGTAGGAGCACTCCAAGTTGGTGACGCCTGAAGGGTGGCAAATGAAAGCTGAGGACTTGTGCGGGTTCCCATCTATGGGCAGTATCTGCAGGCCGACCTAGGGAAGAATCCAGAAAACCTGATGTGACTCTCCCCAAAGACTCACCTAGTCCGCCTCCCCACTCCACAGCCTAGAGTGTACACCAGGGATTGGGAGCCTGCAGCCCACCAGATGATGCCAAACTACAGCTCCCATCACCCTTGGCCACTGGCCGGGCTGGCTAAGGCTGATGGGAGTTGGAGTCCAACATGGAGAAATAGCTCAGTTGGTTAGAGCATGGTACTGATAATGCCAAGGTTGCAAGTTCGATCCCCGTATGAGACAGCCGCATATTCCTGCAATGTAGGGGGTTGGACTAGATGTTCCTCAAGGTCCCTTCCAACTCTGCAATTCTAGAATTCAGTTCTATGTATGGAAGGCCAGGAATTCCCCCATTCTTGGTGTTAAGGCCAAGGAATTTTCCACTGCTGTTCCCACCATAGCAGGTAAGTTGAGCGAGAAGACCTCTTTGGGGAATTTAGAGGCCTGTTAAACCACAGAGCCTAGGACTTGCCGATCAGAAGGTCGGCGGTTTGAATCCCCGCGACGGGGTGAGCTCCCGTTGCTTGGTCCCTGCTCCTGCCAACCTAGCAGGTTCAAAGCATCTCAAAGTGCGAGTAGATAAATAGGTGGGAAGGTAAACGGTGTTTCCGTGCGCTGCTCTGGTTCGCCAGAAGCGGCTTAGTCATGCTGGCCACATGACCCGGAAGCTGTACGCCGGCTCCCTCAGCCAATAAAGCGAGATGAGCACCGCAACCCCAGAGTCGGCCACGACTGGACCTAATGGTCAGGGGTCCCTTTACCTTTACCTTTAAGGGCAGTCGAAGATTGCCATATCTCTTTGGCCATCTGTCAGCAGTTCAGGAACTGAGGGGACAGTTGGAGTCGTGCAACAGGCCAACAAAAGCCAGCAGACTTGGCTATTCCCTGCCATACTGGCTTTGAAAAAGGAGCAGACTGGGTTGGGAGAACCTGGGATGTCACAACAATGTGCCTCAAAGCATATGACGTTGACAACAATATATGGACAAAAATAAGTAGTTTACGATAAAGACGAAAGATCACGGCAATGTTCCTTGTAGCACTTTTTGTGGTTGTTCTGTACAACTGTGCCTGGGATTGTGTACAATAATGTGCTCAACACCCCGCGGCTGTTCCTGACCCATCGCCAATGTCGGTTGCAAGCCTCCCTAATGTTTGAGGAGGGCAGAGGTCGAACTGGGAGCCTATCCCAGGCCTCGAAGGGACTCAGGATGGGGCTGGTCCAAAGACCTTCACCTGCCTTGTCTTTTGTAATGTAGGCCAAGTACCGTCTCTGAGGATCATGTCCCTCTGCGAGTGGAAGCACCAGAATCTTCTCCAGGGGGGAGCCATAGGCTGGTCCCACAACAGTCTTCCTAAAATAAACAAAGCAACAACAGGAGCTCTTGAGCACCTGACCTTTAACAAATTAATCCAGGGATCACAGCTAAGGATAGTGAAGGATAGCAGGCATTCCACCTTCTCTCCGCCCCCACAAAAACATATATTTGCCATTGCCCCACGTATATTAAAATCCTGTATTGCGGTCATCTAATAAATCCTTGGCACCCCTTCACTCCCCACAGACTAGTTTCTCTCGAGTAACCCCTGCGCTACCCAATCTATTAAATATACATAAATATATGCATATCCGGGTATAGAATGCATTGTTTTTGGAGATAGGTCAAATTAACTCATAACATAATAAATATAAACTACCATTCCACGTCAGAAGAAAAGGGTAGGCAAAGCCTAGTATCCAGCTTTTCATTCCTTGCACTAAAGTAAAAAAGGAACCACATGCTCTGAACTTTCCTCCCTAATGATAACAATGGGCTCCTACTTATTAATCAACTGAAATTTCAGATGATTAATCTACAAATTAAAGCTTACAGTCCTAGTTACAGTATCTTCCCATAGACCTCGTAATGGAGGAAGGAGTTTCAGCACTGCAAAAGGAACCTGTGGTCAGGGATGATGGGAGATGGAGTCCAACAATATCTGATAGACCTCAGGTTCTTCAGACTTTGTCTAGGGGATAAGGTACCAGGGTCCACAGGGAAGCTAGTCGTCTGCAAGCTCTGTGACCAGGAAGGAAAGGGTTGTGTTTCAGAAGCAGCTATGAAAGGTCAGATGGACCAGAGATAAGATATTGTAGCTCAGGAGAGGGGGGGAGGTCAAGCTCAAGAAGACTGCAACTGAGCAGGTGGCAGGGCTGACAGTGCAGCTGAGGTGGGGCCATTGCCGCACAGAGCTCAATCGGCTTTGTGAAACAGTGTGTTGGTGGGAGTGCAGGTGGCGAGATGATGCTGGACCCTGGTTGTCTGGAGTTCCACTTGGAAAGACACACAAATACAGCACTTACAGGGAGAAAGGAGTGGGATAATTGCAGGAGACACGGAAGAAATAAATCAGAGATTTACCAGGTTACCTGCACAATCTTGTGGTTACATTATACATTTTCATTTTGTACTGATCGTTGGCAGTGAGGAAAAAATATTCTGTGGTGAGAGGTGGGTACCAGGTGATGCACCTGGGGACGGCATGTTGTTCGATGCGGTCCCTTCGGATGACAACCAGCTCATCCTTGACACTCTTCTCCAGGTCATATTCCACCTGGAAACAAGATAACAGAGACCCAGTGATGGGGGGGGGGTCCAGACATCTGTGTCCATCACTTGGTTTCCCTGAAGCTGAATGTGTGAAAGTGACTCTACTGGGGGTGTGGCGGAACTGTGTTCGAACTAGGGACGTGAGAGAAATTCGATCCAGTTAACGTTTAAAGGTGAATCTAGGAAATGTACATTTTCTGAAACTGCAACAGAACCCTCCTTCAAAATTTGCACTTTTCTGGATTTCATAATGCAGTTCCCCAGCCACGTAATGTGTATAGAAATGCATGCGCCAAAGTAAACCATGCAAGAGATGCACAATTAGTGAAACTAACAAACCATGATGCATCCTTAGGAGGGAAATGTCATGGATTTGTTGGACAAAGAGGAATGGTGGGAGGAGCAAGCTGGGGAACCCCCAAGGGAATCTCCAAGGGAGGACGGCTCAGAGCCTGGGGACTGGTGGTGGGACAACGATGAGTGGTCAGAGGGAGAAGAGGGAGAAGACTGGGAGGAGGAGGTGTCAGAAACTGAGGAGGTACTGTAACTGGGCTTAGTGAGCTGGGAGAGTCTGTGGCAGAGAGAAGTCCAGAATCAGAGTTAGAAGCTGAAGCAGGGGAGGAGCGAGACCATGAGGCAGAGATGAGTTGGGCTGGTGAAGAGTCACAGTGTCTCCCCCTCCTGCTGCAACAAGCTCCCCTCTCACTTTGTCTCCCAGAACCAGAAGAGGCATGAAAAGGACAGATGAGAGATTGGCGACACACAGAGACACAGTGATAGAATCTACACACATATAAAAAACGTTCTGAAAATGCTTTTTTAAAAAAAGTATATTGAGTTTTCCATAAGGCTCACCATCGCCATTTGATGTCACATTGTATATTGCACTTAAAACGAACATAAAGGGTTTTATTTGCAGCTGTATAGCTGAGTCCAATCTCTGATTGCTTGGGGAAAAACCTATGAGAGGAAGGGACTAAGGTAGCTCCAGGGAGGCAGGGACCTTCAGTCTCAGCAATTGCTTCATGGGGGCAAGAGCTACCGGAGATACGTTGCTGTGCTCATTAGGCCTGACAGTCCTACGCAGATCCTGTTTCTGCTAATAAAGAGTTAACGCCCAACTTGCGTGGTGTGGTTTACTGCTGGCTTGCTCCTGACAGGAAATGAAGCTTTGCAGAAAGGTATGTATTAAGAAAAATGCATACAGTGATACCTCGGGTAAGTACTTAATTTGTCCCAGAGGTCCGTTTTTAACCTGAAACTGTTCTTAACCTGAAGCACCAATTTAGCTAATGGGGCCTCTTGCTGCTGCCGTGCCACTGGAGCACGATTTCTGTTCTCACCCTGAAGCAAAGTTCTTAACCCGAGGTACTATTTTTCTGGGTTAGCGGAGTCTGTAACCTCAAGCGTATGTAACCTGAAGCATATGTAACCCGAGGTACCACTGTACTAAAATGCGTGCATTAGGAGAAATGCTGATGCATTCAACCGAATGTGCGGTGGAATGAGCTTGGTATTCTACCCTTGCTGAACCTCCACAGGGCTGAAGTTGAAGAGTGGGGGCCAGTCATGGCCACTGGGCAACCTGGCTTGCCCCGCTGGCTTGACCTCCCAAGTCCCTGGTTCCCAGCCTCCAATGGCTCCGCTCTGAAACCTCTCCAGGCTGACACATCTCTATGCAACTATGCAGCATGACCAGAAACTGTGTCCTGCTCACAGCACCTACCAAGAGTCGATCTTCGCCAAGAGTTAAGAGCCAAGGCTCTTCGCTGTCCAAGTGAACCCCAAAGAGAATGGTGCGAATGGGCTTGTAATGGGAGTGCAAGGCTGCCAGGCGGTCCCAGACTTTCTTCCCCTCAACCATGGTTTGTTTGTAAAGGTTCAATGAAATGTTTTCATCCTGAAAGACAATTAAAGAAAAACCCCACTTTGTATCAATGAATCGTTTCCTTTCGTTTTTCCTTTGCCACAGCAGCACAGCCGTTTAGAGCAAGGGTCAGCAAACTTTTTCAGCAGGGGGCCAGTCCACTGTCCCTCAGACCTCGTAGGGGGCCAGGCTATATTTTAGACATAAAAATGAACGAATTCCTATGCCCCACAAATAACCCAGAGATGCATTTTAAATAAAAGCACACATTCTACTCATGTAAAAACACACTGATTCCCAGACTGTTCACGGGCTGGAAATAGAAGGCGATTGGGCCGGATCCGGCCCCCAGGCCTTAGTTTGCCTACCCATGGTTTAGAGCATTGGACTTTAATAGCTGCCCTATACTGAGTCAGACCACTGTTCCGTGTAGCTCAGTACTGCCTACACAGACTGGCAGCGGCGCTTCAGACAGGGGGCCCCTCCCTGCCATTGGGGTTTGAACCCAGGACCTGTGGCAATGGCAGGCAAGGCTGGTGCTCTGCCCCTGGGCTTCCACCATGGAGAGATCTGGCTTCACATCCCTTCTTGGCCGTGAAAGCTCATTGCAGTCACTATCTGCCTGTTGCAAGGTTGTTAGGAATATAAAATGGGGGCAAGGGGGCAGGGTGAGAGAGCCACGGACGCTGCTCTGAACTTCTCGGGGAAAGGGCCGAATTGTATTTGCAGCAAAACATTGATTCCGTTTTCCCTCAGACTGCTTCTGTGTTGTGGGGAGATACAAGAAATGCTTCTGTAGGAGTAAAGCGCTATGTGACTCACACATAAGGGGAAGGAATACTCACTGCAGTCGCAAGATACTGGGAGTCAGGAGAGAAGCTCATGACGGTGATGGGAGTGCTGGAATATCGGAAAGGCTCTGGACAGTCGTTTTCCAAAGATATAGAATCCAAAATGTAAACACTTCCATCAATGAATCCGGCTGCCAATAATGAACCTAAAAAGTGCATGGGAGAAATAGTTGTTCTGCAAACGTCTCATTCCAGCAAGATTGGATGATCTAAGGCAGCCAACCCCAGCCTGGCTTATTCCAGATGTTTTGGACAACCACCGTCATCAGCTCTGTGCTGGTTAAGATGACAGGAGCTGCAGCACAAAACCTCTGGAGGGAACCAAGTCAGCAATGGCTGGTATAAGGCAACATCTTTTTCTACTGGTGAGAGGGTGGTTCCTCACAACTGGGGGGGAAAGAATTAAAATGTTGGTTTCTCGTGGCAACTAATATAATGCTATATTGGCACGGACAAGATCTTTCCGTAGGGCTATCTTAAACATTATTGCTGTCCAGCAATTTTAATTAAAAACTGCCTACTTGTGACTTCTGACTCTTATTTGCATTCTGTTCAAGAGATAGAGCCGTCACCAATGAACCTACACTTCACCCCTCCACAGGGAACAGATAACTCAAAGGGCAATTCTTCAGCTATGCTGAACAAGAAGCCTATAGAGGGAGACTCCACAAGGAAGAAGCTTCTGATTAAAGGCACAGTAGCCCTCCAAAAGCTCAGTAGTTTGGCCCTGCAAGTACACCTATTTTTTACTTATTTATTATTGATTGATTGTCAAATCCTGCAAATCAGGTTTGAAAAATTATGGGAGGGCAACACAAAGAATGCTAGAAAGCAGCTAGCTGGAAATAATGCTTTCTTTAAAATGTGAATTAAAAGGATTACAATTCCAAAAAAAACCCCTGCTGGTGCGGAAGCAATTAGAACAAACAAAAACCACTGTTAATGACCAGCAATGGGGCCTCTTCCCTGGATTCTTCCTTAGAAAGAGTTAATCTGATTCTGAGGATCCATAATTACAGAACTAGCATTGCTTAAGCTGTATGCATGCAAAGAATTATTGCAAAGGCATCAATAGACTCAAACTCTCCCTTCCCTTCAAAAGAAACGAACCCTGCACCCCCACCTGCCAAAAATCTCCCCCCTCCCCAGACTTCCTTTTGCAGGGGCGAAACTAGGCTTTATTTCACGCAGGTTAAAGACCCAGTTTGGCACACCCACACCCAGGCATTTGCATGCACAAACACAGGCTTGGAGCCTCAATGGCACCCCTTTGGAGGCTTCACACAGAGCAAAAAGCCTGGCTGGTCTGCCCCCACCCCACCCCACCCCCGTAGCTACAGCTCTGCCTCTTGCAAAGGAAGGAGTATGGATCAATACCACTGGAGTCATAGCAGAGGCTCTGGATGCTTTCACCCTTAAAGATTCGGCTAATGAGGTATTTATTGATCTTGTAGTTCCACACTTTCAGGAGCCCGCAGAAACTCCCCTTGGCCATGAGAGGTTTGCTCGGGTGGCAGCTGACGGCCTGGACGGCTTCCTTGGGCTCCTCTAGGCACTTGCTGACTTCCGTCCCTTCCGTCTTGACGTGGATCACCAACGCATCCGCCGTGGAAATAATAAAATTCCTGCACCGTGAAAAAGAAACAGAATTTTGATTCACGCTCCAGAGCAGGCATAGGCAAACTCAGTCCTCCAGATGTTTTTGGCCTACAACTTCCATGATCCCTAGCTAGCAGGACCAGTGGTCAGGGATAATAATAATAATAATAATAATAATAATAATAATAATAAATTTTATTTATATCCCGCCCTCCCCAGCCGAAGCTGGGCTCAGGGCGGCTAACAACAATCAAAATAGTCCGACATTCTAAAAACATTCATTATAAAATTAATTAAATCAAATTAAAATCAAATTAATGGCAACCATCAAGCAAAATTCTGTGCAGATTGCCAGAGGAGGGGGTCAGGCTGCGCCCTGACCAAAGGCCTGGTGGAACAGCTCTGTCTTGCAGGCCCTGCGGAAGGATGTCAGGTCCTGCAGGGCCCTAGTCTCTTGTGACAGAGACAGACAGATGATGGGAATTGTAGTACCAAAACATCTGGAGGGCCGAGTTTTCGTATGCCTGCTCCAGAGTAACATGCTGAGACAGTGAATATGAGATTTACTGGATGCCTACCATTCATCTCAGTTTTTCCATATGGTTCGTTATATAACTTACCTCTTTGTGACCGATATATACACAGAAAATGAATGTGAAGCTGCACAGACGGCCTTAAGTGGTGGCAGCTTTTGGGACAACATCACCATGAGTAGAAAATAGCCCTGCAGGGTGGGACCAAACCCGATTCTCTTCAGTTCTCACCTGACAACAAAGGGAAGCCCTGCTAAAGTGCAAGAAGTGGGGAATTTGGTGGTGTCCTCAGGACACATAGGTTTCTTGGAGAAGGATATGGATCGGATGCGTCCCAGTTTAAACTGGCTGTACCAGTGAAGAAGTTGAAGGTCTCCATCATAGAATTTCACATGGCCTTTGACATCACAGGTCACAAAATTCCTGAAAGGAAAATCAATTTGTTGTAGAGATATGGCATCACACTGGCCACAAAGAATAATATTAAAACCTAAAATAGGCAATATACTATTGCTCTGGACTTGCCTCTTAAAAGAAAAACCTAGCTACAGGGGTGGACCAAAGACATTTTGCTTCCTGGGGCAAAGGACAAGGTGAGGGGAGTGCCTCAGGGGGCAGGATCCACAGGTTAGCAGATCCCTTGTCACTGATGTAGATCTTCATTCATCCCCTCTTCCCTGGCAGGAAGGGGGGCACCATTTTCTGGTTCGCCCCAGGTGCCACAATGCCTTGGCACCCATTCTCTGTATCCAAGTCAGCAAGACTGCAGCTGAATGCCCAAGACAAGCAGTGGGGAGCATCTCTGCCATACCTGAGTGCAGCACACCAGCTCAGAGGGGGCAGAACAGGGTGCAAGACACACACAGCTCTGCTCCGCACCTGCTACCTGCAGTGGACATTTCAATCTGTCCTGCTGAGTCAGAATCTGGACAAACATAATGTGAATGGCTTCTACTGGCAGCTAAGGGCCACAAAATAGGGAGCACAGGACATTATTATTATCAGGACCAACGTCCGTCATCAGTAGGAGCTCTACCTCAACCGAGCATTGAAAGTAGATAGGAAAAGCCATAGTTCAGTGGTAGAGCACCTGTGTTCAGATGGTCCCAGGTTCAATCCCCAGTGGTGATGTCCCCTGCCCAAAACCCTAGAGAGCTGCTGCCAGTCTGTGTAGACAATATTGGGCTAGATGGACTAATAATCTGGCTCAGCATAAAGCAGTTTTCTATATTCTATTATACTCATGTATATTGTTCAGACGGTGCCTGTCTTTTATCCTTTGTGGGCCAGCCCTGTCACTAGGAAGAGTGAGGCAGAAGCTAGGGGTGGCGAACGCTGCCAAAGTCTGAGAAGATGTGTTGCCTGGCCAGCAGCTTAATGTCACCACTTGGGGGAGAGGGAAACGTCTTGCAGCCATTGTTGGGGCCAAATTCAACAGTTTTGGTAGGTGGGATGGAGTGAGGGCTGCCATCTCTTCCTTCAGGCCTTGTTTTGAATGAGGCGGGTGAGCAGGTGTGCTTTGGAAATCTCATTCCAAATAGTTATTTCCAAGGGAGAGGGAAATTTGCTGGCAATCAGTTAGTAGAACCACAGAGAAGGAGGAGAATTTGGCAAAACAATTCCTTGCTCTTGCACTAAACTATGTTTCTTGGATTCTTTGGCTCCCTGAGGTTCAGTTAGCAATTCAGATCCAGGGAGCCCATGTCACAGATGTTGAAGCTCTGGCCCTTGTGACAGAGGAGGTCCCGTGATAAATAATATGTTGCCTGCCTTGCCAGGGCAGCTGCTTGGCCTGAAACCACATCTAGTGCTTCCTTGGTCTTCTCATAGAGCTGCTGCGCTGTGTGCTATTTGTGAGACAGGATGGCAGGTCCCTTGTGAAGCCCTTGATACAACCAACCCTTTCATGGGATGCAATCCATCCCTTGCTTTTGCACTTTTCTCTGTTCCTGAATGCAGCAGTGCCCTCTGCTGGGTGAAAACTGGGGAACTTCTCTTAACACTCACCAGGTGTCCCATAAATGACAGCCAAACTAAATACAGTACAGTGGTGCCTCGCAAGACGAAATTAATTCGTTCCGCAAGTTTTTTCTTCTTGCGAGTTTTTCATCTTGCGAAGCACGGTTTCCCATAGGAATGCATTGAAAATCAATCAATGTGTTCCTATGGAGACCGGCCGGGGACAGAGGGGAAGCGCCGTGCGCCTTCCCCTCTGTCCCCGGACCTGTTTAAAGCAAGGGGCGGCTGGGAGAAGATTGCTTCTCCCCGTTGCCTGCCCCGCAATCTCCGGGGACAGAGGGGAAGGCGCGCGCGCCTTCCCCTCTGTCCCCGGACCTGTTTTAAAGCAAGGGAAGGGGCAGCGGGGAGAATCGCTTCTCCCCGTTGCCGCCCCTTGGTTCAAAAAGGGTCCGGGGAGAGAGGGGAAGGCGCGCGCGCCTTCCCCTCTGTCCCCGGAGATTGCGGGGCGAGCAACGGGGAGAAGCGATCTTCTCCCCGCTGCCCCTTGCTTCAAAAGAGGTCCGGGGACAGCGGGGAAGACGCGCTGCGCTTCCCCGCTCTCCCCGGAGCTTGCGGGGCAAGCTTCGTTTTGCGAAGCAAGCCCATAGGGAAATGCGTCTTGCGAAGCGGCTAAGAAAATGAAAAACTCCTTCGTCTAGCGAGTTTTTCGTCTTCCGAGGCGTTCATCTTGCGGGGTACCAACTGTACAGTAGCGCAGTAGTGGAAGGAGGGGTGAATCGGATCAGAAGAGTAGCAGGCTGCATTTGGACTGGGGTTGCTAGGTCAGCAAGCATCCAGACCCTAAGATTTCAGGGCCCAAACCTGAGACCCCCTGATGATGTCATGGGGCCCAGTGATGTCATAGGGGGTGGACTCTGGAAAGTCTGTGCAATATGTGTAGAGATGGGGTTAATGTGACAGGGGAAGAACAAGGGAAGGAAGGCAGACCCCGTACCCTGAGAGTCAATCCAATAATTTGCAGCTGGCTACTGCTGGCTGATGCCTGCAAGCTGCACACGTTGTCTTCCTATTTAATAAATTACATTACATTAAGGGCCCTTTCACCCCCCCTGGAGCTTCAAGCCCTCCTCCTGCCACCTGGAGGGGGCCAGGCAAGCCCCAAGGTTTCAGGTCAGCCCTGGAAGATCTGGCAACCCTAACTGGGGCTACTGGTGACAGGTTCTCCCCTCCCCCCCCCGCCCGTAGGGCCTGTTAAGATGGCCTTCTCCCAGAGACATATGGAATCTAAGGATTTGCTGAATACTTTTGTGGATTCTCCACTTGGCCTGGCTGGTCTTCCATGGATGCGCTCATGGTACCTGAAGATCTAGCATGGTAACTTGATGCCCAGGCGACAAGGCAGATGTGATACGTAAACCTGAGAGATAAGCTGCTCACTTGTCTGTGATGGCCAGCACTGTGATCCCATCCCGCTGCAAGTGCACCAGCTTGATGGCTTTCATGTTGTAGGGTTTGACGCACACGGCAGAAGACTTGGAGGGAGGGCAAACGGCATCCCAGACCACCAGCTTCCCTTCCATGGTCCCAGTAATGGCTTGAGTAGAGCTGAAGTGGAAAATGGTCTGGCTGAAGATCCCCACGACCTTATTGAATGACTGGAGAAGGGAGAAAGGGAAAGATGCCCTTTGCCACCAAGCAAAACACAAAGCAGCCAGCGACAGAAGGGCTTTCAAATGCATACAAGTGGCAGAGAACAGAGATAGAAGAATGTGAGCTCCTCTCTCGCTCCAGTTCTCTTTTTTCCCCAATTTTAAGGTCAATTTGTACCCCATTTCTGCATCAGTTGGCGAATCTTTATTTTAAAAATTCTACAGCTGCATTTTCCTGCACAATCCTTCCAAAGGACACATTTTTGCAAGCCAACACACCACATTTTGCACATCGCTTTCAATAACATACACGTTCTTATGACCTGTGTCCCATAATATGTGAGGTTTTTGCTTGCCAAACTGCATCACCTAATTCAGACACAAGCACATTGTTTCAGTTTGCATACTGTTTCAGGGAGTGTGAATTAAGTGGACTTGCATTAGAAGCAAATTCCTCACCTGTCCCTACCAGAGAATAAGAGAGGGCAGGGTGGGTGTGTTTTCGGTGGTTCTCACCCCCCACCCCCAGCACTGCACAAACAGCAAGCACAGCTCCTCTACCCCATCCATATAACTAAGAGAAACAAAGGAGATTGGGGACAGGTGGAAGAGAGAAAGAGAGGAAGGAAGGAAGACTTGGGCATAGGCACAGGGCACAATTTGCACAAAACATTGCATATGCTAGTTTTTATGTGAAAATACAGATTTAAGCCTCTGAGCCAACCTAATGTATTACTTGTGCATTCCTTTGTTCTCCCTATCTGGAAACAGTTCATACCTCCAATATCCTCTAAAATTGTTTCCCCTTCCCTCTCCCCAAGGCACTTTCACGTACATTTGTGGGGAAATGCCCTGTGTGATTTATAAATGTTAATTGTATTTGTTGTGCTGACTGAAGGTTTTATTTAACTAAACTGGAATATACTTTTATTCATTAGAAAAGGAAATGGGGTGAGGGCTGTTGAAGAACAGAACACACTTTTGCTCTCCTTCAGCAGTTATCAAACACACATGCTTAATTTTATTATATTTGCTGTACTCAATGGAGTCAACCATTACTTTAGGTTGTTCATATTTATGAGTTTGCAAGATGAGAAGGGCTGTTTAGGGCAGCCCTGTTTAGGGAAGCTTTTAATTTTTAACGGACTATTGTATTTTAATATTTTGTTGGAAGCCGCCCAGAATGGCTGAGGAAACCCAGCCAGATGGGCAGGGTACAAATAATATATTGTTATTGTTGTTGAGATGTTGTGTGGCTGAAGGCATGCTCAAGAGCCCTATAAGCAAAGTTTTGTTTGTTTGTTTTGTTTTTAAAAGGCAGGAGGATAGTGGGCAGGAGCTCTGAGGACCAGGGCAAAGACCCCAGGCCACCCCCTTACGACACTCCTGAAAGAAAGAAGGAAAGAGGGAAACATTAGAAAGGAAGAGAGGAAGAAGGAGAGACTGTCATATGCTAGTGTAAGGTAGTGGTTTGAGTGTTGGACTAGGATCTGGGTCGACCAGGGTTCGAATTCCCACTCAGCCACGAAGTTCACTGGGCGGCCTTGGGCCAGTCACTGTCTCTCAGCTAACCCACCTCACAGGGTTGCTGTGGGGACTGAAGGAGAACCATGTAGGCCACCTCAAGCCAAGACATTTTGGCACTTGAGGTGAGCCACAAAAGGAACCCCCCTCCCGCCAGGGAACAAGGGGTGAGTGAAGCTCTCCTTTGGGAACAAGGGTTGGAGGAGACCAGCAATGCCTCCTATTTGCCAAGAGGCTGCTGAGAAGGTGGCAGATCCGCCTTTCAAAGCATGTGGCGCAGCCATCGCTGCCACTGTGTCGGCAGCAGCGGGCAACACGTTCCTTTGAGGCCAGATCAGCTGTCCCTGTGAATCCTGCGACCTGAGGCAGCCGCCTCACCTCGCCTCATGGATGAGCTGGACTTGCCTTGATCTCTTTGGAGAAAAAGGTGGGATAGAAATGCAGTTAATAAATAATAAAAAAATATTGACTCAAGGTTATGAAAATGGAGGGAGGAGAGAGAACTTTCTGGCAGTAAAAGCTATTTGGCGGTGGAACGGACACCCTTGGAAGATGGTGGACTCTCCTTCCTTGGAAGTTTCGAAGCAGAGGTTGGGTGAGCATCCATCATGGATGTTTTAGCTGAGATTCCTGCATTGCTGGGGGTTGAGCTAGATGATCCTCAGGGTTCCTTCCAACTCTACAATTCTCTGCTTCTAATTAATCTCCGGGTTCCCAGCAGCACAAAGCCCTTTGTTCCAACTTCACAAAATGTGTTGAGCTGCCGGTTCAGAATATATTCTGGAGCACAACCACAGAGTATTTTTGCCCTCTTCTGCTCTCCGCAAACCCAGCCAAGCCCCTCATAATCCATTTGCTGCTGCTTGGCTGGGCAGGCTGATGGGCAGAGTGCACAGCACGCCAGTCTCAAGATCTGTGGAACGCCCTCCCATCAGATGTCAAGGGAATAAACAGCTATCCGACTTTTAGAAGACATCTGAAGGCATCCCTGTTTAGGGAAGTTTTTGAAGTTTTTAATGTTTGAAGTTTTATTCTGTTTTTAATGTTCTGTTGAAACCCGCCTAGAGCGGCTGGGGAAACCCAGCCAGATGGGCGAGGTAGAAATAATAAATTATTATTATTATTATTATTATTATTATTATTATTATTTGTTCAGCAATTACACATTCAAAACAGAATGAGTCAAATGACATGAACACAAGTAGCAGGGTTGGATGGGATGACATACCCTCCAGTTTAAAGGTTTGCTTTCAGTTTAATTGCGCCATCAAGGTACTAGCAGGCAAGTATTTAAACTGTTTACAACACTGGCCTTGGACTGGAGATAGCCAGGGTCAGCCAATTGTGTGAATTGGCCTCTGGGTGTCTAGCCATGGTGAGTTTGCACACAGATTGTCTGGTCACCTGTTTTTGCTGAAGGACTTTGGATTTGCTTGCTGCAGAACCGTAACACAAAACATAGGAGCCAACTCCTAGGGGCTGCAGTCCCTTTGCCTCCCCATAAAATACTTGAGCCCCACCCCCAGTTGGTGGGTGGTGCTGAGGAGGAGGAGCAGCAACAGATGCCACTGCGTGCTTGCCCACTGGCTCTCTGCCTGGCAAGCAAGCAAGCAGGGGGCACCATGCTAAAGAAGGAGACAACGACGGGCAGCAGCTGGCAACAACAGTGGTGGTGAGATAGAGGAAGAGTAGGAGGGCGCCTTGCCCAAAGGCCCTCCAAAGGGGTCAGTTCTGTACATTCCTAAGGTGATCAATGCAATACTCACTTTATCTGTCAGGGGCGGAGCATGGTAGTGCAAGATGTCGGCATTCTAAGAAGACATGGAGAAAAAAACAGAATCAAATCTCAGACACCACCAAGGCCTGTCTCCCAGCCCTCCACTTCACTGTGAGCAGCCCATTTCCAGTAAGCTTATTATTCTAGGAACCTTCTAACATCATTTTCTTCTTTCCTCCCCATCAGCTTTTCCTTTCGTGCCATGTCTTTATATAACAAGGGCACAGCCTGTGTCTTGTTTTTGTTGACCTACAAGCCTTCTGGGAACCTTTCCAGCTGAAGAACGGAGGGTAAATGCATTGGATGTGTTCATGAATGAACCTGGGACCTTCTGCGTGCCGGCACTACCCAGGCCAAAGGCAGCCTTGAACCTTGGCTGGGATTTCCAGGAGGCTGAATTCTGACCATTTCTGTGTTGGAGCTGTGCAGTCATAAAACAGAGAACACCTACATCCCCCGTGGACTTAAAGGTAAAGGTAAAGGTACCCCTGCCCGTACTGGCCAGTCTTGACAGACTCTAGGGTTGTGCGCCCATCTCACTCAAGAGGCCGGGGGCCAGCGCTGTCCAGAGACACTTCCGGGTCACGTGGCCAGCGTGACATCGCTGCTCTGGCGAGCCAGAGCCGCACACGGAAACGCCGTTTACCTTCCCGCTAGTAAGCGGTCCCTATCTACTTGCACCCTAGTAAGCGGTCCCTATCTACTTGCACCCGGGGGTGCTTTCGAACTGCTAGGTTGGCAGGCGCTGGGACCAAACGACGGGAGCGCACCCCGCTGCGGGGATTCGAACCGCCGACCTTGCGATCGGCAAGCCCTAGGCGCTGAGGCTTTTACCCACAGCGCCACCCGTGGACTTATTACCAGCTAAAACAACATACCAAAGTACAGCAGACATTTTTATTCCAACTTACCCATATGTAGAAGATGACTTGAATTTTACTGTTGCTGACCAGCTCTTTATGGTCTCGGGAATTAAAGGCAATGTAATTCTGGAAAATGAACAAGCTCAGAGGTGACAGCAGTAGCAGAATGACACTTTAGCTCAGGGGTCAGCAAACTTTTTCAGCAGGAGGCCGGTCCACTGTCCCTGAAACCTTGTGGGGGACCGGACTATATTTTTTTTGGGGGGGGGATGAACAAATTCCTATGCCCCACAAACAACCCAGAGATGCATTTTAAATAAAAGGACACATTCTTCTCATAAAAACAGGCTGATTCCCAGACTGTCCGCAGGCCGGATTTACAAGGCTGGATCCTGGCCCCCGGGCCTTAGTTTGCCTACCCATGCTTTAGCTCATGGCACTTATAATTTCTTCTCCTTTGGAAGCCTACACAGAGTTTGACCCCTAAGTCAGCCTTCCGCAAATGGATGCCTCCCTCCAGATGTCTCAGACCCCAACTCAGACCATGTGGTCAATGGGCAGGGCTGATGGGAGTTGTAGTCCAGAACATCCGGAGAGCTCCAGGTTGGGAAACGAAATCTGATGCCTAAGTATTAACTAAGAATCAGTCCACACACTTTTTTTCTGCTACACTGATAAATTGTTGTTGTCTCTACAGGTAAGGATTCACAGAATCAATATAGTGTGTGCACGCACACAAATGTCCACATCTATCTCACTAGTCATACATAAAGGTAAAGGGACCCCTGACCATTAGGTCCAGTCGTGACTGACTCTGGGGTTGCGGCGCTCATCTCGCTTTATTGGCCAAGGGAGTCGGCGTACAGCATGACTAAGCTGCTTCTGGCGAACCAGAGCAGCGCACGGAAACGCCGTTTACCTTCCCACCGGAGCGGTACCTATTTATCTACTTGCACTTTGACGTGCTTTCGAACTGATAGGTTGGCAGGAGCAGGGACCGAGTAACGGGAGCTCACCCCGCCGTGGGGATTCGAACCGCTAACCTTCTGATCGGCAAGTCCTAGGCTCTGTGGTTTAACCCACAGCACCATACATATGCAGTGCTTTAAAAAGGAATGAGAAAAGCCTGTGTGATGCAGTGAATGGAGCATTTGGAATGGCGAGACCTGGGCTCAAATCCCCAGGTAGTAAGGCAGCGGCCAGAGGCATGTCACAGCCTGGCCTGTCTCACAGGCTGACAAGAAGCTAAAGGGGGCGGGGGGGGGGTCCAATGTACCTTGCCTACAGCTCCGTGGAGGGAAGGCTGAATACAAAGTAAGTCAGCAAGGAGGATGAAGGTGTCATCTAAGAGATCCTAAGAACAGCTTCACCACCACAAACAGGATACCACAGCAGAATTGCTCAGTTGCTCTTAGATGAAACGCTTTTACTTTGTTTTTGCTTTTAAATTGTGGGTGTGGGTTCCCTGGAGGGAAAGGGGTGGGATATAAATCCAATTCACCCACCAATAAAACAAACCAAATTCATGTCTCACCTGGAAGCCAAACTGCGGCTGGATTTCTACGCTGCAGACAGGCTTTGTCTCAGGTGAGGTCCACCTCCAAATGCAAACTTTCTGATGTGATGAAGAAAGCACGATTATGGACAGGAGTGAGGTTACACTTTGTCTCAAAGACCTGCACTGACTGCCCATTTGTTTGGTCTCTGAGGCCCTTAACAGCTTGGGACAAGTTTGTTTGATGGATTGCCTCACCCCAAAGGGTGCACACTTGTTCTAATACTGCCCCCAGTGCTTTTTTTCCAGAAAACGGGTGCCAGAGCACACTCCCTTAGAAGACCCACCCCAGAGCCCCACTGGTGGAAGAAGAGGGGTGCAGAGGGAGCACACTGCTCCTGGCAGCATGATCCAGTGGGGTGCCATTGTGGCTGCCCGCCACTGCAGGTGGTGTGCCACATCCCCAGGACACGCGTCAGCCCCGCCCCCACCTGGTCTCCGCCTCCCGCCCCCCCAGTGCCGAAGCCTGAAGCTCCACCACTGCAGAGCCCAAAGAGTCCATGTTCTGGGAAATCCTGACTGCTTATAGCCCATTAAACAAAACTGTTCACGCCCCCCCACCACCATCGAGACTGCCCCCCTCACTTCTCTCCTTCACGAATTCGAGGCACCCTATTTAGAGGATTCAGCGCAGGAAATGTTTCCTTTACCTGCACTTCCCCAGCCCCGATGGTAGCCAGAAACTTGGAATCATGCGAAATTGCGATGGCGCAGACTCCGCCCTCTGGGTGGCTGTCAAATATGGTGTGCACAGGAATCCTGGAGAACACAGCACACACTGAACGCTCTGCAACTGAAGCATGTTCACTTCTGCCCTGGTGGGACAGAGGCAGCCGAGACCTTGGCTTTAGGGCTGCCCAATTACCCACCAAGTTTTAAGAGTCGCGACACCAACACTATTGGCAGCTAAGGCCAATGCGGGAGAGGTCTAACGCAGAAATAAATGGTTAGCAAACCTCCGCCACCAGATGCTTACGCAGAGTATCCGTCCCAAACAGTCACCATGCTCTGGGGGCCCCTGTCAGCTGTTGCTATCCACCTTCGGTCTTCACTTATGCAGATGCAGGAAATGCAGTCTGTGTGTCCCTGGAAAGTCAAAGGAAGAGAGCGAGCCCTGCAGAGGCAGCTCATGGGAAATCTCCCTCAAGCCGGTATGCTAAATGTTGGGCCGTTTTTTTATTGGGGACATAACCTTGTGGGTAATCTGTCAAGGAATGCATCTCAGTGGGGCCACTGCCAATGGCAGGTGCATACTTAGGGCAGCACACCCGGTTTCCCTACATGGGGCACAGGGAGGTCTTCCCAAAGCCTAGTAAGCGCTGTACTTTGGGACGGAGGCGTGAGGGCTCTGACAGGGTCCTGGAGTCCTTACCCCAGCCTAGTTAATGCTTGCCCAGCTTTGGGAAGGCATCGTGAGAGGTGCAGGCCACGAATTTTGGCCTCAAACAGAGCTCCATATGACCAAGGTCCTCCCCTGCCGATGGCCAGCAGCACCAGAGGAAAACATGCTCGGGATTAAGTCGTCTACAGTCAAACCCTCCACCCTTCAGTTTTCACCATGGTGACTTCAGATTACAGTTCTCCCTGTTAGGCAAGATGTGCCGCCAAGCAGGCAGGTGGGAGGGCAAAGCGGCTGAAACAAGAAGAGCAAACAGGAAAAACCCTTCCGACACGGGGCCTTTTTCGCCTTCGGTACAGGGCAAGATGGCGCCCCATCCAGTTTCATGTGCAGAAGCTGACCAGAAGCGCTGGCAGCAGGGAAACTTCCTCCACTGTGCTTGAGGGAAGCATACTAGCGGAAGGAACCTAGTATGGGGCAGCCGGGGAGTGGTGTTGGGATAATGGGGAGCTCTGTGTGTGCCCTGCAATCTGCCCGGCTGCTGCCCTGAGGGGTACCACAAGATGGCTGCCCTAACACCAGTGTGGAACCACGTCTCAGCTGCCCGTTTGGTGAGTTTCTGTGCACAGAACGGGATGGGGCGCCATTTTGTTCTGTGCCTCAGGCAGAAAAATCTCTCAAGCTGGCGGGGGGGGGGAACAGGCCACGTGCCACACTCAGCTCTATCTTCCAGCACCAGGTCACCGTTCCTCCTCCTTCCTGCCATCTGCCACTGCGGCCTGAAGCCTCCTCGTCATTTGGCCTGATGGGAGGAGGAGAGGAGAGGACAAATGGGTTCTCCAGCACCGATACAGAACTGACCCGTACCTGGAGGAGATATTGCCTGTTCCTGAGGACATCATGGATCACGGCCGTGTGAGAGGAGACATATAAGATCACACGGTAGTCTTCATCAAGCAGGTTGAAAACCGGGAGTTCGCTGTTATAGCCAAAGACCCAAGACAAACTCTGAAAGAGGAAGACAGAGCAGGGAGGCTCTGCTTAGTAAAAAATAAAAAACACACACGCACAAACACACCCCAACATCATTTTTTACTGAGGTAAGTAAGCCCAACAGCACAACTGGTGCAGGTAATGAGTCCCAAGGAAGCATCATGGAGGGGCTGGTCAGAGCAGGACAGTGATTGGGGGGGGGCTGAAGAAGCTGCCTGTTGGCAACTCTGGGAGGGGAGCGGCTGTGCCAGGGAGAGTGGCGGGGCAGAGGGAGGGAGTTACAAACGATGAGTCAGATCACATCATACAGCAGCAATATGCTAAGTGTTCCTGTCGTAAAGTGTGCACAGCAGTGTGGAAACGCCTCCCCCCCAGCAGCAATCAAAAACATATTGTGACCACAAATACCATAAATTAAATTTGCATGCAACCATGGATTTTGTGCCCTTCCAGACTGGTACTTGGTTTTTATTTTTTGTTTTTTGGTCTGGGTGTCTTCTGCAACAACATTTAACATTGTGGAATAAATGCGGTAGAATAATGTAATGACAACGTAGCTTATGTAATTTACTTAATTAAAAGTCATTTCACTACAGCAGAAAACGATACAAATAGAGTAAGCCCGCAACTTACCCAGGGGTTACGTTCCAGGGATTGCACCTAAAGCAAAACCGTGTATAGTCAAAACACACTGGCTGCGATGGAAGGGTGGGATGCCAAAGACTTCCCCCCTGCACACTCACCACCTTTCCGCCTCCTTTTTAATTTTGCCAAGTGCATAAAGCTGAATGTGCACAAGTTACATGTGCTTCCATTGCGAGTGTACTCTGACGTCATTTTTGGCAGTGGAACAGAAACTGAGGGGGGGGAATGCAGGACAGAATGGAGAAAGATGCCTCCTTACATCCCATCACAGAGCTGCCCTGAGACCATCACAAGCACAAACCATCATGAATGCACAACTTTAAAATGTCTAGATGGGCCCCTGAATGAAACTGATGTTTGACTGGGTGACTCCCAATAACGCTTGTACAGTACAATCAGAATTTTTTTGGCCAATTAATTTTTATCGGTTTTCAAAAATGTTCAGTACAAACGGATCTGGATCTTACACTGGGGTCATGTTCTGGGTGTGGTGCATATATGCAAAAATGCAAACCAGTGTGGTGTAGTGGTTAAGAGCGGTGGACTCGTAATCTGGTGAACTGGGTTCGCTTCCCCGCTCCTCCACATGCAGCTGCTGGGTGACCTTGGGCCAGTCACACTTCTTTGAAGTCTCTCAGCCCCACTCACCTCACAGAGTGTTTGTTGTGGGGGAGGAAGGGAAAAGGAGATTGTTAGCCGCTTTGAGACTCCTTCGGGTAGTGATAAAGCGAGGTATCAAATCCAAACTCCTTCTTTTCCAGAGCCTTGTCTCCCTAGCAAAACAGAGAGCTTTGACTGGGCAAGGCCCGCTCAGCCTGCCAGCTTGGCAATGCTCTTGCGAGATCTCACAAGGCTGCCCGAGTTCCCACAAGATCTTGTCGTGCAAACATCCCCCCAGTTCCAGAGACGGCACAATGAGATGGCCTGTCCCAGTAAGAAGCAGAGAGCTTAAAAGCTCTTTTTGCACAGTGAAAACCTTGCCTTCATTTAATTTGTGGAATTCAAACTGATCGGCCTTCAATCGCACATGCGTGCGTGAAGTCGCACAAGTTTATAATGTGCATAAGATGTGATTGTATTTTAGTGCAAGAAGACAGAAAGGAGGTGGAGCCTCTCTTTCCACTGTTCTACTGACGCCACTCCCTTTCTGAGCAATACTCACAAGTGGGTGCACCGAGAGTGGCCTGCTGGTCTCCTCTAAGGTCATGCCAGGGAGGGCCGAAGAGACAGCGGACTCCTCCTGCCCCTCTGCGGGAGTCAGGCTGCTGGCTGCAGTCGGTGCTTGGGAAGGGCCACTCTCTCCTTGGGCTGTTTTCACCTCCGTTTCCCGGCTGGCCCTTTCATCCTCACTTGAGGGCCCTGTGCCTCCAAGGGCAGCGTTGACTTCGTGGCTCACCTCGGCCTCGGCCTTTGTGGCCGGACTGCCAGGCCCACCACTGCTTGCGGAGCTTGCAGCTTGTCCCGAGGCAAGGGGCTCTCTGAAGCTCACCGCTGCCTCTCTGGGGCTCCCGGCTTCCTCTCTCCTGGCAACACTCTGGGTGCGCATGAGGCCACGTCCTTCCTCTGCACCAGCCACGCTCTCTGAGCCTTGGTCATCTGCTGCTGCTGCTTCCCTGGCGGGGGACTCCTGAGTCTTTTTGCTGCTGGTCTCGTCTTCTGGGACTCCAGGCTCTTCCTCCTCTGAAGGCTGCTTAGCCGCTATTTCCTAAGAGGCAAAACAAAGTTTTGGGTTGAACACCCTGCTTTGCAGAGGAGAGTTCTCGATTTAAATTGTCAGAGAGGGCTGTTCTCTCTTTGAAATCACCAAGTCCAGAAAAGAGGCAAAAGAAGGGAGAGGCCACAGCTCTTGACACTGACCATCAGAAGTTCCCTGGCTAGATTTCCCCACTATCATGAGATGTTTTGTATTCCTAGTATTATCATCATTGCTACTACAACTACAAGAAGTGGCCCAGGTGCCACATAATGCTCGTTTCACAGTTGTAAGGAATCAATCTTTGGAACTCCCTGGCTATTGACCTCAGGCAAATGCCTTCACTGTACTCTTTTCAACAATTTTCTTTAGGGAAGTCTGTTCAGACATGTAGAATGCTGACATGTGCTTTTATTTGCTTTTACTGATCACTGATTTTAAAAATGTTTTAGCTGTTTTTATTGATAATTTTATTGTTTTATTCCTTTTGAAAACCACTTTGAGGGGGTTTTTTGCAATCAAGGGGTATAATATGACATAGATAACAAATAAATAAATGTTAGCAGAGTACAAATGTTACAATAAACAGATAAGTATATAATAGGTTCACGGGGGGGACCAATAATATATACATACAAATGCATGAAAATGGCCTGATAATTCATTCTAATTTGTATTTCTATTTAAGTTATGGCAACCATTGCTAAATCTGCACTTAAAGGTAAAGGGACCCCTAAGCGTTAGAGCCAGTCGCGAACAACTCTAGGGTTGCGGAGCTCATCTTGCTCACCCCGTTGCGGGGATTTGAACTGCCAGCCTTCTGATTGGCAAGCCCTAGGCTCTGTGGTTTAGACCACAGCGCCACCCGCGTCCCTAAATCTGCACTTACAGACTTATAAATAGGCACTTGCAAGTTCAATGCAAATTGCCATCCACTTTGGTCTCCTTGTCTGCCTATGAATAAGCAACAATATCCCTCTCAGGATAGCACCTTCACAAAGCCAAAGTTTTGAAAAAGAGTGGGGAGAGGGGGTGTCCAGCTGTGGAGATCTTTGCAGGTTATATATACATTTTCAGTTTGCTTTAAGTGCTTGCAAAAACTGAATAGTTTATCAATTTCATGTGCAGGAGCCCAAACTGCAAAGCCCTGAATCTCTGTTCACCCGGCAATACTCCAGATACTTCCAGGCCTATCAATACTTTCATGAGAACTAGAAACATGATGTTTTATTATTAGTCTTTCAAAATGAAAGGTGAGCTCCCTAGGATGCTGCATGCTGTGTGCCCAACTGCAGAACAAAAAGCCCCGTGTCTTTGGGCTACTGGGGCACCTCTGCTAATTTATGAGACTCACCATGATAAATGCTTTGTGTGAATACTTACACCAGGTAAACTGGTGGCAGCAGTGTCGTTGGAAGTTTCCAGTAGGGTCGGAGAGCTGCTGGTTTCTGCTGGGACTGGTGCCTCTCTGTCAAAAGTGACTTCCATGGGTTCCGCTGGAAATTGGGGCTGCAGACTGGGCTGGCTCTGAAGGCTTGGCTCCAAGTCCATAGCAGCACCCACAACCTCCATCTCTTCTCTTGGTGCCTCAGTCGCTTCCTCCGATCCTTTTGTCCCCTGAGAAGGGGGGTCCGTTTCATTGGTGTCTTCCTCCATCTCCAAGGAACTTTACTGGAAACAAGCAGTCTTGTGCCCAGTGCAACTCAGGAACTCTTAAGAAACAATAAATAAATAAATCAGTGCAGTTTTGAACAGCACAATCTACCATATTGGTTCTCAGTGGTGCCCATTTGTATCCAAACACAGACCACAACCTGTTCCTTGGCGTCACAAACCTCCATGGAAAGTTTGGCCATCATCTCTTTAAGAGGTGTCCATAGGGACAGAAAACAGAAAAACAACTTTGTAAAATATACAGTATATATAGTATATATAATTATGAAGCAAGCACCCGAGATTGCCCACTAATGAGGGAAAAAATACTCCAGGCTGCTTTTACGTCTTTCATATTCTAGGCAACAATCTTAGCCCCACTTACCAAGGAGAGCAGAGTGAGGAGAGAGCTAGTGAGGCACAGTGGCGAAGAGTGCCAGACTAGAACCCGGGAGGGTAAAAGTAAAGGTAAAGGGACCCCTGACCCTTAAGTCCAGTCGCAAATGACTCTGGGGTTGCGGCGCTCATCTCGCTTTATTGGCCGAGGGAGCCGGCGTACAGCTTCCGGGTCATGTGGTCAGCATAACTAAGCCACTTCTGGCGAACCAGAGCAGCGCATAGAAACACCGTTTACCTTCCCACCGGAGTGGTACCTATTTATCTACTTGCACTTTGACGTGCTTTCGAATTGCTAGGTTGACAGGAGCCGGGACTGAGCAAGGAGAGCTCACCCTGTCGCGGGGATTCGAACCGCCGACCTTCTGATCGGCAAGCCCAAGAGGCTCAGTGGTTTAGACCACAGCGCCACCCACCAGGGTTCAAATCCCCCACTTGGGCACCACTTTGCCCACAGAGTGAGGGCCTCGGGCCAGTCCTTGCCTCTCGGCCTGCCCTACCTCGCAGGGTTGTTGTGGAGGAGGAGTGGGGGGAGAACCATCCCCTTGAGCTCCTGGGGAGAGAAAAGGGAGGGGCGCGAATATGCAACGCAGCAGAGGCAGCAGAGAGACCTACCTGCTCCCCTGCCCCTTTGCAACAGACCCCCAGGAGCCCCGGGCCTCGTCAGCCGCCGCGTAGCTGCTCCCGCGGGACCGGCAGCTGTTTGGCTTCCTCCCCTTGTTGCCATAGGGACCGGCGGCAGCCCGGGCCCTTTCCTTTCGCCGGCGCGCGGGAGTTGACGGGCGGGGCTATGCAAATTAAAGACCAATGGCGGTCCGAGAAGAGGAGGAGGGCGGAGCTTAACGTTTCCCCTTTCGGAGGCTGCGCGAGCCGAGAAGCCGCCAGGTGCGCTTTGGGGAGCGCGGGAAGCGCCGCTCGCGCCCGGCAGGTGCGCCCTTGGCAGCGCGCAGCTGCTCGGCGGGAAAGGGGTCCTGGGTAACTGAGGGGGGAAGTAGTGGTCGCTGCTCCGCTTTGTGCGAGGGCGGAAAGTCCGCTCTCTTTTCTGCAGGGGGGGGCGACTTGAATAAAATACTGGGGGGGGGGAGCCCCAGGTGAGCCCCGCCCACATAATCTAGTGGCAATCCCATCCACTTTCGGGGGGCGAAGACCCCTCGGGCCCTGGGAGTTGGATCCTATGGGGGGAGACTTCTCGCAACACCTCCTCCACTTTCCTGCTTTTCCTTTTTTTATTTTTTTTAATAATAACGATAAAACACCCTTCACCATCAACACAAGAAAAAGAAAGAAAGACATTATCCCAATCACATAAGAACAGAAAAATACAATAAAAAACATAAAAAGTAGAAGAAAAAAGACATAAAAAGACATACAAATCCAATTTCTTACGAATTATTTTCATAACCCTCTTTCCAGACTTCCTCACATCTCCCTTTTCTGTGTTCCTTTTTACACAATCTTAATCAGCAGTGCCTTACCCTTTTTCATATCTTATTTTATATTAAACATTTCAACTATTATGTCTCCAGTTTTTCCCTTTATATCAATTTGTTTAAATTTGACATATTATTCTAATTTTTTTCATCCTTATTCTTATAAAACATTTTTTCCATATTCCTTTCAACTATGTCACTAATGCCATATTATCTTTATATCCTGCATCATTTTAACATTCATACATTTTGCAATGCTTTTGCAGGTAGTCTTTAAATTTCTTCCAGTCCTCTTCCACTAGCTCTTCTCCCAGGTCTCGGATTCTGCCAGTCATTTCTGCCAATTCCATGTAGTCTATCAGTTGCATCTGCCATTCTTCCAGAGTGGGCAAATCTTGTGTCTTCCAATGTTTTGCGATGAGTATTCTTGCTGCTGTTGCTGCATCTGCTTTTCCTTTTTTTAATAATAATATTTTCATTCATTTTAACATATAAATTATAAAATGTACCACAGAATTTATCACTTATACAGTCTTTTTGGACTACCATCAGGACCTCTGATGATCCACCGTTTTAACCACTTCTTATGCATTTCTTAACTTTATACTGCCTTTACATCTCTTAACAAATCATCCTCCCCCTTATCCATTTTTGCAATACTTCTAATAATACTCCTCACGAAACTTCTTGCAACCCTACAAACGTCGTCTGTTCTTCACAATTACTTTTCAAATAGTCCATAAATTTACTCCCGTCTTCCGTGAATTTCTGGTCTCGCCAGTTTCGAATCCTTCCTGTTACTCTAGTTAGTTTATCTTTCCTGCTTTTCCAGGCTTTGAAGGGTGTTGCTATTCCAGATGTGGGCGCAGCTGGACGGGACGCCTCCAGCTTGAGCCTCTTACTGCTATGCTATGCTGCTTGTTTCTTACATTTAGTTCACAAACATGCATCCGTTGAAGGTTGTTTTTTTATTACCTTCTTTTCTGTCACGAGTCTGATTTCCTTGAGAATTCTTCCCTGTTCTATTCTGTTTATTAGCATATACACATCCACAATCACGGAGGGCATCTTCTCCACTTTTGCCATTTTTCCGCTTTTTTGAAATACTTCTGCTTTCTGCCTATACGCAGCTCCCTCAGCCCATGATACAAAAGTTCTATATGGTTATCTAATTTTATTGTCTGCGTGACAAGTTTCATTTTCTTCTTCAATAATTTTACCCGTTTTTTTCTACCCGTTGGCATGTCACTCTGCTTTGAACTAGCCTGGCATCTTGAAGAGAAGCTCAAGGCTTTTCTCCCATGTGTCTTTATTCTCACCCATAATTTTCATTTTGAATAGTTTCATCACACTATAATTTTTCTTTATTACACTTCACAATATTTATATACTGCATGACAAAAGACACTCTACTTTACCCTGGTCTTGGGTACTTGAGATTATATAATGTCCCACTTTAGCCGTCATTTTAATTTTATATGGTTTTTGTATTTCCTATTGTTCTGCCCTGCTGTTGGATCTTCTGAAGGCAGGTAATTAATTAATTAATTAATTAATAATCCTTCTACTGCAGACCTGAGCTCCTTGACCTAATTTCAACCAACATTTGGAGGACATGATGGTTCTTCCCTCAGAAACCTGACTGGACTAGCAGTTAATTCTTTCTTCAGCTCTGGTGACAGGATAGTGCCCTCTGCCCCTGAGGCAGCCCAGAGCAGCCCATGTGACATTTACGTCTCTGTCCTCCAACAGATAAAGTGGCCATTTTTATTTTACAAAATAATGTCTGAAGGGCTGTTCTGAGGGAAGTCAGTCAGTCATTATCTCTCTCTCTCCCTCTCTCTCTCTCTCTCTCTCACACACACACACATATACACACAGACCCCCAAAATGGCAGTGTGCAGCATTTAAGAAACCTTTAAAAACAATGCAGAACAGTCATTAAAATGACTGGCTATTAAAGACACCCTCTAGATGCAGAACAGCTTGGTCCCAGTCTGGTTAAAAAATAAAAATAAAGCCCAAGAAAGAGAGAAGGTCCTTGAAGCTGCCCTTCCTCCAGCAGTGAGCTCCTGGAACGCAGACTGAATAGGCACACGGGCTATGAGGCCACGTACTTTCTCACAGAGATGGTTTGTCTATATAAATTAGACAGTTGGGTTGTGTCCACTGCTAGTTAGAACGTACCGCCTCTGCAGAGACTTTTCCAAGTATGCCTTTGTGGACAGGGTTATACTGCTAGTTACTCTAGGAGCAAAGAAAGCTGCTTAAAACCAAGGGAGAGCTTTGGTCCATCTAGCTCAGTACTGGCTACAATGGCTGCAGCAGCAGTTCTTGGGGGTTTCAGGCAGGGGTCTCTCCCAGCCCTACCTGGAGATGCCAGGAAGTGCACTTGGGACCTTCCACATGCAAGGCAGGTGCTCTGCCACTGAGCTTATGTCCCTTCTCCGTCTAAGCTGGAACATGCAGCCTATTTAAAAAACTTTATTCAAAATGACCTGATAATACAAAGCACAACTTGAATTAATATTCCAGGTCTGACAACAGATATGCAACAGTAAACAAAAAAGAAAATGGAAAGACACCATGAGTACTGGTGTAAAACTTTTATTGGCAAATTCCCAAGCAAACCAAAACGTCACGGAATTAAGTCATCCAATTCTGTAAGAAAGCCACAAGCAGCTCCCCTTTTTAACTTTTATTTACAACAGGGGCAAACACCGTAAGAGGAGGACTAACTAATCCTTTAAATCCTTTAAACTCTTTCAAAACAGCATCTGTGTGTCAGCCAACACCAAAGCCTCAGCACTTGTCTTTCCACATCCTGGCTTCTTCGGGTAGATGTTAAGGGGCTCAAACCCAGGTTGAGATGCCATCAAGTGCTTTGGAGCTTCCTCACTGAAAAACATCATCTTTGCAGAGGGACTATATTGCAACTTGGGGGGAAAGAAAAGAGAAAGATATGAGACCTTCTGCAATTCTAATATTTTGATTATAGGAAATCTCAGAGGATCATACTTCTCAGACACACACTTTTTATTTGAGGAAGGGTTGTAAACTCACCAGAAGAGCACCTGCTTGACAGTTGGACAAGTAAAATGGTTGGCAAGGTTTAGTCAAAAACTGCAGATCCTCGTTAAAAACCGGGGGGAGGGGTTATTTCCCCAAAACAAGGGCAGGGAAGGAAAGAAGTGCAACACCCATTCTAGACCCTGGAGTTCAGGGAATGGCCAGGACACCAGACCCCTCAGGACTCTCCCTGAGAAGGGGGCTGCCAGCAATGGGACAAAAACCCTGGGAAATTCATGCAAGAGGCAACCACCAGATTGTCCAGAAACAGGCTGCACACAAACTCCTGCACCCTGGGCCAACCTGATGCTCTCCAGACCTTTTGGACTACAACTCTTATCAGCCCCTGCCCGCACAGTTGGGAGTTTTAGTCCCAAACACCTGGAGGGCATCAGGTTGACCAGGGCTACCCTCCTGCTACATGCCGAACCCAGCTTTCTGCCCACAATGGTCAAGATTGGTCAGAAGCTCCTTGTGCTTGCAGGATGCAATTTTAGCTTGCCTGGAGAATGAGACACAGACACAAACAGCTGCTTCATTGGAGGGGGGGGGGTGTCTCCCTGGGGAGGGGAAGCTGTAGCCCTCAGGACACTGCTGGACTCTAGTTCCCAGCCACCCCAAATCAGCCATGTTGGCGGGGGTGATGGCAACTGGGAGCCCAACAGCCCTTCTGGAAGGCAGGAGTATTCTCCCTCACTCAGTTATTTACATCCCACCATTATCTCAAGCTTTGATTCATCAAGGCAGCTTCAGACACTGAAAAACAGCATTATGAAATGCACAGTATTTGTCTGCCCCTTAGCTGCCAAAAACCCGTCTGAACAGGAAGCCTAAGCCTAACCAAGCAGGAGCCAGGTTAGCCTCTCTGAGGAGGGACGGCCCTCTCTCTCATTCACCAGCAACATGTGAAGGCTCTTAGCACCTGGGCAGGATTCTACAGGTAGGCACATGTGTCACAGGGGGGAGGAGCAGGAGGAGGGCCCTCTCCCAACATGTTCCCCTTAGTGCGGCCAAACATCAATGCACATGGAAGGGAGAGGCAGAGATTCCAATCATTGCTGGCCACAGAGTTCAGAACTGAGGTTACAAGAGTGATGCAGGACCGGCTACAAAGATGTTGATGTCAGTTCTGCCTTTGATTTTTGAATTGCTTACCCCAGAAGCCCTTTTCCACTCCAGCGTTTCGGGGTGAGCCCCAAATGAAGCTTCTGACCACTGCGGATCACGGTCACACTTAGCGGTTGCTGCAGGGGGCAGAAAATAAACAAGAGAGTCCTCACTGCACCCAAGACACTTTTCGTAACTGGCTGAATATCTTGTGGAATGCCCAAGGGAGCTGTAGGTGCAGGGAGGGAGGGGAGGCCCCCACGTCCTCCGTGCCCCATTGCTGCGCTTATGGCACAGCCAAAAGTGGGGAGTTATTAACATCAGGTAGGGGCCCTAGCTGTATCATTTTAGACGCCTGCTGAAAGACCTTGATTAGGGAAGCCTACCTAGACGTCATTTCATTACTTGTTTTTAAGTTTCTTTCTCTCCTTTTAATGTTATTTTTAAATATTTAGCTCTACTTTTCTTTGTCTCTTCTGATTAAGCAGCAAATAAACTTGATTAGATAAAAACATCAAACGATTCTATGTCATACAAATACACACACAAATCAACAAATCATACAGCCACAGAAGCAAAGGGCAAGGGACTTTATAGGATTTAAAGTTCTGAGTCACTTGATGTTACATTTCACGCTACTGACTGATCACAGAACCTTTACTCAAAGGCTTCCAAATAAACCACTGCTTTGTCAGCTTAAATGGCATTTAAGTTTTAAAAGGCTTTTTAATAACGTGTTCAGGTGGGGTTAGATTTATAGGCTTTGATTTTAAAATTCAAAAAGAAGAAGAAAACATAAAAACACGCAAACACACACACAAATTAACCAGCCACAGAAGTAAAGGGCAATGGACACACACACACACACCATGCATCCTGGTAGACCTGCTTGGGACATCAAGGTCTATGATTAGTCAGACTGTGGTGCCTTCCCAGGTGGGAACTGTGTCACTGGTGCCTCCAGGCTGGGCTACAGATTCACAGCAAGTGCTGGAGCTGTTTTCCACCAGCAGGTCATCACTGAAGGGTCGACTCCAAAGGGAATAACCCCCTTGATTCAGTGTTCAAAGGAGGAGCAGCATGGAAGCCCCTTTTTAGCTTGGCGCCAGAAAGTAGGTGTGACACAAGTGCTTTAAGGAGGATGGCAGCTATCAGTCTCCTGCCCTGTTGCAGCATCAGCGGGTGACTTCAGGCAAGTGTCGCTCTGCACATGCTCCGCACTGTGGCTTGGTTTGCCTTCTGCCTGGTCACTGATACTGGCAGGCTCTGTGGGCATTTGTGGGGATGAAGGCGAGACCCCATTTCAGACACGGAGGGAGGGGGGAAAGCTGCTTACCCCTTCACTGTGCTGGACCACAGTGGCAATATTCTGCAGTGACTGGAAGTTGTGAGTGTTGACGGAGCCAAACTCGACGATCTCATCGTCGACTTGCAACCCCTTCAGAGAGAACCAAAGAACACATTATACACCCTGGTTTCCCCTTGGGAAGCCAAACTCAGTACCCGGTACTTTAGAATTGTTCTAAGTATAGCAGGGGACCGCCCAAACCTTAGAAATTTTAAAAACAGCAAGATTATGATTGTTTGGGATACAAAAGGAGAAATACAAGCTGCAGACACCTGAAATCCTGTGCACAGCTCAGCAAGGATTATGGCCGGGGGGGGGCTGGTAGCAGTATTGTATCCCAAATGAAAATGGCTGAGTAACAGGTGGAGGGGGGCAATGTGACAGGTGTAAATAAAATTATACATGGTGTGGACACTTTTTCTCCTTTCTCATCATGCCAGGACCCAGTGGGGTCATCTAATGAAGTTGGGGATGAAAGATTCATGGCAGACAAAAGGAAGGAATTCTTCACACAGCAGTGAAGAGCTAAATTACAAATAAGATATGATAAAGTCCACCAGCTTGGATAGTTTCCAAAGCAGATTAGACAAACTCACCAAAGAGGGTAAGGCTATCAATGGCTACTGGCCCAAAGCAGCAGGGTTCTACTTCGCCAAATAACAAACCCACAGAGGTCTGGACGGGTGAGAGAGATGCAATACTTGCCGAGAAGCTCGCTGGAGAACCCTGTGTGACGGCATTCACCCTGGCAAAAGGCTGGGGCAACACCTGACTCTGGCTCCTGGCTTCGGCTCGCGCTTCCGCCTCGTCCTTTTCGCGCTTCTCCTTCTCCCGGGCGTGGAGCTGGTGCAGTGCCTGTTCCACCTGGTGCATCAAGGCTTTGTGATCATTCTGCAAACCTGAAAGCAGAGGGAAGCTCCTGTAAGCCCAAGATGTATTTGCACAGAAAGCTGTTCTCTGAGTTATTATGGTTCTTTAAGCAACGCCATCCACACACATGCGCTTGGGGATGAACAGGCATGAGGGATCCCTGGCAGGAAACGGAGGGGAGGGGAGGCAATGGAAGAATAGGCAACGATTTCAAGTTGGCTTGAAATCTGTACTGAGGCTTCGGTACAATAATGTACAGTACAGGAATTAAAAGGATGAAAGGAGAAATGGCAGAGCGATCTCAGGAAATGGTCTACAAACAACAATAATCACAGAATTGTTGAGCTTTAAGGGACTCAAAGGGTCCATATAGTCCAACATCCTGAAATGCAGGAATCACAGCTAAAGACCCTCTGGCAGAAGGCCACCAACTTTTGCTTCAAAACCACCACTGATGGCTGGCCAACCACTTTCCAAGGGAGTCCATTCCACTGCTGAACAGCTTTTACCACCAAGAAAGTTATTCCTAATGATTACTTAGAATTTTATTTCTTGTAATTTGAATCCATTGGTTTGGTCCTGCCCTCTGCAGCAGCAGAAAACAAGCAGAAAACACTCCATATAAATGATGATGATGATGATAATAATAATAATAATAATAATAATAATAATAATAATAATAATAATGTCTCTAAGCCACCAATAAACCTATAAAACCCTGATGCTTAGAGATTTTTTTTGGTACACAGTGATGAATAAACCTGATAAAATATTAATCATTTGTTATATATGATAACAAAATAATATTTAACTCAAAAAATGGGAACGAAATTACTTGAACTATACATCTGATCAGAGAACAGCTAGATTCTCCTAAGATAGGAAGCTGCCTTGTACCAAATTTGATCTGGGTCCATCTGGCTCAGTACTGCCTACACCGACTGGCAGCAGCTCTCCAGGGAATCTTTCCTGGTCACAGGTCCACCTGTAAATGCTGCCACAACGGGAAGCTGGGATCTTCAGCATGCAGAGCAGATACTCTCCCATGGACACATGGTCTTTCCTTCAAGGTTATGCAAATGTCCACATGCTTCCCAAATTCATGTGATTTATTTTATTGCATTAATCATGTGGAAGGACAAAGACCTGGGCCACATGCGGATGCCCCAGCCTCCCATTGCCAAGCCTACAAAACCCCTTTCCCTGTGGCTTTGAGGATATTGCCCGCTTTGAATCCTATCTTCACAGCAGCGTTAGAAATTAGCCAGGTGCCAGGCGCATTTTACTACTGCTGGGGCTCCAATAGTGACCCTGTGGAGATCTCTGGATGCCAGGTTGGCAACTGACATTTCCAACGGGCTGGCCCCTCCAGCTTTATTAAGCAGAACAGCTGATTTATTGCATTTATATCTCACCTTTTTCTCCAAGGAGTACATGGTTCACCCCCTATTAAGCAGGTAAATAAACATGGGGAGAGCAAAATCTCACCTAGAGAAGGATATGAGATATTTTCCTTGAAACTTGATTTTGTTTTATTCTGGATTATTTGATGTTTTAATGTGTTGTAAACTGCTGTGATTTTTTTCCCTTTAAAATATCAAGCAGTATAGAAATTAAATTAACAACAATAGCAATAAATGGCATCATTAAAAGAGGCACCTAGACAATTAGTTATGGTAACCGTAACCCAGGTGCCCTTTGGCTTATATATCTGAGTTTCTAACACGGCTTCATAGTGACTGGGACTAGGTTATTTCTTCTTATTTCAAGCAATGAAAAGTGGATTTATTTATTTATTTCATAAAACTTATATATCACTTGACTGTAAAAAAACACACCTTTACACATTAGATGCTCTACACATTAGACCTTATCTGCAGTTGTACCAGAATTACAGCATTATCTACAGGTTGCTGATCATAGGCTTATTATAGAACCCCAGGGCTGGGAGACATATCGTCCAAAACCAGTTTGAAGTCCATACCATGATATCGGTTTTGTAATGTCTGACCTGGCAATGTATCATGAATCATTCTCTCTGTGTGTATCTGCTAGGCAAAAATCACAATGTGGGGGAAACTGTGAAGCCAGCCAATGCTCCTCTCGTTTCTGCACCCGCTGTTAACTCTTGCCAGCTCAGCTCTTCCCTGCCTCATGCAGGGGGCAGCAAAACAGAAGAGCAGGCGCTGGCAAAAATCATGATACAGAGGAAAACATGAACCAACCGAGGCCACTGCATAGCTCCATCCTTATTTCAGACACTGTGATATATCGGTATATTAACTGGGGATATAGCACAATGCTGAAAACCAGATATTGTCCAGCCATATAGAACATCCCACCCCGTTAAAGTAATATCTTCCTTTCAGGTTGGTGGGCAAGCCAATCTAAGCCCCTCTGAACTCATGTGTTGTGGCTGTAATCCCAAGCACTGACTGCTACCTGAGAGTAAGCCCCACTGAAAACAGTGCAGCTGACTACCAAGTAAACATACCCAAGTAAACGTACCCAGGCTGCAAATCAATTAAATTGTGGGCTGTTGCTTACAGATGATGTTGTGCCTTGCCGCCCGGACTTGATAGACATCCACATCAGCACGTGGATAGCCTTCAACATCCACAAGTGGTTCGTTCATCCCGACACCTTTTTGCTGCAGCATAAAAAGGAAAAACACAATTACCCCTTTGAGACCTGTTCCCGAATAGGGCAGATAATGTATTAGCTTAAAATCCTCTTTCCTCTACAGTACAATCCTACACGTGTCTACTCAGAAGTAAGTTCTATTGAGTTCAATGAGCCTTCCAGATAGGTATAGCATTGCTATACCTATCTTAGTTTGCAAATTATTAGAGATCTTAGTTTGCAAGTTTATTATTATTATTATTATTATTAATAATAATAATATTCATACTGCCTTTTATCCGTAGGCCTCGGTAGTACACAAGATTAAAATACAAGATCAAAACACATAATAAAAACAAGAGGTGACCACGGTAGCATTAAGAGGCACCAAGCGCTGCAAGCGCTGCAATGTTACAGGTACCCTCATGGAACCATCGGGTTGGAAGGGACCCCGAGGGTCATCCATCCCAACCCCCGGCAACGCAGGAGGGAAACACAGCGGCGTGCAGAGGGCAGGGCGGCAAATTCACCCCAGGGCCATGAGGGCGAGTCCACGACGTCGCAGCAGCTCCCCGGGTCGCCCTGGGATCGCCGAGAGCCCGGGGCGGAGCAGGGAGTCGAGCGAGGCCCCAACCCGCCCGGCCCGGGAGTTGCTACTCACGTCCTCCAGGACCCCGTAATAGGCTCGGATCTGGGCCTCCAGCTCGTCTTTCTTCCGCAGCAGCAGCTGCACGTCGCTGACGGAGATGCCCTGGGGCTCCGGAGCCTCGTCCTGCGCCGACATCCCGGCTCCGCCAACCAGGCCCGGCCAGGGGCGCCTCTCCAGACGCGACAGCAGACACGGGGCGGCGGAGGAGCCAAAACAGCCGCGTCACGGCAGGGCTGGGGGGCGGGGCCTCCTGCAGGAAGAGGCGGGGTTTGCGCGTGACGGCGAGGGGCGGGGCACGGTTCACACGTGACGACCGCAGCGTCCGGGCGGGGAAGGCTCTGTGCACGTGTGAAGGGGGCCCGGGAAGGTGGGCGCGTCCTGCGCAAGGGCTTTCCCGCCTCCTGCACCCCCCCCCATATGCGGAAGCGAGGTTGCTATATATAGACACGTGTCATGCGCCAGCGAACCAGGAGGTCCCGAGCCTGGGGGGGGCGTGTTGCGGTCCTCTGCCAGTCATCAAGGGGTTCGCAAACTCTTCTCTCTGGACCACACTTTCAAAATAAAAATTTGCTCTCGCCACGCCAAAATCTTTATTGATAAGAAATGCATTGAGAAACAAAAAACTGTTGGCAGTGATTGATCTATATAATATGGAACACAGGTACTTTATAATATGATCATGGGACATTCACATGAGTGTAGCCAGGATTTGTAGGGTTTGGGGGGGGCAGAACCTCTGTTAAGTTTTTGTATTTATTTACTTGATTGAATGGGAGGCAGCTGCCTCCCTGCCCCTCTTTGGCTACACCCATGGACATCCAGAAAGTATAAAACAATGCCGTTAAATAAGTGCTATAAAATAATTAACTATGTATACAAATTCAAAGAGAGGTGTGAGCTTGCTTTTGCCAGGTACAGTGGTACCTTGGGTTACATACGCTTCAGGTTACAGACTCTGCTAACCCATAAATATTATCTCGAGTTAAGAACTTTGCTTCAGGATGAGAACAGAAATTGTGCTCCAGCAGCGCAGCGGCAGCAGGAGGCCCCATTAGCTAAAGTGGTGCTTCAGGTTAAGAACAGTTTCAGGTTAAGAACAGACCTCCAGAACGAATTAAGATCTACGCTCCCAACGGAAACCGCTGCTCTAACGGGAAGCCCAAAAGGAAGAGCTGAGCGCAAGAGCCCTTGTCCCTCTTGTCAGCCCCAGCAGGTGCCTTCAGCAAGGTAACATAGCCATTGGAACTGGTAGCCATTGACAGCCTTTGCTCCAGGAATTCATATTTTTTTAAATTTTAATATATTTTTACTGATTTCCAAGGTACAAATACAAATATGAAAAAAGGGGTGGTTGTGTGACTCATCTATACAGATAGCGCAGAGGAAGTTAGCCATGTTGACCAGTAAGGAAAGTTCCCAAATCCACATTAGGGCTACAACACATTTATTACGCTAATCAAAATGTCAAAAAAAGGTGCAAGCTTTCAAGTTCTCCAGAGCTCTTCATCATGCAAAAATATAAGCAAAGAAAGGGAGGTGCAGACTCCACAGCTTCACCATAAACCAACTCCTCTCCTCCCTGCCATTGCTCTGGTTACCATCTATAACATGGGTAGGCAAATTAAGGCCCAGGGGCTGGATCTGGCCCAATTGCCTTCTAAATCAGCATGTTTTTACATGAGTAGAATGTGTCCTTTATTTAAAATGCATCTCTGGGTTATTTGTGGGGCATAGGAATTCGTTCATTTTTCCCCCTTCAAAATATAGTCCAGCCCACCACAAGGTCTGAGGGACAGTGGACCGGCCCCCTGCTGAAAAAGTTTGCTGACCCCTGATCTATAACAATAAAACAACGAACAGGGTGGTGATACAATGACTACTGCAATTGACACAAGATAATATCACCAAGGCAACTATTTATAAACAACATAGAGGACAGATATACCCCTGCTTTACGTTGTTTGCATACTCACTGTCTTCACTTGTATATTGTTTACTACAAAGCTGGTAAATAATGGTACTAAGAGCCATCACAAAATTGGTGAATTAATTGAAAGGTAAAAAATTGCTTAGAAACATAAAGAGTAGCTTCCTATTTAAAAGGTCAGTCTATTGACGCTTATATAGTGGGACCTTGGTTTAAGAACAGCTTTGTTTATGAACAACTTGGATTAAGAATGCTGCAAACCCGGAAGTAGGTGTTTTGGTTTGTGAACTTTGCCTTGGATGCAGAACATGTTTCGCTTCCTGTTGAGTGTGTTCCATTTGTAAATTGAGTCCCCTGCTGCTATGGGAAAGCATGTCTTGGTTTAAGAACGCTTTGGTTTAAGAACAGACTTCCAGAACGGATTAAGTTTGAAAACCAAGGTACAACTGTATATTGAAATAAGTGTGTTGAATCAAAAGTCTTAACAAAACATCCTTAAACAATGAAAAGGCAACAATCATTTCATTCCCTACACCCTTTCTTTTAAAGGTAAAGGTACCCCTGCCCGTACGGGCTAGTCTTGCCAGACTCTAGGGTTGTGCGCCCATCTCACTCTATAGGCCGTGGGCCAGCGCTGTCCGGAGACACTTCCGGGTCACGTGGCCAGCGTGACATCGCTGCTCTGGCGAGCCAGCGCAGCACACGGAAACGCCGTTTACCTTCCCGCTTGTAAGCGGTCCCTATTTATCTACTTGCACCTGGGGGTGCTTTCGAACTGCTAGGTTGGCAGGCGCTGGGACCGAACGACGGGAGCGCACCCCGCCGCGGGGATTCGAACCGCCGACCTTTCGATCGGCAAGCCCTAGGCGCTGAGGCTTTTACCCACAGCGCCACCCGCGTCCCCAACCCTTTCTTTTACACCACTGTAAATTGTAAAAAATAAATGATTGGTGTTTGCTATTTAGATCAATCCGTATAGCTCACTGAGTAGAGCACGAGACCCTTAATCTCAGGGCCGTCCTTTGAGCCCCATGTAGAGCAAAAGATTCCTGCAGGGGCTGGACTTGAAGACCCTCGTGGTCCCGTCTAACTCTTCCATGATTCTGTAATCTAAGGGCATTGCTTTCAAGTGAAATCATTCTCTGCGCACTCAAACACAGTTCAAACACATTAAAAGGTTTTGATAAAAAGTAATCTTTATTAAAAAGTTTTCCAGATGAAATACGTTGTTTCCGAGAGATTTGCATGGGGAATTTTTTTCGATTCCTCAATAATAAGGGGCAGTGGGGTGAGGGAGGCCAGGGCCACATCCACACCATTTCATGTGCTATGAAGCCGCTTTAAACACTCATGGCTTCTTCCCCCAAAAGAATCTGGGAGCTATAGTTTGAAAAGGGGGCAGAGAGTTGTTAGGAGACCCCCTCTTCCCCTCCAAGAGCTACAATTCCCAGGGTTCCCTGGTGCTAACCCTTAACCCTTAACTAGAGCTACAATTCCCAGAGTTCCCTGACAAGAAGGGAACCCTAACCCTACACCTTAACCCTTAACCCGAGCTACATTTCCCAAAGTTCCCTGAAAAGAAGGGAACCCTACCACTACCCATAACTCTTAACTAGAGCTACAATTCTCAGAGTCCCCTGACAAGAAGGGAACCCTACCCCTACCTCTGACGCTAACTCTAACTCTAATGCTAACCCTTAACCCTTAACCAGAGCTACAATTCCCAAAGTTCCCTGACAAGAAGGGAACCCTAACCCTACACCTTAACCCTTAACCCGAGCTACATTTCCCAAAGTTCCCTGAAAAGAAGGGAACCCTACCACTACCCCATAACTCTTAACTAGAGCTACAATTCTCAGAGTCCCCTGACAAGAAGGGAACCCTACCCCTACCTCTGACGCTAACTCTAACTCTAATGCTAACCCTTAACCCTTAACCAGAGCTACAATTCCCAAAGTTCCCTGACAATAAGGGAACCCTAACCCTAACCCTACCCCAACTCAACCCTACCCCTACCCTACTCCTAACCCTAACCCTAACCCTAACCCGCCTAACAACTCTCTGTCCCCTTAACCACCTACAGTTCCCAGAATCCCTGAGGGGAAGCCATTCCTGTTCAAAGCGTCTTCATAGCACTTCCAATGGACTAATGTGGCCTAATGTTTCCTCCCTCATTTTCTTCTCTCTCCCCACTGTCCCATCACTTGCAATGCAGCAGATGTCCGCCTGCAGTCTCCCTTCAAAGCTCCTTCTCTCAGGTACGGCCACTGCCTTGTCCATTGTTCGCTGCCAGTATTTCACGTTCATTTCTCCAATGTAAATAGGGACGTCCTGCGGTTCTCTTCATGACTTTGGACTTGGGGAAAACCTCACCGGCTCCGGACATCCCTGTAAGGCAAAGGCAAAGAGGTGAGTGGAATGGCCCCCATCCGACAGCGTCCCCCCAGACTCCTCCTCGGTTTGGCTGCCTGTTAACAAACAAGGCTTCCAAACCACTTTGCATCCATCACTGCCAGAGTAGCCTCACGGCATCCACTAGCCTGAACGCAAACTCTTCCAACAACCACCCACCAGCTGCAGCCTCGCCAGGTCCATTGCCAGACATCAACCAGCTTCAGAGCTGAATATCCGTCGCCTTCAGGTAGCGATCCCACCAGCAAGTCAACTTTGTACTTGCCTTCTCCTTGCTCCACAGCATCCCAGCACCAGGCGATTGCCTCCTTCCGCTTGTCAGCTTGCTGCCACGGGGCAGGAGACCACCAGGGCTGAGTGCCACCGAGCTGCCCATTTCTCTCTGGGGAGGGCAACTGCCGAGGCTTGCGCCTTGGCCCACATTTATGTGTTTGTGGCATCACAGTCAACCCACAGACAATGGCAGCAGCTGGGGAGGCATCACCATCACACCCTCAGCCCTCACAATGGGGGGGGGGCACAGCCCAGCAGCCAAAACACCCTCCCCCAAGGTGTGTCTATATCTGTGAAGGCCACACCGGAACACCCAAGGGGGCAGGAGGGGGACATTTTTCAGCCCAGGGGCTGCATTTCCCTCCACATAACACTAGTCAAATGCACAAATGAACAGAGCAATGAAAGCAAGCCTTATCTTTGCCGTTCAAGGAATGGCATGCAGAGAGAAAGTTAGCATCTCAGTAAAAAAGCATTTTTTCACCAATCAATCAATCATTTATTGTATTTGAGTAAAAGCCATTACAGATCCAGTTACAAAAGCATCAAACCCAAAGACCCAAACTATAGCGCCCAGATTCATTTGCTCTTCAGATATCTGGGCGCTCCTTTTTTCAGCTTGTCATAGTCTGCATTCACCGCACAGAACTGAAAGAGGGCAGGACGGTTAAGCGTTATCTCCAGCTTGGACTACTACCACGCGCTCTACGTGGGGCTGCCATTGAAGGTGACTCGGAAGTGGCAGGAAAGGATCTCTAATCATTTAACTTTAATGAGCTTAAAAGCAGTTTTGTCAATGGCAGAAACTCAGGGATCTATCCTGCTTATTCAGTCAGAGTTTAGAAGATTGAACTGGAGAGGAGAATGAAGAATCATAGAAGGAACCCAAGGGTCATCTAGTCCAACCCCAAATGCTGTGATCACACACACCAGGCCTTCCAAAGCTGAAGCTTATTATTCCTCCCACCAAGTGGTCATTATTATCATGATTATTATTATTAGCCCATCTTCCGTAGATTTCAGGGATGGGGCTGATGGGAGTTGGAGTCCCAACCATCTCTGCTGGACACCAGGCTCCCCATCCCTGGCCTATACGATAACCAGCATCATAACCCTAGTTAAGTATTTCCTACCATACCTTGTACTGGTCGTTGGGTCACAGCTTGTTCCAAGGCTCTGGGTTGCTCTTTTTGTCCCAGCCAGGCAGAGAAACGTGACAAGAGGCAGGCAGCAAGGAGTAGATCTTTGGAAGAAGAAGAAAAACATACAGCATAAAGCGAAACGCTCTGCCCAACTCTTGGCACATGGTTCCCACCAAATTTAACAATCATGGCCTCCTCAGTGCCACCAGAAGAGCACACTTCTTTGATAATGTGGGATGTAAAAAAAGGCCACCGTACCCCAAGTAAAATCCCTTTAAAGCCAGTTAACACACAGTTACCTAAATGCAAGGGCAGCTTCTCACTGCCTTGCACCAGAGACAGCAGCAAGTTTGGTGAGGCAGTGCTGGACAGAACTCGATGCTGGCAACCCAATCCTACACTTTCTCCATGACAGGTTCCTGATAGACTTTGTGCTTTCTGCCCAGACAGTTCATTGGCTTTACTCTCTTCCCAAATACGCTTTTAGCTATGCTCTACCGCTCATTGCAATGCCTTGGATACAACTTGGCTGAGGAATGGCAATGCTTATATGGTTGGTTTTCTTACTCTAAAGCTAAGAAGCTGACGCTCATGTTTTACTCTAGTTTTATAATTTGTTTTATAACTATTATTATTATACTACCTCTGCAGCACAGCAGGCCATATTTTATTCAGGTTACGCTTTAAGATGCAACACTTGAAGAAGTGGCAAAAGCTCTGCCCCCAAGGAGCTTGGAAGGGTGCTTATCAGCCTGGCCCAGCCAGGCCACCAGTCCCTGCCACTGGGTCCCCAGACGCTCTTCAGTGGCAGTGTCGCTTCTGAAAAGAAGCCAAGCTCACTCCCATCCTCTCAGGCCACGGATCCCTGTGATGAATTCTGAGTTGCGTAAAGTAGTGGGCAGCTGCCACGGATGGGAGTCCAGCTGAGGTCCCATTCAAAAGCGCTGCCTCACATCCATCAGTGAAGGACACCCAGGGGCCACTGGGAGGCAGGGAGCACGTGACGTGGTTTTGCAGGGGTGGCACTTACCTGACATCAGGGTTGCGAAGAGCAAGGCACATGGTGCACAGGCCGGTCCCTCCGATTCCAATCAAGACGAACAGAGGAATCAGCTGTGATAAACAGAACGTTTTGAGATCAAAAGCCGAAGTTGAAAACCGGAATAAGTCGCCTAAGACAGTGTGCGTGGGAGAGGTCAACTACGAATGACACCAGATTCAGGTGGAAGGCCATGTTGATCTGTCATAGTCATAATAAATAACAAGATGAAAATAATCTTTTTTAATAATTCCAGTGGCACCTTAAAGATCAACTCAATATAAGTTTTCAAGGTGTGAGCTTTTGTGTGTAATACACACTTTGTCAGATACTTCAGCCTTATAACTGTTGAGGAATGTTGTGGCCAGTTGGTTCCACAGGGAAGGGCAAGGGATTCTTAAAGGGATAGATGACCAAAATTAGCTTCTAATTGCATTCTATACAAGATCTTAAGGTAGCTGTTTTATTGCAGAAGAATTTTAGAAATACACTTGAAAGAGAAGTTGCTGAATTACAACTCATTACCAAACTAAAAACTATGGAGAGACCTGGTCTGAATGGATATATTGGATTCATGTCTCATTATACATACTAAAGCTAAATTACTGGAATTATTAAAAAAGATCTTTTCATATTTCATCTTGTTATTTATTCCGAATGACACCTGCACACAAACAAGCAACTTCCTTGGGCAGACAACGTCTGCTCCCAGGTTGCTAACTAAGGCTTTTTAAGTCTCCCGCTGCAATTTTTATTTATGAGAGAATTTCTAACTTGCCTTTCTTCCAAGGATTCCAGGGGAGCTTACATTATAATAAAACGCAAGAATAAAACCGATCCAACATTGCTTATACAAAACAGATAAAAGCAGAGCACGTTCCATGAACCACCTGGACTTTCATCTGCAGCAGCAGCAACAAAATTCCCTTCACCTTCCTGCCCACCCAAAAATCCCAGGCAAACAGGTTCGTTTGCACAGGATAGCAGATGCTGTTGGAATCCAACTCCCATCGGCATAGCCAGCGGCCAGAGATGATGGGAGTTGGGCCAACAACATCTGGAAGGCATCAAGTTGGGGACGGCTGCTACAAGCCTCTTTGCTGGGTCTTGTTTGGCAGCGGGGGCTAGCAAAATTAAGGAGGTGCTGGCAGAAACACAGCGCTGCTGACAAACCTGTCTGAGGAAGTGGTCTGCACAGGCATTTTAAGAGCTCAAAGGAGTCAACATGGCAGAGGCGAAGAGACGGATGGGAAGCAGCTCCCAGGCTCTGCAAGGCCCAGAAAGCTAAATAATCCATCTCTGACCTAGAAGAATCCAGTCTTTTCTAAACCACCTGTGGAGAGGGGAGGGGACATTGCCCTAAAAAAAGCTGCATCCTAACCCCTTAGACCAGGGGTCTGCAACCTTTAAGACAAAAAGAGCCACTTGGACCCGTTTCCGAAGAAAAAAAACTGGGAGCTGCAAAACTCGTCATTATAAAAATAACTTTTTTGTCACTTTTTTATTATTTCTTTGTTTGACCCCTCAGAATTACTCCTCCTCATAGAAATAAACGTTAAATTAACAAGTTACCTTTTTGTGTGTGTGTGTTCTTCACTCCCCTTCAAAACAGTGACCAGCGTACATGCCCCTTACAATGTAGCGGGCGGGCGGGCGGGAAGGTGACGTCGGGACGGTGTGTGACTAAGGCACGCACCGCCCCCATGCGACGTCACAGCCAGTACAGCGCCCGCCACAGTGGGGAGTGTTGGGGCGCACAATGCGCCTCCTCCCCTCGCTAGTATCTGCACCGGAGCTGCAGCAAAGGTGTAAAAGAGCCACATGCGGCTCCGGAGCCACGGGTTGCAGACCCCTGCCTTAGACTAATGCTTGTTTGCTCATTTATCTGTGCATATTATTTATTGACAAGTTTTATATGACTTATTGTATGTTAGGGTTATCCCTCCAGCTGCTGCAGAGAGGGAGGGCGATTCAGGAGTGTTGCTGCCACGGTCTTTCTAGCATAGCTAAAAAATAAAACAGAATTTTGTTGGCACCTTGGTTCCCCCCCCCCCTTGCTTAACGAGCTCAGATTACAGCTGCTCTCCCCCTCCTCTCTGCCTTCCTCTGCTAAAGGTTCTCTCCCTGTGCCTGCTTCTTCTCCTGTCAGCATCTGAGCTTTGCTGACAAGAAGTGACTGGTGCGGCATTCCCTCACAGGATGGCATGGGCAGGGCAAGGGTTTGTATACTGGGTAGTAGATTGCAGCCTGGTCTATTGCTGTCATTTTATGGATCAATGGTATCGTTAGATAGTAAAATTTATGTAAAATTGCTGTTTTAGGGGTTGTTTTTCATCGTCTGGAATGGATTAATCCGTTTTCCATTACTTTCTAAGGGAAAGCATGCCTTGGTTTAAGACTACTTTGATTTAAGACCAGACTCCAGAACGGATTAAGTTCGTAAACCAAGGTACCACTGTAAGGCTAAGCTCTTTAGCAATGAAACGTTGGATTACCAGAATGACTCCTAGCGCTGAACCACTGGTATATTGCAAGTGAATTCTTTATTTACTGTGTTTGCTATTGTTTAAGATAAAATCTATTGGGGGGACACACCTATTTTTGCTATTTTTCTGGATGTTTATTGTCACCATCTAGGCAGATTGAGAGCTCTGGAGAACTTGAAACTTTGCACATTATTTTGTAGCATTTTGATTAACCTAATAAGGATAAAGTCCCAAGAATGCATTTCAGAACTTAGGTTTTTTCTTACTTACTCCATGGCCTGATTCACATGTAACTCTAAACTACGGTTTATCATTGCAATCACAAGTTTCAGGGCTGCTCCTTCTCCTCTCTTCCCCCACAAATGTGCACTGTCTTTCTCAATTCTAGTTAATAAATATACCTGAATCCAGATAAGTAGTGGCTGTTGGCTTATTGCAACAACAGCTCATGGTTTATGACGCTGACTTGTTATCCTAAAGTGCAAGCAAAATTACACAAGTAGCCAAAAGTACGATCTCCCTGCTCAGATGCTTTAGAGGTGCATTTTATCGATGTTTTAAAGTCTTTGTGGAGTGTGTTTTTCACATTGGTCAATGTTCTGGCTTCTCGTGGGACAAAGGGTGGTATAAAATGAAATGAAGTGAGTGTGGGCTAGTGGTCAGAGTGTTGGGCCAGGACTTCAGCCTGGAAGCTCCTTGGTCAGACAGACAGTCTCTCAACCTAGCCCTACCTCACAGGGTTATTGTGAACATAAAGTGGGGTGAGGGAAGAGCCATGTGTGTCTCCTTGAGCTCTTTGGAGGAAATGGGCGGCGTCAGTGGCGGGCGGTAGAAATGTAATAATAAATGAAAATAAATAGAAGATTATTTCGATGATTTCACATATACACAGATGAGGTCTGAGCTGGGAGTGACTGACCAGGAATGGCATCCTGGAGTCACGGAGGAGAGCTCAATGAAAGCAGAACACCTGACAGGTTTCAGGGGCTGCTGGGTGAGCTCATCCCCTCCAACAGTTATCCGGTGAAAATAGGGATGTCCTATTCAATAATAATAGGGACGCGGGTGGCGCTGTGGGTAAAAGCCTCAGCGCCTAGGGCTTGCCGATCGCATGGTCGGCGGTTCGAATCCCGCGGCGGGGTGCGCTCCTGCTGCTCGGTCCCAGCGCCTGCCAACCTAGCAGTTCGAAAGCACCCCCGGGTGCAAGTAGATAAATAGGGACCGCTTACTAGCGGGAAGGTAAACGCCGTTCCGTGTGCGGCTCTGGCTTGCCAGAGCAGCTTGGTCACGCTGGCCACGTGACCCGGAAGTGTCTCCGGACAGCGCTGGCCCACGGCCTCTTGAGTGAGATGGGCGCACAACCCCAGAGTCTGTCAAGACTGGCCCGTACGGGCAGGGGTACCTTTACCTTTACCTTATTCAATAATAATAATAATAACAACCAGTGGTTTTTTAGGGACACTTGGAGGGTCTGCAAGCTGCCTTCGGGGGGGAGCATCTTGGCTTCACACGCACCCCAGCACTTCTGCATCTGACTGGCTGCCAAGACCTGCTCAAGATATTTTGCTGCCCCAGATGAAGAACGTCATGGTGCGACCACTGTTATAGGCGCCAAAGCTTACTAGACTGGCAGCTACTTCAACGCTGGTAAAGCGACCACGTCCTCCATCACACCTGAGGGCAGCAAACTCCCTTGGGGAGGGCAGAGAGCAGACCTTGGAGCTCACACAGCCTTTGCTGCTCTCTGCCCTTCAGCATCTGCCACCTGAGGCAGCCGCTTCACTCTGCCTTGTGAAGTCTAGTTGCCTGAAATGAAAACAAGGGGTGAGAGCAGCCTTGGCTGCCAGTGGGACGCTTTGCCCCCTAGAGTGCCACACTGCCTCCCTGGCATCCATTAGTGTCTCCTGGACAGCAGGGACATGGGCACAGACCCCGTAGTCAGGGCCGTCTTTACCCAGGGGTGCAAAGGGTGGGGGGCACCCAGGCACCAAATTCTGGGGGGCACCAGGCGCCCACTGCCGAAGCCGCCTAAGCTCTTAACTATCTACCTGTTATGAAATAATAAATAATGCTGATCAAGCTAGAAAAACAAAATACATATATACCTAGGTATTACAGTAATATATACCTACTGTTTCACTAAAGGAATTTCAACTTGCGCTCATTTACCAAAGACACGCCACGCTAGCAGCGGCACTTGTCATTCACAATGGCGCTGTGTATGCAAAATTAACTCTTACATCAAAATATTATGTTACGTATTGTATTGAGTTGCTATGCGGCAGCGGGGTCACCGGCACCTTTGACCCGACTGACGTTTCTCCTAAGTAGGTGCCTAAACAATACTTATAAGTTTATTAAGTGTGGTGGTGTTGTATACTTTAGTATAAGTGTATTGTAAATAAATAAGCAAATAAAAATGTTTGCTTCTTTTTCCTTTCGTGAACAAGAAATAAAGTGTGGTGCTTGACATAAGCATAATAAAAGTTAATTTGAGGGCTAAACTAAATTTGGGGGCGCTGGGCGGATCTTTGCACCCCGGCGGCGCATATGCTAAAGACAGCATTGCCCATAGTCCAGCCCCAAACTGCAGCTGCGTGAAAACGTTGCATTTTGACCCACACACTGACTTTGGAGTCACTAGGTCCCCTGCCTTTTCTCTTGTGTCACAGATAATGCTTGCAAGAAAGACAGCATATATTTGGGGTTAAAGTGTTTAAAATTTCCATCTGGAGTAGGAGGAGTTAGGGAGGAGCTCGTCCTCCCATGTTTGCTTTATTAAAAGCTTCGGATACTGCCCCTCTCCCCGTCTCTCTCTCTCTCTTTCTGTCTCTCTTTCTCTCTTGGTGACATCGCTTTGCTGCCACAGAGAAGAAAAAATGGTGAGGCTTCATAGCTCTTAATCAAATTAGATATATATATATTGTTGCTGTCACTCTGAAGGATAACAAGAGATGTTTTTGACCCTGTGAAATCTGCAAACACTTCCTAGTTGTTCACATTTGGACTGTCCTGCAAACATCTAAATCAGTGCATGAAAACTTTGTTCTTGAAACAACGAAGCAATTTCTTGGAGTGAGTGAATATGCTGTGAACACCTAATTTGTGCAGACAGTTAGACATGGGTTTATATTTTTATTTTGGTTTCATCCCTCTAGTATTGATGGTGGTGTCGGATGTATTGTTAAAACTCTCATGACTTGCATAGAGCATTAGTTTTGAGGTGGGTTTTTTAAAACTTCTGGAGTAACTTTTTGCAAAATTAATGCCTCTGTTTTATTCTGTTTTGATCCTTAACCACTAGACGACTTACTCGGATAAAGGGCTGAAGGTAAGATCACAATGCAGTCTAATATCCATGTGCCTACCCCACCCCAAATATGGTCTATGGTGTCAATGGCATTTTGGATTAATGTCTTGGATTAATGGCATAAGCTGGCGAGAAGGACCACGGCAAAGCCTTTTTGAAATGAATATTCTCTTGTTGCATAGAAGAACTGGGCTGTGCATTTGGCAAATACCCGATAAACCTGAAAGCATCGTACAAAAGCCATATTCTTACATTCTACAAGATGCAACTGTTTTGTATTTTAACTGAATGATTGTAATTCTTAAAGCAGAAGTGTGTGAGTCTCATAGACTCACACATTACTTAAGGGAAACCTGGGTTAGCCACCAAGTGTACTCTCATTCCAGGTCAATCCCAGCTGCCTGTCATGGGTGCATGTATGATACAGGGCTTTGCAAACAACATGTTCATCCTTTTTGGGTGTTCACGTACTAAATATGCACCAATTTCTTGTCTAATATTTTTTGATATTTCATAATATTGCGATAGCTGACAAAAGTGGTGTATTTAAGAAACAAAAGCTCCTCCATCTCAGCTAAAAAACAACAACAAAACAATGAGGGCACAGTTCAGCCAACATTAAGCAATTTTCAGCCTCATTAAAATGAGAGGGTGGTTAATTTTGGCTAGTTGGTGCCTTATGTTCTCAGTCGATTAAGAAAAAGTGGTACATTCGCTAATTACTGTGTGTGCCTGGTCCATTTGCCCAAGGCTATGATCCTAAGCTACTAGAAGGGAGTTCCATTGAACCCAATAGGACCTGCTTCCAAAATAAACCTCATTGTCCCCCACAGAGGGTAGCTGTGTTAGTCTGTATCCCAGCAAAAACATTAAAGGATCTTTGCCTCTACCATCCGAGTTCCAATCCCGCTTTTGAGATGGCTTTGAATGATCCTGCCTGCAGTGGCACAGCATGTGGGGGGCACAGGGGGGGTTGCCCCAGATACAAAATGGTTAAGGGTGCAAAATTTCAACACCTGGGCTCTGTTGAAAATGGCTTCTCTTTGCAAATCAGGACAGCGGAAGACTCTTCTTTTCTTCTCTCTACAGCTGCAATCTCCTGGGGGATGCGGGTGCTATTAGGCAGCTGAATCCATATGCGTGCTCCGTCCATTTCACTCCCACCCCCATCTCTGCATGGCCCTGGGTGCTGGGACCCTATGCTACGCTACTGCCTACCTGTATTAGGGATACTGGGCTGCTCTGCCTCTGAGTGTGTCACATACCGTAATAACCAGCTACCTTTTCTCCCATTCAGCCTGAAAGAGGCCGGTTCCTTCACTTCCATTCCTTGACGTTTTGGGTTGGTAATGCAAAGCAGGTGAGTGTGCTGATAAAACCAGGAAGGTCTGCCAGGGCGCGGGGGGAGGGGTTGACTCTTGAGAAAGGATGAGAGAAGAAACCAGTTTGGCTCGGATTTCGGAGCAGACTTACCTGATTCGCAGTGCCCGAAACAAGATGCTTACTGCAAAACTTTGAAATGTTCACTTCTCTGAATTTTGTGGTGTATACAAAATGTGTACATTTGGGGAATGTGTTATAAGAATGCAGGTGTTTAGTGAAAACCATGTACGGACGTGCATTGTATGGGGTCAAATTGCTTGCAAAAAGGAGAAGGGCCTCGTGAAATGTGGCAGGTTTCCATGAGTCCCTTTCATCTAGCGGGTTTTTCGTCTTGCGAGGCATTCGTCTTGCGGGGCACCACTGTACTTTAAAATAAAAGTTCACATGTGAGGTGTGGCAAGCAGAACAAAAAGCTGGGAAAATGAGAAAGAGGGGGAAGCCAGACTTGACAGAGTCCTTCCTCTTAATGTTGTTGGCTTTGCTGCTGTTGCCCCCTTGTCCCCTTCCCAGGCACCTCACTGGGGCATCTGGTTGGCCTCTGCGAGAACAGTGTGCTGGACTGTATTGGGCCCCCTTTGGCCAGATCCAGCTGCAAATCTCTTCCTGCATTTGTTTGCAATACGGAGGGCTGTGGAGGGGATGTGCTTCAGGCTGTCGCGCTATTGGATGCTGGAGACGGGGTGGAGACCCATCTGAAAGGCCGGGTGGGAGTGGGGCAGATTTCCTGGGTAAGCTGCATTCAATTAATGGCTTGTGCCTTGCTGGCTATGGGGGATGGGGCATTGCACTCTGAGGAATGTGGAGCTGGAATGGTCTTTGGACTAGCCTGATGCAACCGAGAGAGGGGAGAGGGGAGAGGGAGAGGGGAGAGGGAGAGGGGAGGCAGATTCTTTGCTTGGTTGGCGGGGTTAGAGAGGTGCTGAGCCAAACACACACCGTGCACAGAGGGCTCACCCAAACCCTGGCTGAATGCCCACATTTCCCCATTCTGAATTGTGCACTGTAGCCCCCTGTGCTTCCACACCTCCCTGGTTTGTTTGCTGCCTCCACATATCTTTCTGCAAGGACCACAGGGCTGCTGCAGCCAATCCTCACCCCTCCATGTGGCTGTTGGCATCTGTTTGCCTCGAGAGACAATGGAGTGCAGCTCCTGGGATGAAGTCAAACTGCTGTGCTAGCAGCACCAAAGTGACTTCCCTGAGGCATAAGCCTGGGCAGTGTGTCTGGAGGTCCTGGGCTGCCCAGACAACATTAACTTCGCTGATGTGGTCCAAAGGAAAAGAAAGCAATATGCTTGACACCGGCTTGGTGGCAGGAATTGCCAGAAAGAGTCATACAAGATGGCACCCAACCGCCTTAGGGACTCCACTCCACATTTGTGGAGGGCTTACCCCTGAGCCTTATCTTCTCACAAAGATATGCAGGCACCAGGCAGCAGAGGTTTAGGATCAGAGTTTTGCTTCTCCTAGATGGGCTACCTTCCCAGGTTGATGAGCCCCATCAACCTCACCTTTCCTCCTGCAAGTGATGTGTGTCCCCCCTCTGTTTTGTTTCTTAATGATGTCATTTGCAAGCTGTAGTTCAATGGAAGATGCCCCCAGAGTGGTCTATTTAAGCAATACCAAAAGAAGAAGTCAGGATCTGTTCTCAGGCTTGCAGTCTGGAATGATGCGGCGCAAAAAGGGGAAAAGGGTGAGGCAGCCCCCTAAGGGCTTTTAGCCTCCTGGGCAAGGCTGAGGGGCAGAGTGGGGATTTGAACCTTAGTCCAAACCCAATATTCTGACCATTATGTCACACTGGTTCTTGCCAAGTGTCAGGCCAAGATTTAAAACATCACACCAGTAGGATAAACAGGTAACGCTGTACTCAATGTTGCACTGAGCTCTTCATTGCACAGCGCAAGGGTTTCTCCTTGTGCAACAGAACCATCTCCCCTCTGTGTCCCCCACCTGATATGGGGGTTTCCCCTCCCTGCAGAGTGGATTTGATGGTGTAAGATGTCGGGGGGGGGGGAAAGCTACCATTGCAACACTTTAGCTGGTTATGGCCCATAGTCTTAATATGTGTCTGGTGACTTACTGATAACATGCTTTTTTAAAAAAACTATTTTGCTTTTTTTTTGCCCGTGTGTTTTAAAGGCTGCTTCATTTTATTGCAACAAAATGGGGTTTGAGGAACTGGCCTACAAAGGTCTGGAGACGGGAAGCAGAGAGGTGGTGTCCCATGTGGTCAAACAGGACAAGGTAAGGAGGGGAGAAAACTGCATTGATGTAGGCTTGGGGGGGGGGTCTAGGGTTGCCATATTGCAAGAAATGAAAATCCAGAGACAAACAAATTGTTGACCTTTTTTAAAAAAAGAGAATTTCCTGCGGAGGTAGGTGTGAGAGCAAGCTTGCAAAACCAGTCCCTTTGTCTAGGCAACAGTTGTAGCTGACAACTAGTACCATGATCCACATGCCAAAGGGATAAGCTGAGCTGCAAGGGCTACAACTAAGTGATATTGCCCTGTGGGCAAATGAGTGGGTCTCCCTTTCCCCCCCCCCACCTAGCTGCCAGGGGAAGGGAGCAATAGACATTGCTGGGCAGAGAGCCGGCTGAAAAGCTGGAGACAGAGACATGCTTGCTCTGCGCTAAATCCAAGCTGTGACTCAAAGGATAAGCAAGATCTCCTGGGGTGTTCATGCTGTGAGCCCCATCATCCTATGCTCAGGTTAAATATGTGTGTAGATAAAAGGTAAAGGGACCCCTGACCGTCAGGTCCAGTCATGGACGACTCTGGGGTTGCGGTGTTCATCTCACTCTCTAGGCTGAGGGAGCTGGCCTTTGTCCACAGACAGCTTCCAGGTCATGTGGCCAGCATGACTAACCAGCATGGCGAACCAGAGCAGCGCACGGAAACGCCGTTTACCTTCCCGCCAGAGCAGTACCTATTTATCTACTTGCACTTTGACATGCTCTCGAACTGCTAGGTTGGCAGGAGCGCCAACCTTCTGATTGGCAAGCCCTAGGCTCTGTGGTTTAACCCACAGCACCACCCGTGTCCCTTGATGTATGTAGATAAACCATCTATAAACCATATATTCTAAAGACCCTCACTCCAAGTAAATTGAACCTGGAACCCTTGGACTCTCTTACCCCTTGGAGAGTTGGGCTGGAGTGTAACAGTATTGTGAATAGGGGAGGGGGACCCACGACTGTCTTGGGTCCAGCAAAGAGAGACCAACTCTCTAATCCAGCCTTTTGCCAACCTGGTGCCCTCCAGATGTTATGGAATATTCCTGTTTTTAGTTTCCTGTTGGTTGTCTCAATGATCTTGGATATCAACATTTTAAATGAATGCCAATGTCAGCATTTCAGCCTTTGACTCATCACTTAACCTTGTCATAAAGAAAACGAATGCTTGTAGTTATTCTGATTATTATTCTGATTACCAACAGATCATATTTATCTTCTCCTCGGCTCTCAACCCTGGAAATCAAGGTAATTCAAGAGTTGGTCCTGTTGTAACTTTTCTTACCAAACGAGTTCCTTTTGAAACCCTGGGAGTTCTGTGTCCAGCTCTGGGGGCCACATTTTGAGACAGGTGTTGGCTCCATGCAGGTCAGGAGTAGGGTGAACAGGATGGGGAGGGTTCTGGACTCTCAGTAAGGAATGCATTAAATTGCTGGCTGTGCTTTAGCCTGGAGGAGAGCAGTTTAAGGGGAGACGTGAAAGTGGTCTTCAAATATCAGAAGGGTTGTTGCATAAAAGGTGGAACAGACTTTTTCTCTGTTTGTCCAGAGGGCAGGACTTGAACCAGGGACCAGGAATGGCAGTGAGGGGCAGATTTTGGCCAGATATGCAGAGAAAGTTCCTTAAAGCAACTGCTCCTGCCCTGTCTGCCACAGGGGGAGCTGGCAGACTCCCTTCTGCAGCACTATTTAAGCCGAGGCTGGGCAGCCGTTTGTAAGGGGCTGTTGCAGGATTGTGTCTTGCATTACAGATTCTGCTCTGAACATTGGGGGGTGGGGCTCAGTGCCCTCCCAGGGTCTCTTTCAATGCAGTTCACTGGTTTATTTTACTGTGCTTCAAGTTACCGTATTTTTTGCTCTATAAGACTCACTTTTTCCCTCCTAAAAAGTAAGGGGAAATGTGTGTGCGTCTTATGGAGTGAATGCAGGCTGTGCAGCTATCCCAGAAGCCAGAACAGGAAGAGGGATCGCTGCTTTCGCTGCACAGCAATCCCTCTTCCTGTTCTGGCTTCTGAGATTCAGAATTTTTTTTTCTTGTTTTCCTCCTTCAAAAACTAGGTGCGTCTTGTGGTCTGGTGTTGCATAGATCATCTCGTTGTTTCCAGCCCAGGTGTGCCATCTAGGGGAGTTGGGTGGCCGAAGGCTCCACCCAAATTTTCAAGGGGTGGATTGGGCCCCCTCAAAATTCAGAGGCCCTGTGCACTGAAAGCTCTCTGATGGTCTCTGCCAGGGGTGTGGCAAGGCAAAGCATCTTCACCCTGGCGTGTCCTTTTGAGAATCACCCGGGCTCCTTCCCGGAAGACACCAAAACGAGAGGCTGCATAAAAAAGGAGGGTGGGGGGGCGGGAGATGGCAGGCCAAGTTGGCATGTCTGGGGGGGATGTATGTGTGATGTCACGCATGCGCGATGCCCTCCCTCCCGGCAGTGTTGGGCACAAGTTGGTGCCTCTGTTCCAGCCTGTAGTGTTGGCGCATTTTGCTCCATGGCCATGGAGCCATTGTGATTCTTAGCTACAATGGCTTTGTTCTCCCTCCAATGTTGAAGGCAGCACACCTTTGTTGGGAATCCCAAATGGGGAATTGTCTGCTGTGCTCACGTCCTGCCTTCAGGCTTCTTGTAGGCATCTTGGTTGGCTGTTGTGAGAACAGGATGCTGGACTAGAGGAGTTATTGGCCTGATCCAGTGGCTAGGCCCTTCTCATGTTTCCATGTTCTTCACAACCCATCAGCGGTGCCATAGGTGCCCCCTCGCACCTAAGATTGTGGGTGCCCGCAACGAAGGGCTTCGACTTTGCCCATTGACTTTGGAGTGGCTCAGTCCCCCAAATATATTGTTGTGGGTGCTGAAGCACCCACGGCTCCCTAGAGTGAGCTCCAGTGAGTGGTGCCTTAATATCATAAGGACTGATCCAGCCAAAGGGATACCCTCTCCAGCCCCCAGCTTCTCTTCATGGCCAACCAGATGCCTCTGGGAAGCGCTCAAGCAGAGCTGTCTTTCCCATAGGGCTTAGTGGTCCGTTGCGCCAGGGCGCCAGCCTCTCAGGGGCGCCCCAGCGAGTGGGGGAGCTGCGTGGCTTTGCCGGTGGCATCCCCTTTCCCTGCATGCCCGTCAGCTGCGCCCCGCCAACCATATGGCTGGCGGGCATGCAGCTTGCCTCCCAGGCCTCTGCGAGGATTGCTCTCCTGCAGCGGCATGGGAGAGAGTTGCGCCCCCTGATGGCTGGCAGTGTGCAGCTTCAGCCCCCCCTCATCTGTGGTAATTTGGGGGTGCTGGGCGGATATTTGCACCCCGGCGCCACATCTGCTAAAGACAGCCCTGCCCTCGAGCAGCCTGGCATGGTGGCTGTGGGCCTCTCCCTCCTTTTTTCTTTCTGCGTTCTCTGATGGGCCTTGACGGCTGGATTCAGGGTCACCACGTCTGCCAGTTCCTCAGCTGGAGTTTTTACCAGGGTTATATGCAGCCCCTTGGCAGGACTTCAAATGCAGGCTTCTCCTTGTCTCAGGGGGGAGATGGAGTCTCCTTTGCTCTTAAAGGACAATGCAGTTAATTCACTAGCACAGGTAATTTGCTGTGCCTAACTAAGGCACAGCTGGCGTTCAGTGTTCTGAGGTACACTGCCTCTGACTATGGAGGTTTCATCTTTTTTGGCCAATAGCAGTTGACAAACCTCTCCTCCATTAAATTGTCTTGGTGTTTCCTCTTTCTCTCTCTCTCATTATGCAGAAATGGGAGCACACTTAGTGACGCATGGGGACGGAGTCAAAGATGTTGCCTTTGAAGTGGAGGACTGTGATTTCATCGTGCAGGTGAATCTCTGCTGAGGAGTGTCTCTGTGTGACTTGAGAGGCTTGCTAGCCTTTCGCCTTGCTTCATCTAGTAGGTGCTATTTTTATGTTTCCCACTCAGAAAGCTAGAGAGCGTGGAGCTCTGATTGTTAAAGAACCCTGGATAGAGGAAGATAAACACGGGAAGGTGAAATTTGCAGTCGTTCAGACGGTAAGAAAGTGAGGGCTTTCACCTATAAACTGCATTTGGACAGACTCTAGGCAGTTGTTGTTAGACAGTGGAACGGACTGGAAGGTAGAGGTTAAATGGTCATCTGTCAGGGATACATTGCAGGGGGTTGCACTAAACTCTACGACTGTGATTAATAAATAGGATTTATGTAGCATGTTTTCTAGGCACTTCGTTTTTTATTTTATCAGAAACCCTTGAAACAAGCCTATCTTATTAGCCTCATGTTTCTGAACTGGAGACTGAGAGAAATTACTAGACTTCTTCAGCCTCAAGAAGTTATGCATTTAGCCAAAGGTAGTGATAAATGTATAGAGTCAGAGGTCCTGTTTGCCATTGAAATATACTCGGAGTCCTGTAGTGACTCCATGCTCTTTATTGCAGCTTGTAAAACAGTGGTTGAATTGCCCCCCAAACCTCAGGCCTTTATAGATATTATTTACATAATGAGTCTCGTCTGATTAGCTGATTCTGCTTCCCTCCTGGAGCCTGATTGGTCTTTTCCTGCAGGCCAATCAGTTGTTGCATTCTAGGATCCTACCAGCCTAATAGGTTGATTAACTTACTCCTGGAGCCTGATTGGTCTTTGCCTGCAAGCCAATCAGTTGTTGCATTCTAGGATCCTACCAGCCTAATAGGTTGATTAACTTACTCCTGGAGCCTGATTGGTCTTTGCCTGCAAGCCAATCAGTTGTTGCATTCTAGGATCCTACATGCCTATTGTTCTAGGATCCAAGCTTAGTACATAACACCATATACATTTAAAACAGCATCATGGCACTTTAATTAGTCATGGCGGCCCCCCCCCCCATTTACAAAAGCATCCTGGCAAGTGTAGTTTAAGGGTGTTGAATAGCTGTTTTGGAGGTGCCTATTCCCCTCACAGAACTACAATTCTCAACTGTACAATTAAATAATCCCTCCCTCTTCCCATGGATTTCTGGGAGTTGTAGACCTGTGAGGGGAATCAGAGTCTCCTAATACATTGGTACCTCAGGTTACATACGCTTCAGGTTACAGACTCCGCTAACCCAGAAATAGTGCTTCAGGTTAAGAACTTTGCTTCAGGATGAGAACAGAAATCGTGCTCCAGCGGCACGGCAGCAGCAGGAGGCCCCATTAGCTAAAGTGGTGCTTCAGGTTAAGAACAGTTTCCGGTTAAGTACGGACCTCCGGAACGAATTAAGTACTTAACCCGAGGTACCACTGTACGTAACTCTTCCCCTGCGTGCGAAGACAGGCTCTGGTGAAAGTAGCAGACAAGGCCAAGAGTCAACAGTCAATAAAGCGGTTTCTGCACATGCTGTAGAGGGAAGTGAGGGGAAGGGGGGAGCAAGGAAGCAGCTGCCCCCCCCAAACAAGTAAATAAATAAATAAAAACACCTAACTAAAAGTAGAAATTGTGGAAAGATTTTGACAGATTTTCCTGAGCCCTTGGGGTCAAAAGAAAGTTATTTAAAACAACTGTTGCTGAGATTTGGCAAAAATCAAGAAAACAAGTTTTGGGGGCAGGGAGCCAGTGGGATCCCTCAGCTCACTAGAGTGATATTAAAACGTTTCACTTTCCTCTTCCTCCTCCTCCTCCATCTAGTATGGAGACACCACACACACCCTGATAGAGAAGAGGGGCTACAAGGGCCTTTTCCTGCCTGGGTTTGAGCCACCCATCTTCAGGGACCCTCTGTTGAAAAGACTGTAAGTACCAGCCCTTACTGCTCTGGTTAAACTCTAGCGTGAAAGATCGGAGTCTCATTTTAGACTGGGTGCCACTTAGATTTGCCACTGAGATTGTTCAACCAGCAAGGAGCTAGTCCTGGCCATTTCTGAGTGTCATTCCCACATTAGACTTTTAGATAATCTTTTCTTTCTCTTCCCCTTCCCACTGCACACAGATTAGCACAGTGACCCCACTGGAAGTTGTTATCCTTCAAGGTACACACTTCAGACAAGCTTAAGCATACACCTGAATCAAAACAAAAATCACGCTCAAAGAACCTTTGGTGACTTTCATCAGGGGGAGTTTGATGCCTGATTATTATTATTTTTTACCAACAACCAAACACAAACAGTGAGACCCCCAGGCGGCTGATACATTGGGTATACATAATCAATAATAACATATTCAAATCAACCATATGTACAATTTTATATACGTTAACACTCCTCCATCCACAAGGTTTCTTTACATTTTTATTGCCCCAAATTGTTCGAACCTACCCGAATAATTCAATAGCTTCTCAAACCAATCCTCCTCTTTCTCACTGACCTTAAACCCTTTCATGCTGTGTATCTTCACAGTTACTGTAGATATTCTAAAATTATAATATTATTCAGTTTTTTTCCTTCATTGGTTCACCCCAGCTCTTCTGGATTTTTCCAATTACTCGCTATAACCTGTCTGGCTGCAGTTACCATCAATTTTACCCATTTACATTCCTCTTTTGTTTTTAACTCGGTGCTACTTGGGCTAATGGGACGCGGGTGGCGCTGTGGGTAAAACCTCAGCGCCTAGGACTTGCCGATCACATGGTCGGCGGTTCGAATCCCCGCGGCGGGATGCGCTCCTGTTGCTCGGTCCCAGCGCCTGCCAACCTAGCAGTTCGAAAGCACCCCTGGGTGCAAGTAGATAAATAGGGACCGCTTACTAGCGGGAGGTAAACGCCGTTTCCGTGTGCGGCTCTGGCTCGCCAGAGTAGCTTCGTCACGCTGGCCATGTGACCCGGAAGTGTCTCCGGACAGCGCTGGCCCCCGGCCTCTTGAGTGAGATGGGCGCACAACCCTAGAGTCTGGCAAGACTTGTCCGTACGGGCAGAGGTACCTTTTACTTGGGCTAATAAGAACCATTAATTTAGATATTTCCACCTTCCTACCCACAATTCCCGATATTTCTATACCAATCTGTTTCCAAAATTCATTAACTAACGGACAATCCCACCACATATGACTGTATGTTCCCATCACTCCACATTTCCTGTCTGATTTTATTTATTTATTTATTGCATTCACATCCCACTTTTTCTCTCTCTAAAGAGTTCAAGGTGGCATCCCTTGTTCTCTCTGCTGCTCATTTAATCCTCACAACCACCCTGTGAGGTAGGCTAGGCTGAGGGGTATGACTGGCCCAAGGCCACCCAGGGAACTTCACGACCAAGTTGCTGGACTCCCAGATTCTGTGCTGACACTCTAGCAGGACACCACACTGGCTTATGGGGAACCCTTTGTGTAAAGGGAGATTAACCCTTGAAAGGCGGACAAGAGCTTAATTTGCAAATGGGTTGCTGAGATACTTCAAATGAGCCTTTGGCAACAGGCTTCTCTTGCCTATATGTTTTTCTCTGGAAAGAGTTAATGGGGGTGGGAGGATCTGAGGCCAACTTGTCTGCATGAGAAGTACTCATCCCACAAAAAACACTGTGGAGGTAAAAACCCCTGATCTCATCTGCCTTTTTCTTTCTCAGGCCACCTGGGAAACTGAACTTCATTGACCACATAGTGGGGAACCAGCCTGACCAGGAGATGAACTCTGTGGCAGAATGGTAAAGATTGCTTTTGGAAATCAACTTAAGGGAAGAATTGCTTTCCTTCTAGAACATGAAATTTCCTCGATGACAACACAGGACATTTAGAGCAGCCATGGGGACCCCGGATGTTGTGGGCCTGATCAATCTAAATCCCTGATTCAGAGGAACTGATTTTAGGACATTTCTTATGGGTGGCCTTTACAACATGATACGTACGCAAACACGCATCCAGGGGGTGGGGTCTCCAACTGAGTCTTCTTCGATCCAGGTGACAGAAAGCCTCATTTTAGGCCCTGCTCATAGACTATCCTCTCCTGGGGCTTTGCATACCCACCAGCTCAGCATGTGGGGGGTGGAGAGGAAGGAAGGGGGCTGACCCTCTCCTTGGCTCTGCTCAAGGGAACGTGGCCCAGAGGATGCGGGCAGCTGGGCCTCGACTGTGGCTTTATCAGCGGGGATATCAAAAGGCAATAGCTATGATGGCTAACATTGATCTCCAGGTCCATCTACTCTACTCTATACCTCTGAATGCCAGCTGCTGGAGATAAGCAGCTGTTGGCTTCCTGTCTTGCGTGAGGATTTCCCAGAATAATCTGGTTAACTGCTGGTGGGACCATTATGTTGGACAGCTGTGCTGCCTGGGGCTTGATGGGAGTTGCAGTCCAAAACATCTGGAGGTTTGGAGAAGAGTGGAGTAGATGGACTTTTGATGTGATCTCGCTTCGCTGCCTGGAGATCCACACCCCCCCCCTGCTCCCCCTCTCATTAGCTGATTTTTAAATGGAATTTCCAAGACAAATGCAATTATAAACACCCACAGAGCAGATCCCCTCTCCCTTCCTTCTTTGAGCTTCCAAGCAAGCAGCTTCCATTCCAGCCATGGTTCCATAGACCCAGAGCTGCAACTCTGGAAGGAAGATCAACAGCTTCTGTAGACCATTGGCCAGTCTCCCTCTGTGCAGTGGTCAGCCATGGCTCTCCAGGGGATTAGATGGGAGTCTTCCCCAGCCATATCTGACGATACTAGGGATTGAGCTTGGGGTCTTTGTAAGCAAAGTGTGTGTGGTGCCTCCTCTAAAAACAAAGGAGGTCTCTAGTCCTCACTCTTCTGAATAAAGGATTGAGTTAGATAGAAACTGCTTTCGACAGAGTTAGACCGTTGGCCCATCCACCTGGCTTGGTACTGTGCAACCCTGACTGGCAGTGACTCTCTGCCTGGACATAACAGGGGTTGAAGGTGGATGCAGGAGCAGGTGCTCTATACCTGAGCTATGGGCTCTTCACAAAAGAAACAGATGGATGTCAGAGCAGGAAGCTGCCCAGGTAGCTCTTGCTGCCTTGCTGCATCTCCTTGTTGCAACTTTTTAATTCTTCAGTCATTAATTCTTCAAAAGAATGTTTGTGAATGCATCTAGACTCCACCCAGGATGTTCTCTAAGAATATAATTGTGGCTAAAGCCCTTGACTTATTCTGACATGTGGCGCTTCTTGCACATCCGCAGGTACCAAAGAAACCTCCTCTTTCACCGTTTCTGGTCTGTGGACGACAAGCAGCTGCACACAGAGTACAGTGCCCTCCGGTCTATTGTGGTGGCCAATTATGAAGAGACCATTAAAATGCCCATCAATGAGCCTGCAATGGGGAAGAGGAAGTCTCAGATCCAGGTGAAAGCAGAGACTCACTGGGTCCTTTGTGTCAGGGCTGAGTGGCCAGAGTTGAGCCTCGAGCCAGGGCAGAGGAACAGGCAGAGACACACCAGGGCTGTGGAAAGTCCCCGGCCAAACAGGAAGCCTTTCACCATCCTCCAGTGGCCAACCTGGGGAGATAGTTTCATCTAAGAGCCTCAGGGTGCTTGGGAAGGCATTGCCACCTGCAATTCCAATTGTGTGCTACCAGGTGCAGCTACCCCCTAGAGAAGAAGGTGCCAGTTTCTAACTCCAGTGGCTTGTAGCAGAAAGTTGTTTTAGGGGGTGCCAACTGCTTTGGGGGCTCTGGGCATTTGGCATGCTGGGGAAACTCTGGGGTGCAACACACACACACACACACACACACACACACAGAGAGAGAGAGAGAGAGAGAGAGAGAGAGAGAGAGAGAGATGCATATTCTATTGGCTGCAATGGAATGCCTCAAGCCTCATTTAATTGGGGGAGGGGGACCTTTTGACACACACCCCCAGGAAGGTCTCTATGGGCACATGGTGTGCCATGCTGGTGACCGCCTGAGTTACCGTATTTTTCGCACCATAGGGCGCACCGGACCATGGGGTGCACCCAGTTTTTTGGGGGGAAATAAAGGGGAAAAAATTATTTCCCCCCCAGGCGCGGGGCTGGGGCAGGGGAAGCTCGAGCTTCCCCCGACCCAAGCCCCCAAACAGGCAGCTCTCTGCAAGCCGTGGGAGTGCTCCCGCTGCTTGCTGAGAGGTGCGCGAAGCCTGGACGTGCTGAGCTGAGCGCGCACAGGCTTCAGCATGCAGGCAAGTCTCCGCAAGCAGCGGAGGTCCGCAAAGCCTGGAGAGTGTGAGGGGTCGGTGTGCACTGACCCCTCTCACTCTCCAGGCTTCAGCGAAAGCCTGCATTCGCACCATAGGACGCACACACATTTCCCCTTCATTTTTGGAGGGGAAAAAGTGCGTCCTATGGTGCGAAAAATACTGTATTTGGCCTCTTCAGTACAAGCCCTGCCCATCCCAATGCATTTGCCTATTGAATCCTTCCTCTAAGGAGGTTGAGACTGTGTAGTGGTGTAGATTTCCTTTAAGCAAGGAGCGTTGACTTTGTGGACTGCTTCTCCCCTGGTGCAAGGTGGAAACATTTCTCGATAATCGGGTCTTTGGCTGATTGACATTCTATAGCCAGCATGGTGTAGTGGTTAAGAGCAGTGGAATCGTAATCTGGTGAACCGGGTTCGATTCCCCGCTCCTCCACATGCAGCTGCTGGGTGACCTTGGGCCAGTCACACTTCTCTCAAGTCTCTCAGCCCCACTCACCTCACAGAGTGTTTGTTGTGGGGGAGGAAGGGAAAGGAGATTGTTAGCCGCTTTGAGACTCCTTAGGGTAGTGGTAAAGCAGGATATCAAATCCAAACTCTTCTTCTCTTATTCTTCTATAGCCTTTTAAATGAGTTTATGGGAGGGGGTTCTTGGTTTGATTTTGTTTTAATAGGTATTTTGTGTTCTCATCTTGTATTTTTATGCTGTAAACTGCCCTGTGATTTTCAGATGAGGGCTGTGTGTATGTGTGTTTGATTTGATTTTTTAAAAATCCACAATACGGTAAAAATTTCCTGTACTGTGAAAATACAAAAGAATCTGACTAGAGCAGCTGTCATTAGTGATGGCCATGTAGAGATTCATCAAAACAGCAGTAAGAGCACATGTTCCCACCCCACCACTCTGGTTAAACCCTGTTTCTATTCCTCCCGTGTTTGGATGCAGTGAGACAAGCACTAATCACAATGCAATCCAGCACACTTCTGCTCAGAAATAAGACCCACTGAGCTCCATGGAACATGCTCCCCAATAAGTGTGTCAGGGATTACAGCCTAGGATTACAAGAGGGTAAGGCAGGAGATGAAGGCTGTTAAAGACTACTACCCACAATGACATATTTTTCTCTCCTCCCCTCAAGCTCAAGGTGGTCTACATAGTTCTCCCTCTTCTCACTTAATCCCCACAACAGTCTTGCTAGGTTGAGGTTGCAAAGTGAGCTTCATGGCCGAGTTGGGATTCGAACTCTGCTCTCCCAGGTCCTGGTCTTGGCCTGGTGTTTTTGTGATGTTGTTGCTGGCGGTTCACCACTCACATGGTGCCTTCCTGTGCTTACTGTGTGCTTTTTCGCTCTGCAGGAATACGTGGACTATTACGGGGGCCCTGGAGTCCAACACATCGCTCTGAATACCTCGGATATTATTGCTTCAGTAAGACAGTGTATTCCCTGATCAGTCTACCAATAAGTGGCCACCTTTGGGGATGTGGCCTTTGTCATTGCTGTGTACATTTTTGGGTTGCAGGTCACAAACCTGAAAGAACGTGGCACGGAATTCCTGGTGGTGCCCCCCACCTACTACCAAAAACTTAGGGAGAAATTGAAATCAGCCAAGATCAAGGTGAAGGAGAACATGGATAAACTGGAGGTGAGTTGGCTACCAGGGCTACCCTACATCTTGCAGTTTGGCTTAGTGGCCAGAAGGTTGGTCTAGACTAGGACTTCATCATACAGTGCATCGTTAAACTATGGAACTTGCTGCCACAGGAGGCAGTGATGGCCATCAACATGGGTGGCTTTAAAAGAAGATGGGACAAATTCAGTGGCTACTAGTCATGGGGGCTGAACAGGAGGCTGAACTAGATGGCCCATTGGCCTGATGAAACAGGGTTTTCTTATGTTCTTACCGACTGGCGAGGCATGAAGTCAAAACCCTACTCATCTGTGACGCTTGGTGGGTGACCTTGAAATGACCACTAGCTCCAAGTGGTGGGAGCAAAACAGAAAGGTCAAGAGCCAGATACTCCCCTTGGAGGATCTTGGATAGAAATACAATACAAATGCAAGCAATTACTTTAGCAGCTGCTCAACTTGATGAGTTTCACATTGGGAAGGGGGTTGTGGCAGTTCCAATGTAATGTGCAAGGCCACCAACCTTTAAGGTGGGACTGGCTATCCTGTGACCTTGGACTCCAAGCTCTCACCAGCCCAAGCCAGCATGGCCCAACACCGGAGAGAGATGTGAGGTGGAGTCCAGCAACATCTGGAGGGCCACAGGTTAACCCCATCCCAGCTTTGAGGGCATCACTTCCTGGTGGCAATAGCGACGGCAAAGAGGACATTCTTCACTGCCTCTATTGCATCTGCAGAAAACAGCAGCAGGAGACTCTTTCAAGTGGTTCGCAATCTAGCAGAACCACCTCCACCATCAGGGCCTGGAGGGGATCCCAAGATCTCCTGCAATGATTCTGCAAAGTTTTTTGCAGATAAAGTCACTCAGATTTGGAAAGAGGTAGACTCCACCATCGGAGCAGGGCTGGGGTGGGAGAGTGCTAGAGTTCTGTCCAGTCAAGTTGCATGGGATCAGCTCCTATCTCTTACCTTTGAGGATGTGGACAGGCTGCTTGGATGAGTGAAACTAACCACCTGTCTCCTTGATCCTTGCCCATCCTGGTCCTGCATGGGGTAACTGTGCCCCTGAAGGACCAGGTGTGCAGCCTGGGAGTCATTTTGGACTCACAGCTGTCCATGGAGATGCAGGTCAATTCTGTGTCCAGGGCAGCTGTCTACCAGCTCCATCTGGTACACAGGCTGAGACCCTACCTGCCCGCAGACTGTCTTGTCAGAGTGGTGCATGCTCTAGTTATCTCCCACTTGGACTACTGCAATGCGCTCTACGTGGGCTACCTTTGAAGGTGACCCAGAAACTGCAACTAATGCAGAATGCAGCATCTAGTCTGGTGACTGGGAGTGGCTGCCAAGACCACATAACACTGGTCTTGAAAGACTTACATTGGCTCCCAGTGCATTTCTGAGCACAATTCAAAATGTTGGTGCTGACTTTTAAAGCCCTAAACAGCGTTGGCCCTGTATACCTGAAGGAGCAGCTCCACCCCCATCATTCAGCCCGGACACTGAGGTCCCGTGCCAAGGGCCTTCTGGCAGTTCCCTCACTGTGAGAAGTGAGGTTACAGGGAACCAGGCAGAGGGTCTTCTCAGTGGTGGCACCTGCGCTGTGGAATGCCCTCCCATCAGATATCAAGGAAATAAACAACTTTCTGACTTTTAGAAAACATCTGAAGGCAGCCCTGTTTAGGGAAGTTTTTAATGTCTAATGTTTTACAATTTTTTATGTGCTGTAAGTGGCCCAGAGTGGCTGGGGAAACCCAGCCAGATGGGTGGAGTATAAATAATAAAATATTATTATTATTATTATTATTATTATTATTATTATTATTATTATTATTCACCTCACCCATTTCCTGGGCAACTTCTATCATTGCCCTTTCATTTGCTTCTGCTGTGAAGGAACTCAAAATCCTAGTTGACTTTGACGAGAAGGGATACCTGCTTCAGATCTTCACAAAGCCTGTTCAGGACAGACCGACTGTCTTCCTCGAGGTCATCCAGCGCCACAATCACCAGGTTTGTTGGGCAGCCGGGTCTCACCCCAGGCTCAGTGGAAACAAATCAACTCTCACAGATTGGTGTGAAGATGGCTTTCTGTTCTACCCTGCTCAGTTGTTGTTTTTTAAAAAAACCTTGCATGATAAAAGTTGGGAAATGACCACCTTTTTAAGGCACAAAAGGGACTCAACTTGGACAATCCAGATGCTATATTGCAACCACTAGAATGAGCTGTTGGCCAGATTTTACTATGCTGCAGCTAATTGTCAGAGGGTAATGCGGCTTGCAGGCCAGATGATCTGAGCAACCAGTAGGGCAGGCATAGGCAAACTTTGCCCTCCAGATGTTTTGAGACTAGTTTCCATCATCCCTGACCACTGGTCCTGTTAGCTAGGGATGGTGGGAGTTGTAGTCCCAAAACATCTGGAGGGCTGAGTTTGCCTATGTCTGCCGTAGGGGCTTGGCTGACACTGTGAATAATTATTGTCTCCTCTGTCTGATCAGTTCATTGCTACTAACCTCACCTCCTGCCTCTTGAAAACAGACTACCTGCCTCACTTTGGCTAGGTACCTGCCTCTGGCCTTCCCGATTTCTGAGTTTACTGCTCTGGAATTTGGCATTAGTCTACTCTGAACTAGGGACTTAACTCTAAGGCTTCCAAGTTCCAAGGGGCTGTCTGCAGGTCTGACCCTGACAACCCTTATTCAAAAGACAGATGGAATAATAACAACAATGTTGCTGGTGTGGCTTTTAAATCTGAGCTGATGGGACTGCATCATCATCATCACCATCATGCTTCTGTGTTTATATGAGGCACATTGTGACTGATCATTGGCTTCTCTGCCGTATCGACCATTCCGTCTGAGGTGGAGTGGAGATCCCACCTGCCACAGAAGAGAGCTCCAGCTGGGGTATCGGGAAGAAAGTGCTTGCACTATTTACACATTTCTCTCTCTCCTGTGGCTTTAGGGATTCGGTGCTGGAAACTTCAAATCTTTATTTGAAGCTATTGAACTGGACCAAGATGCCCGGGGAAACCTCACTGTCCTGACACCCACCGGAGAATCAGAATTTGTGTAATGCTCAGGAGGAAACAGTATGGATATATACTGAAAGTGGGATGCACTATGCAAGAAAGGATTGGAATAATTCCTCCCAGTTCAGGCTTTCCTGAAGGTGGTTCTAAAGTCTTCATTTTCCCCTCCATTAGCTATTTAAAAATAATAATAATAATACCATGGGAGCCTTCCTCCATGTCCACTTTGGAGAGATCCCACAGGTTGGCTGAAATAAACAAACGAACATGAATTTGTCTGTTCCTGATCCCAGCATTTGGCATGGCACGTGAAAAAGGACTGTAACAGCTACACAGTTTTGGGGCTATGTAAAAACTGCAACTTTTGAGTCATGGAATCAGAGAGTCGCAAGAGACCTCAAAATGAATCAAGTCCAAACTCCAGGCGATGAAGGAACCCTTCCTTGTACCATTTTTGTTGATAGGTGGCTACCTACATGCCACCGAGTGCAGCAGCACCCAGCTGCAAGATCCAGATGCTCACAAGCCAGTGATAAGTAGCCTTTCCCATTATGGTTTTTGCCCTTGTCCAATGAGGCTCTTGTTATCTGCCATGTCTGTAGAGCAGGGATGGGGAACCTGGTACCCTCCAGCTATTGCTGGACCCCAAACCCCCACCAGCCCCAGCCAGTAGGGCAAATGGTATGGGGTGATGAGCACTGTAGCCTGCCCTACAACAGATGGAGGACTGCAGGTTCCACACCTCCTCTATAGATGAACTTGGCTTCCCTGAGATTTGCGTAACTTTTGCTCAAAGCCCTTCAAACTTAGTGGCTATCTTCACATCATTTATTAAAATATTGTTAACCCAGCCTCTGTCCAAAGGTTTCAGGACCAGGTGTACCAATAAGTAAACAAAGCCAGCTACAAGTCAGGATCAGATAAGCAATAAATAATCTTAAAACACAAGCAGTCATTGTACGACATTATGTTAGATGAATCAACACAATGGCAAGTACCGTATTTTTCGCTCTATAAGACGCACCCGACCATAAGACGCACCTAGTTTTTAGAGGAGTAAAACAAGAAACAAGAAAACAATGCAAAGCCTCATGAACGAAGAGGCAGGAGCGCCCCCGCTACACTCAAGAGGCTTTGCATCACTATCCCTGAAGCCAGAAGAGCAAGAGGCATCGGTGCGCACCGATCCCTCTTGCTCTTCTGGCTTCTGGGATAGCCACCGCAGCCACTTCAGGGCAGTGGGATGAAGGCTCCCCGCTGCCCTGAAGAGGCTGCGCGCGGCTAAGCCAGAAGCTAGAACAACGAGAGAGAGAGAGAGAGAGAGAGAGAGAGAGAGAGAGCAGTGCGCAGCAATCCCTCTCGCTGTTCTGGCTTCTGGGATAGCTGCACAGTCTGCATTCACTCCATAAGACACACAAACATTTCCCCTTACTTTTTAGGAGGGAAAATGTGTGTCTTATAGAGCGAAAAATACGGTATGTCCAGGCAAATAAACATGGTACAGTGGAACCTCGACTTACATACGCCTCGTCTCGTGGACGTTCCAAGTTGTGTCCGCGGCAAACCTGGAAGTAAACACCAGGTTTGCCGTGATTCACAAATGCACAGAAGCCGCCGCATGCACAGAAGCTCACTACTGCCGAATGTGCACGCACACAAGATGCCTCTTCTAGTGTCTCGTTTCGACCAGCGGACAGACCTCCGAAATGGATTATGTCGGTAAGTAGAGGTTCCACTGTATTATGAGAGAGGAAGATGAATTTCTCTATTTACAGCTCCCTCAGTGCTTGAGGGACGCGGGTGGCGCTGTGGGTTAAAAGCCTCAGCGCCTAGGGCTTGCCGATCGAAAGGTCGGCGGTTCGAATCCCCGTGGCGGGGTGCGCTCCCGCTGCTCGGTCCCAGCGCCTGACAACCTAGCAGTTCGAAAGCACCCCCGGGTGCAAGTAGATAAATAGGGACCGCTTACCAGCGGGAAGGTAAACAGCGTTCCGTGTGCTGCGCTGGCTCGCCAGATGCAGCTTTGTCATGCTGGCCACGTGACCCGGAAGTGTCTTCGGACAGCGCTGGCCCCCGGCCTCTTGAGTGAGATGGGCGCACAACCCCAGAGTCTGTCAAGACTGGCCCGTACGGGCAGGGATACCTTTACCTTTACAGTGCTTGAGGAATTACGTTTTTTTCATACTTCAGTACAAAGTGACCCAAACTGTACTTCTTGGACTAACACAAGGATGGGAATTTAGTTATCCACAGTCTTTTGTGCTTGCCAAAGAGTTATTGGCTCAAAAAAACATTATCAAATGTACGTTTCAAGTAAAAAAAATGCATTTCAAAATGCAAACACAATCCTGCCTCTTCTAGGGGGCTGGGTGCTTCTCTTCCCCAGAAAAAGCATAACTAGTTTCTGAAGAGCCAGTAGCACACACCCAACTCACTGGCCTCCAATACTATGCTTCCTATTTGAACCAAGCCGCACAGATCTCTGCAAAGCTTGATGGGCTTCATTGCATATTTTTTTTCAGTGCACTTCCCCCACCCGGTCCCTTATCTAGGACAGGAGTAGCAAACTGTGACCCCTCAGATATTGCTCATCCCTGACCATTGGCCATGCTGACTGGGGGCTATTGCGAGTCCAACAGCAGTTGGGAGAACCACAGACTCCTGTCCCTGTCTTGGTGCATCGCTTAAGGTTAGAGAGGTTAGCTGCGGTGCTCACCTGCCCACCACACCTGCACAATCCCATCACACCTATCCTGTGCTGTCCTACCTCTTGTATATACTCCACAGTTGTACCCTGCAAGGATAAAAGCTTTTAAAAAGCAAGTTCCTAGTCCTTATGGGGGGCAGTGAAAATACGCTTGTTTGGGATGTAAGCCATTAAACATATTTTCCTTTCTATATATTAAGGGCAATGGTTATGTTAGGTCTGTAAATGTTCTCTGCATAAAGATTAGGACATCTTTCAGGCCGGTAGCAACTCATTCTCCAGCTGCCGTCAGTTCAGTGGTCTGAATAGCACAATCTATGTACAAGACAGAAGTAGCAACAGCAGGCTCAGGAGAACCCTCAGCTTTGCAGGAATAAAAAAATACTGACGGAACAAGACCAAAATGGGGAGAAACCCAAAGCAGCTTGGTAAGGACTGAACAAACCCAGTGGCCCCCAGAACGTTAGGGTGGGAAGCAATGGGGAGTCTTGTCTGAAGCTGGGCGCTCTGGAAGAATGCGTGGGTGGCTGGCTGGCATCCTGAAACTCCACACCATATTTTGTTGCAGGCAACAATAAGAGAATGTATTGGATCTGGTGAAAAGGTCCACCTGTTTTCCTCACAGCCAGACGCTTCCAGAAGTTCGCAAGCGGAGCATGAGGGCAATGGTCCTTCTCCTGTGCTTGGCTGGCCCAGGATATTCTGAATGACACAACGGAGATAGCACCTTGCTGCAGCCCCAATCTCTGCACTTCAGCAGTTGCTGGTGGTCAATGTCCTCCAGGGCAGCAAGCAGGCTGAGAGGGCAGAGGTTAAGCCACAGGGCATACATGGCTCTACTTTCCAGTATCTTGCCACTGCTCTGTGTCATCCCAGCTTGCACCACTGTAGCTGGCTGCCTCAGAATAATTTATTACTTATATGCCACCCATCTAACTGGGTTGCCCCAGCTACTCTGAGTGGCTCCCAACAAAAAATAGTAAAAACACAACACAGCCTTGCTTCTGTCTCCCATTTCCCATGACTAATGTAATGAAAGCATCTCAGAAGCCCATGCAACCTTCGCGTCATTTCCAAAAGCTCTGCCATATGTGAATCTTCTCTTTGAGAAAGATGCATGTTCACACATCACATCTTCGTGGATATTTAGGTATTTTCAAATATGAGTTTTCTCTTTCTATGTGCTCCCAGACAGTCCTCAATAACAATTCCTGGAGCCTAATAAACCAAACACACAGCTCTTCTGTAAGAAAAGTCAGTATATTTATGGTTTGCTTTATAAAAGTTACTATAATACAATGGTACATAGTATTCAATTCACAAAAAAATTATGAACAAATATTTACAGCATGACATGCCCACAACAAAAAAAAGCCACACGTTCTTCTAAACAAGGTATACTGAAGACGGAGCACAGAACAGTCCCAAACTTATACAGCTGTTCAAAACAAAATGGAACAAAAGGCTTAAAAAAATCCCAAATCTCAAAAGCAGAGATTTAATTTTGTCTTTTTTTGTTTTGTTTTAAGGAACATAAAAAATAGATGCCATTTATTGCAAACCATTTTCCTTGCCCCTTTTAAAGGAGCTCTTTATTTTTCACACTGCGAATTAAAAACCGGTATTTTTACAGAATTCATGTACAAGGACTAAGGTTTTCCCCTCCACAGTGTTTCATTTTAAGAACTAACTCCCAGATTCATAGTATCCTTTGTTCCCCACCTCAGCCTTGTCCCAGAAGCTCCAGTGAGGTGAGAGCTTCATGAGAACAGACAAAGCTTCGGATGAGCAGGACTTTGCTGGCTGGCGAAGACCCTGTTCATGTGGAGCAACAGAGAAGCATTGAAGCACCTTGGAGCTCCAGACCGTGGCTAATGCAATTTTCTTTGTAACCGCTACAAATACTACGTTGGTAATTGAGAAGGAACGTTATAAAATAAAATTGCCAGGGGAGGGTCAAAGTTATAGATTTGCTTAAATACATTTTAGGTTGTCATTAATAGACTATACACATTTTCTTGTCTGAAATAAATAGATTTTGCACATTAAGGTATCAGAAAGGCAAATTTTAAAAAGCCTTAACTTGGCAGGGTTTTTCTTTTAAATCTTCAGCTTCTTAATGCTTCTAGTTTGATCTACATATTTGACAAAAAAAAAAAGATATTTTGTACAGAATTTACATTATACATAGCTTGACACAAGCTGTAAATGGCGCCAGCTCTCCTCCCCCACCCCAATCTCCCACTCTCTTATTGAGGTCTTGGGCTGACAATCTTTAAAAAAAGAACTCCAAACTACAATAGTCACTTTTAACAAATTATTTACATGCTTCTGAAGTACAAAGAAAACAGCCAAAAACATACAAAACAAAAATCAACATGTTTCTACAAGAAACAGTGTTTGAAGAGAAGAGTTTGAACGGCTGCTATGCACAGATGATGTGTCCATTTTAAATGTCAAAATTTCATCTCCCCCACCCTTTAAAAAACTTTTTATACAGAAATGCACTGAAATGATCCCTGAAAATAGGTCACAAACGACAAAACTGAAACAGCTCTCCATCAGAGTTTACAAATTATTTTCTCCCCCATTGTATTAATAAGCTGCTTTGACAATATAAATATCTGTCAGAGTGAGACATCACTGGCTCCTTCCAAGATTTAATCTGAAACTGGAAACTAGAGTCAGGGAAAATGATTGTATGAAACCAAGCAGGCTGGGATTGAAAGCACAGGAAAGTTCATTTCTATTTGCTAGATAATACCAGTGTGAAAACTCAATGAAAGTCAAGTTGAATCCCCCACCCACCTTGCCCGGCCCTCCATTTGGAGTGGATGAGTCAAGGCTTGTGGGTGGGCCGACGAGACTTTGGCACTGCTCTTGGGTGGCTGGGGTTAGAGTGGAGACTTGTAGGATCAGGATTGTATCTCTAGACTTAGACTGGAGCCGTTATTCCTTCCAGAGATCTGCCTCTCTTGTTTTAAGGAACATAAAAATCCTCCCCTCGTTTGGAGCAGGGAGAGAGAAGCTGATCACCTTTGCCCCAAAATTATTTCCCTTCAATGCAGAGCCTTTCAAGGAACAAGAGAATAACCGGATCTGGAGCAGTCATAATTTAAAAATTTCGACCACGCTTGTGTATATACACACTTGTGTATATGAAAGAAAACACTTTTGAAAGTGTGTGTGTGTGTGTGTGTAGTCACAACTTCTATGCCAGGAAGTTGCTTCAAGTTCCAAGCTAAGGCTATCCAGCAGAACCATGCTGATACGAGTAGCTTTAGTATTGCTGTACTTCCTTAAGAAAACAATTTGTTTAACACACACAAAAATATGCAGGGTTAATAAATACAGAGAGGCCGCATGAGGCATCTTTCCTGCACATGCCCTCACCTACATTTCCAGCTGGTGTTTCTGCAGGAGATGCTGGATTACACTCCTGGCATGAGAGAGAGTATGGGAAAGGGTGGGAGCCTGTAGATAAGGCAGCTTGCTTACTATGTTCTGTGTTACATGAAATGGATGTGGCTTTCTCAAAAGGTTGGAAGCATTAAAAAGCCACACCAAAGACATGCCAAGGAGAACCTGTAAGGAAGCAGGGGGACTGGCAAAAGAACCAAGGTCACTGCCAACCTTCTGCCCTCCAGTTTTGGACCACAATGGGAGCTGTAGTCCAAAATAACAGAAGAGCCCCAGGTTGGGTGGGGAAGGCTGGGATAATCTAACCAACTGCACACATGGTCCTCCGTACTCAATGGCCAGAGTTTGTTCAAGCTCCTCAACCCACAAGGCCAGCAGAGCCGCTTTGCCCAGAAAGACACACCAGGCTTGCTTCTTCCTTTTGGCTTCTGAACCTCAAAGGGCGGAAAGCCGCCGACTTTTAGATGTTACTTTTAGATGTAGGATATAACTAGAAGAGGCTTGCAAGCAAAATTCCACTGCCTTACTATGGAAGCCATCAAGACCACACACAAAATGCCAGAGTAACTAGGTGTGGGTGCTGTGGAAAGAAGCAAAAGGCCTGACAGAGAGTATCTGTGCATCTTCTGGTTCCTATTTTTTCTCTGGGAAATTAATTCTTAGTACAGCCAAGTTTAAAGTCCAGTAAATTTAATCCAGGAGCAAAAGACTGAGGAGTACTGGAGATGAACATATATTTCAATATTTGCCCGACTCAACACTCTTTTAAGAGTTTTGAGACTAATTATTTTTTTTTTTTAAGGCACACCCCACACACTTTTCTTGCTGCAATGTTTGCTTGGGTTTTAATCAAAAAGAAGAACCCCCACTAATCTCTCCAGTGCAAACAAGCACTACATAATTATAGGACAGGCATTTGAGAATGAGGATGTAGTCAGACCAAGAAATCTGCTTGCTACTGAAAATAAGCTTTGACCACAAAAAAGTGCTGCTTTCTCAGGCCATAAAACAGTTGCTCTCCACACACACACAAAAAAAACCACACACACAAACATCCACACCCCGTGGGGACCCTCCCTGCCTTACTCAACCAAACTGAGCTAAATGAGGACTAGGCTCCACTCGGCTGAGGCAGGCAGGACCTGGTTCTTTTGTCAGAAGTCTCTTCAGTACTTGGGAAGGAAGAAACCTAAAAGATTGTCATTTAAGGACAAGAGCATTCTGCCAAAGGGGATGGGATGATGAGGGTGAAAAACCAAGGAGATAAAAGCAGCCACTGACTTGGGGAGGACAGATCTTGTCCCAGCTCACCCCCCACTTGGCATCTGCACAGCCTCTATGCATTTGGAGGGGAGGGAGATGTTTGCCCTGGTTTCCTGTGCAAGCCTCAAGTGTGTGGAGGACGTATGGAAACAGGGCTTGGTGGAGCACACTCAGAGGGCTGCCAAACCAACAGTTTCTACAGCATAGCAAGTGCTACAATAGAGAGGGAAATTTGGGAGGGGGGGGAGAGAAGGGATCCAGCTCTGCTTTTAAAAAGAAAAGGGAAGTGGGTTCGTTATTGGGTTCCTAAAGCTATAGTTCCCCCTCCCTCCCCCACAAGGACCAGCAGTGTGCAGAAATCCCAGGGGGGCACCAAGGTGACAACATCAACCACAACTCTGATCCACAGAAGGGAGGAGGTTTGTCCTTTTGTGCATCGCAGACCCAGACAGAATTCCCCGCCTGCTTGAGAAAGCCTCCGCTTGACGTCGGTGTCCCAGCGCTCTCTGCAGGCGATCCCAGCCAGCTTCCATTCAACTCATGGCCTCTTGTGTCTTTAGTCTCTGCTTCACATTTTTTGAATGTCTTTCTCCTGACCCTCCACAAGACAAAACTAATGAGTAAAAGGTAGCAGCATTTTATGGAGAGAGGAACGTGTTTAAAGGATAATAAGGGTACCTTGCTCTACCCATGAGAGCTACACCATAAAGGAGCGAGCAGAGGAGGCGGGGAGAAGAGAGAGTGTTTTGATTTATGGTGCCACTGAGTAAGGGGAACTATCACAAGGGGTGGAGAGAGGTGGGGTTGTGAATCTGAAGATGAAAAGCACCTGCAGCTTGAAGAGTCCTAGTGTGCGTGTCTTCAATTTGCACTTCTCCTGACAGAAGGATAGAAAGTGCCATATAGGTTCCCCTGTCTCTTCCTCATTTTCCTTCTTCCACCTCATCTCTCTTTTTTCTTACTTTTTTTTTTTGGCAAAAGTGCAACCACCCTCGGCTACCACAGTTTGGACACAGCCACCACGCGGCAAAAACCTTGGGCTTTAATTCAGGGTCCCTCTGCAGTTCTCGGAGCCACACAAACAGGGGATCTTTACATCCTCAATGGGGAATTTGTAGTCGTATGTAATTTCCTCATTCACATTGATGTACTGCTTCGAGTAGATGACAATCTTCTTCTGAGATTCCACTGTGATGACTTTAGCGTAGCAGTTGGGCTAAAACAAAAGAAGCAGTTAATTAAAAGCTTTGGCTTAAAGATTTTGATTCGCTTGTTTAGATTTCGGACCCATCACTGTCTTAGTATGTGTGTGCATGTGTGTGTTCTGTGTTTCTGGGAAGGAAGGCTGAAGAAACAAAACAAAAAATACTTTCTAGCCACCTTTTAATATACTTGAGAAGCACATATGATAAGCACAGCATTAGGCACAGAGAAAACTTAAAGAAGTTGGAAAGATCACTGGTTTAAGTTGCTGGTTTTAACCTTTAAAGCCGTACACAGCCTAGGACACACGTACTATGGGACCGCTTCTCCCGGTATGCCCCATGGAGGACCTTAAGGTCCACAAATGACAACACTTTGGAGGTCCCAAGTCACAAGGTGGTTAGATTGGTCTCAACTAGGGCCAGGGCCTTTTCAGTACTGGCCCTGACTTGGTGGGATGCTCTGTCACAAGAGACTAGGGCCCTGCAGGACTTGACACCTTTCCGCAGGGCCTGCAAGACAGAGCTGTTCCACCTGGCCTTTGGTTTGAACTCAGTCTGACCCTTATGTTTTCCCTCCCCTTACGATTTTGATCCATGGGCTACTTTTAAAATGAGGCTGCATTTTAAATTGAATTTTAACCAGTATTTTAAATTGTCCCCCCCCCATTATGTTTTTATTGTAATTTTACTGGTGTTAGCCGCCCTGAGCCTGGCTCTGGCCGGGGAGGACGGGGTATAAATTAATAATAATAATAATAATAATAATAATAATAATAATAATAATAGATAAACAGGTATGAGGAGCAGGGGAGGGAAATCAAAACTGAAGAGCCAACCATCAGTCACCTCCTTCCATAAGACAGCTTGAGCCTGAGGATTGCGGGAAACAGGCCACTGGAGTGGGAAGGTCCACTCACCCACCCACCCACATGGACTCTCTACCCCTACAAGTTTGTTGCCCCACTGTGATGACAGTTGGAGCCACCAGGGGACACAAAAAGGAATTGGGGTTGGGGGTGGGGAGGTGACAGGGGCTTGGAAAGGGGAGACGTTGCCACGACCCAGGTGACGCCAGGGAGAAGCGCCCAGTTTTGAATGGATCTCTCAGGGCCATCCACTTGCCCCTGCCTGCAGTTGAGATAAAGCCAGGACACAGGGTGAGCCTGTGGCAAAGCGGTGGGTGTCTTCCATCCCTCTGCACATGGGGATGAAGCCTTGCCACAAGAAGATTGTGGGCTTGGCAGCAGCAACTGCAGTGAGGAAAAAACCAGGACCAGGGTAGCCCTCAGCAGCTGGTAATGGAGAGCAGAGGAAGAGGTGGTGTTGGGTGTGGCAGCATTGCATCCTGGACGCTTTGCTTTGATGACACCCCCCGCCTGCCCCTGCTAACAACAGCCCTAGTCTGGGTAGCAGTGGCAGCTGCTGCGGTGAGATCGGTGACAACGGTGGCTCCTACTGCTTGGGCAGCAATGGTGTAAGCCCAGATGCAGCCCTGTTGCCACACTACAACTGAACCAGGCAGGGCTGGCAAGGGGAGCAAGCAGAGCGCAAAAGCACTTCTGTGTGTGTGTGTGTGTGTGTGTGTGTGTGTGTGTGTGCGTGTGCCTACACACCCTTTCACATTTAATACAGGAATAAAGTCTGATGCCACCAAGTGAGTGATGGAGCTTGTAAGGCCAAGTAACACTTACATTGCAACTGTGGTTAATAAACCTGGCGAAGTTTCCACACTTTGTTGCATCTATAATCGTGTCGTGGTCAACCCTGAACATGTAACTGCTGCCAATGCCTTCGTCCTCATACCGCTTCTCTCGCATGTCAGCAATTACCTGCAGAACAAGCCAAAGGTCACAAGAGCTACCTTCCAAGAGCAGCCACATTAAGAAAGGGAGAGAAGAGGGACCAAACCAAAGAGGTGACACCTGTCAGTATTTTGCTGCTCACCATTTTATAAAGACCCTCCATGGCTGAAAGTAGAAAGATTTCAAAAGGTAAACACAGAGAGCAGCATTTTCACAGGGATACTGGCATAGGAGACGGCAATACAGCTGACTCACAAGTTGTGTGTATTTGACTAGTGTGGTTGCAGTTGTATGTGCTTGGCAGCTGGCCAGAACTCAACCACACAAATTAAACACAGCAAGGCAGACAGCATAAAAGCTCTTTCTGTGCCAATCCCATGCAATACCTTCCCAGAGCCCAGGGAGCAGGACTGAAGCAGCCACCTTGGGCTGCAAAATCTTGTAAGGTGGCACCCCACCCACCCAGCTCAGGGTTGACAGCAGCAGCTACTGATTAGAACTCGCAGAACTCTCGCAACTTCTCACAGAGCTTCTGAGATCTCACGTGAAATCTTGCGAGAGTTCTGCATCATCTGGTGAGATTTCAGGTGAGGGGCAGCACCTTCCTGTTTCACCTCAGGTGTCAAAATGGGGTGAGCCACTCATGCTGGTAAGCAAGGCAGAAAGCTTAAAAGATCTCCACTTTGCATGGGGGGGGGCAAGGCCCACTTGGAAAAGTAAGAATGGCCGAAGGGGGCAGTTCTGGGGTTGTCATTGCTGCTGTACAGAACAACGCATGTATCAGACCTTCAATCTGTAAATAAAGCATTTTAAACTTACTGAACGATGTGTGGTCTGTTTATTGCCAGAGGGGCAAACAGAAACAGAGTGCTGTAAGTGGACTAAATGGGATAGAAGGGGGACAGTATTGCCCGCCTGCAGGCTGAGCTGGGGCAACACATTCTGCCCCCTCGCTCTGCTGCATGTGCAAGGGGGCTCAAAGGCCACATGGGGCTCATGCCACTCTATGGGTTGGAACTCCGAGGTTTCAAGGAGCCAGCCCAATGCCAAGAGCCGTGTGGCTCCTCTCCTCTTACCTGCCGGATATTCTGCCCCACATACTCAATCACCATCTCGTCAGCAGCAATGGGCTCCATTGCAAAGAGTCCCCAGTCGTGAATGTGACTCTTGCAGAATTTTAGCTTTTTCTTCCGGAACTGTGCGATGGGGAAGAGAGAGAAGAAAAAGGGTGCCTGTAAGCCATTTATTCGAAAACCGGCACAATGCTGGAGTGGACTGAGCACAGCGGGGCTTACAACCCAGCAACATGCCATTCAGAAGATCCATTTCTAAATACAGTGGTGCCCCGCAAGACGAAATTAATTCGTTCCGCAAGTTTTGTCGTCTAGCGAATTTTTCGTCTTGCGAATTATTATTTAGACAAAGGAAACAAAGTCGCGAGACGTTTTCGTCTTGCGAAGCAAGCCCATAGGGAAATTCGTCTTGCGAGGCAACTCGAAAACGGAAAAACCTTTCGTCTAGCGAGTTTTTTGTCTTGCGAGGCATTCGTCTTGCGAGGTACCACTGTAAGCCGAAACCACGTTTTAGAGGCTGCTTAGCTTGGGCCATGGCAGCCAGTGCCCCTTCCTGCCACACTTCCCATTTTAATGCTACTTTATCAGAGTAACAGAAAACAGAGAGACATGTAGAATATAAAATAATGGCAGTCCGTAAAAACTAATATGGAGTTACTTGAAGAGAACAGGCAATCCTGTTTGATATGACTTGTTCTTCACAGGCCATCTCAAGGGTGTGAGGAACTGCATTAAAGCCAACATGGTAATTCGGAACAAAACTACAGTCATGAGTTTTCCAAAGTCATTTGGATTATTTAATTGCCATTTTATTCCCTGCTTGTGTAAATAATAAAACTGTTGGTTCAAACATTTTTGTCCTTTCAAGATTTGCAGCCAAGATGATCAAGGGTCTGGAAACCAGGCCTTATGAGAAATAGTTGAAGGAGCTGAGTACGTTTAACTTGGAAAAGAGGAAACTGAGAGGAGATAGGATAGCCATCTTCAACTATCTCAAGGGCTATCATATGGAGGAGGGAGCAAGCTTGTTTTCTTCAGCTCTGGAGGGAAGGAGTTGAACCAATGGCTTCGACAAGAAGATTCTGACTAAACAGCAGGAAGAACTTTCTGACAGTATGAGCTGTTTGACAGTGGAAAGGAGTCGCTTAGTAGACTCTCCTTCCTTGGAGGTTTCGAAGCAGAGGTTGGATGGCCATCTGTCAGGGATGCTTAGCTGGAATTCTTGCATTGCAAATGACCATTGGGATCCCTTCCAACTCTGCAATTCCACAGTTCTATTATTTTGGGTGAGTTTTTCATTTAGGGCCCCTGCCACACTTCAGTATACAAATAAGTTGAATTGGAACTCCTTTAAAGGTAAAGGGACCCCTGACCATTAGGTCCAGTCGTGACCCACTCTGGGATTGCGGCGCTCATCTCGCTTTATTGGCTGAGGGAGCCAGTGTATAGCTTCCGGGTCATGTGGCCAGCATGACTAAGCCGCTTCTGTAGAACCAGAGCAGCGCACAGAAATGCTGTTTACCTTCCTGCCGGAGCGGTACCTATTTATCTACTTGCACTTTGACGTGCTTTCGAATTGATAGGTTGGCAGGAGCAGGGACCGAGCAACGGGAGCTCACCCCGTCATGGGGATTCAAACTGCCAACCTTCTGATCGGCAAGCCCTAGGCTTAACCCACAGCGCCACCCGCATCCCTGGAACTCCTTTAAATCTCTCCAAATTTTGGCAACCATCATTCTACTTGCCACAAATGTATCTCCAATTAAGTTTTATTATGCAATTCCAAGTAAATGTAATAGTGCCAACTGAGGGATTTTAACCATTCCTTCTCCAGCTACTTTTCTCAATATCTGGAATTTCTTGAAATGTCACATCCCAGAATTCCTGCTACCCTTCAGGCCTTCTCTTAAAGGGACTTGCAGATTCCTTCTGCAAAGCTTGCCCCAAGACCACAGCAACATGATTTTAACCCTTTCCTGCCATTCCTCAATCAAATACTTTGTCACTTGGAAGGCAGACAAGTTCACTGACCAGTAGGGGTTATAGTAAATGGAGGCTTCCAAGAGGGAAGCTGCACAACTTACCTTGAGCTGGTTGAATTTGAGCAAGTCACTGTCGCAACTGCCGGGTAAGGAGGACAGAAGCCTGCGTTGCTCGGACCTCCTCTCGGAGCCAGCCCGGGTGGAAACGTGCACCTGGGCAGGGATGCTCATTCCCTGAGAACCAAAAACAGGACAGCATAGCAGTTAGCAAGCAGGTGAGTGGAACTGGTCCCAGGCAGGTTTAGCCTCAAGGCTGGGGTGAGCTCAGTGACACAGCATCTGCACGCTGAGAAATATTTTTGCTCAAGATCCCAGAGAGCTGCTCAAAGATGGCAGACTGGCCCATAGCCAAGGGGCAGTGCAGCCCGTGCTTATCTTGCAGAGGGCGCCAGGCTCAATCCCTGGAGCCTGAAGGAAGAGGGAAGGTGGCGAGGAAGACCAGGGCTGGATGCCCATAGCCAGTCAGAGGAGCCAGTAGTGGGAGAGGTAGAACAATGGCCTGACAAAGCATAAGCCAGCCACACACACACCAACCTGGCGCCCTCCAGATGTTTTGGGCTATAACTCCCATCATCCCAAGCCAACACAGCCATGTAGTGGTCCAAAACAACTGCAGGACGCCCAACTGGCAAAAAGTGGTGTAATGTAAATTCATATATTATTGTTTTTTGCTGACTTGATCATAAGGCAGTTACTTACTAGGCAAAAGGTTCCTGCACTGCAGGCAGTTGGACCAGATTACCCTCATGGTCTCTTCCAACTCTACAATTCTATGATGCTATTCTATATAGAGAACATTCTATTCTTTTAAGTGAGCTAATAAAATATATTAAATCCTATTAAAAATTAACCCCCAAACTGAATACCCACCCACAAGTTTGTCCTGCTGCCTTTCCTAGCTCTTTTTCTGCTCCACTCTTCTGGCAAGGGAGAACGCACCCCAGCTGACTTGCCTGCCACATTGTCCCATTTATACCCCCTAACATCTCATATCCTTGCCTGCCACCTTCTCCAGATGGTTACAATTAAGTCAGCAACTCAAGGGTGCAATTCAATTGCCATGTCTTTTCTGCCCCCAAACAGTAAGAGGGTTCAAGTGGACTTCAGGGAGGAAGGAGGGAGGTGCCTACAGAACTCCCAGCCAGAACAGGACAGCAAGGAGAAAGAAGAGGGGGCCCGTCCTTTACCTGCGTGTCGGCAGGAGGCTCCTCTGCAAATGCACGGCTGTTATTGAGGTATTTCAGTTTGTCCTTCTTGTCGATCTTGTAGTAGCCTTCGCTGCGGGCACAGCCTGTGACGTGCTCCCGCATCCCATCGTCCCGTTTTTTCTTCTTTGGAGTAGAAAAGCTGGTTGGTGGACTCCACGTTAAGGAAAAACCCAGGAAAGATGTGGGCTGCAAAGCCCTGCAATTATGCCGGCAAAGCTTGCTGGGCCCTTGGCCCTAAGCCAGAGATGGGCAACATTTTCTAGCTCAAGGGCCTCCTTGCCACCTGGGCCACTTTCTGGGGCTGAATAGCAGTGGTGGGCAGGGCCAGAGGGGAAAGAAGGTGAAGAAATAGGTGTGGCTTTTACCTTTGCGGAGTCTGTTATATTCTGGCCACAAGAAAGTCAGGAGTCTCTCTCTCTCTCTCTCTCTCTCTCACACACACACACACACACACACACACACACAACCTCCATCTAGGTAAGCATTAAAAACTTTCATGATGAAAATATGTAACAAACAAGCGAGTTAAAAATCAGAAAAGGTAAAATGAATGCCTACCTAGGGTGTCTTCAATACCTGGTGGAATGCCAGTCCCAATGGGGCCTCTGGTTCTTCAGCAGAGAGGGCATTCCACAACACTGGAGCCACCAGAGCAAGAGCCCACCTTTGTGCTACCGCAAGCCAAGCATCATCCAGCCATGTCAAAGTTAGCTAGGTACCATTTGCTGATCTTAATGCTCTTACCTAGCAGTGGAGGGGAAGGTGCTTTTTCAGGCATTAGATAGAGGAATCTCTCCAATATGTATTTGGTAAGGGAGTGGAATTTCCCATTTTCTCTGTTAGGCAGATCACTATGTAACAACTGCCAGACACAAAGCATGTCAAAAGTACCGTAATCTTCCACTGAACCATTGGCAGAGGAGCATGCGAGCCTGTTAAGTTTGCAAACTCATTAAGCAGAACTGAATTGTGCCTGACAAAGAGTTCTGTGAAATGCTAGGGTTGCATATCATTTTTACTAAACAAAATGATGCCAATAGATGGTACTAAGCAAACAGTTTTAACTTAAGTGTTCTGCTTTTATTTTTTCATTATTATATTTTTTTGGGGGGGATGTTGAATTTGTTGGTGTTTTAATTATGTTTGGATTTTATAGTTTATTTTAAACTTGTAAAGCTTGGAAGCCATTTTGGCATGTTAGTGGTATATAGATATAATTATTATTAATAATAATAATAATAATAATAATAATAATAATAATACCACCAGAATGGCTACAATGTTTAAAAATTAGTAGTGCTTTCAAAATAAAAGATGCTGCACTTACATATTACTAATCTTCACCTGTATTTTGAATTAGTTATGTTATTCACCACTGTTTCAGTTGCTACCACAACAATGCTTAGCAAAAATGATTTATATGTCATAGTCATCAGCACCATTCCATTTCTAAGACTGTAGACTAAGAAAAGGTCTGAATGTCTGGTCCAGTTTCAGTGCTCCCAAGGAGGCCAGCACTTTAAATAGGGGTTTTAAATCTTTGCCACAGCAGGCGTCTCTAAAAACTCTCGCTTTAGTATAAAACAGTCAACTCAATTGGCAGAATTGTTAAGTAGAGCAAGAAGTTTCGCTGTGGTGTGAAACAGGAGTTCAGCACACTCCATGGGACAAGGGAAGACTAACCTCAACAGGATGATGTCAACAAATGGGATGTATTAGGAAGTTTGGGGGCTTAATGTCAGAACTGCTTTTTGAGCCCCCCAGCCTGTTGCACAGAAGAACCTTGAAATTCTGCAGACGTGTGTAGTAAGAACAAAAGCAGGTTTTCATGCGCTTGTAGAAGCTGCAAGTCATGTAAAATTTAGCCCAATATTTCAGGGCCAAAAATACATCTGTATCTGATGATTGCAAATAATCATTACAGAAATGCCCAACTCTTTTTATGTAAAAGGCCCTTTATAAGAATTTAAGAAGAGCCTGCTGGATTAAGCCAACCAATTGCCCATCTAGTCCAGCATGCTGCCCACAGTGGGGAACCAAATTTCTGTAGTAAACCTGCAAGCAGGACCTCCTGTGGTTTCCTGCTATTGTCTTTGACTGTAGTTATTGCACTGTCACTTACGTTTAGGAGTCCAGCCAGACACCTTTAGAAACAGGGCTTTGCCCAGTCAAGGGGGTTCAGGAACTGGTGAGCAGCCTGCTCATGAGTGACCGTATTTTTCGCTCTATAACACGCACCTGACCATAACACGCACATCGTTTTTAGAGGAGGAAAACAAGGGAAAAAATTCTGAATGAAACAGTGGATGTATCATTTTTGTACTTCATGCTGTGGCCACGGACATGTGATCTGATGGTGAATTTGGGGTAGCTCAATGCAAAGATCCTGAGGATCCATGTGGATCCATGCTTTTTAACCACATTTTTGCACCATTGCAGCCCCAGGCAACAGTGGGTGTGTGATTTTTGGGGGGCAGGCTGCTATGTGATCTGATGGTGAATTTGGGGTGGCCCAATGCAAAGATCCTGAGGATCCATGTGGATCCATGCTTTGTAACTACATTTTAAGTGGGGAGTGAAGGAAAAACACAGAAGGGACAAGAGAGCAGTGTGCAGAGAAGCAGCTGGCTAAGAAAGCAGGAGCGGGATTTAACTGGAGGGAGGAAAGAAAGGCAAAAGTTTCCCCAAACCGAAGCGAGCTCTCTCTCTCCTCCTGCATGTTTTCTGGCTGCCTGCGAGGAGCACGGAGAGGAATTAGAAGGTAAGACCTCTGCTTTCCCCTCTGCTTGCCTGGAGGGGAGGGGATTTGCCTGCTCTTTGTTCCGTTTGAGCAAACACAGCAACGAAACAGAGGAGGGTGGGCAGTAAGACCCTGAGGCAGAATGCAGGAAAGCAACCACTTCCTCTTTTCAGGTTTCCCTCTCCGACACAACGCAAGATTGATTTTTGCTGATTTTTGTTCCTGCGCTCCCCTAATCGGCTCCAGGGACCCCCCCCCACATTCGCTCCATAACACGCACAGACATTTCCCCTTCCTTTTTAGGAGAAAAAATCTGTGTGTAATAGAGAGAAAAATACGGTACTGTTTCTGCTCCTAGAGAGGAATAACTGGGTCCTTTTTTGGCCAGGATGGTGGCCCAGTCATTGCTGAAGAGACATATTTGCTGAATGACATTAATAAATAGGAAATATTAAAAAGTAGTCAAGTTTGCTATTTTAGCAACTAAACTTAGAAAGGATTTTGTGGACAACCGTGCATTAGACTAAGTTCTGTTTCTTATTCCCCTTTTTAAACAGTTTCTGGAACTGACCTGTTATTACCATATGTAGTGTATATATTTTCATATTTTTTCTGCAATATTGTTAAGGCTTACAACAAAACTACCAACCAAGTACAGCAATGCCCAATAAAACCAGCTCCTCAAAAACAATACGTTCCCAAGGAAGCCCAATCTGGTAATACAGAAAAAAAAGAAAAAGGGAAAAAAGGATATGAGGATGGTATACCCAAAGGGTATCATTGAGCCAGTCCATGCCATTGTCTTGCTGCAACAAGTGATCGTATGTAACACACAGGAAATGGATATCCTCTTCGTCAATGCCCCCATTCCAAATGTCATATAAAATGGTCATCTCCTCAAACTCAGAGCGGGGCCTGAAGTGATACTGATGAGGGGAATACTCAGGGGAAGGAATTGTTGGAACGTCCTCCGGCCTCTTTTTCTGTCGCCTCCACTGTCTTTTGGATTTCAAGTAGGCCTCTTCTTCTTTCAAGTCCTCGTTCCACTGGTTCTCCAGCTCCTTAAAGGGAAGCTTCTCAGCTAGAACATCTGGGGGGAGCTTGTCATGGAAGCCTTCATTCCGGAAATCCAGGGTCACTGCTTCCGGATCTTTCAGGGCATAGAAAGCCTCTGGGTGGCTACTCAACAAATCTTTGCTCACAGCACTTTCAGTCAAGACAACTGGGATGGGAAGAAGAGGAGGCTCAATGGGCTTGCCAGAATAGGCATCCAACATAGGGCCCAAAGGAGAGGATCGTTTCGGCCGCCCTGGTTTCCTTTTGATGGGCAAGACAGAGGAGGGAGGCTGAGGCAGGAGAGGAGGGGAAGCCACAGAGACTTCTGGGTAGGGCAAAAGGGGCCGTGCCTCTGTGGTGTACTCCTCTAGAGGCATCTTTGAGTCCACAGAAAAGCTGGGGAGAGCAGCAAGAGGTACTGGCTGGCTAGGGGGCAAGTCGAGACGTGCAAGGAAAGCTGGGACAGGTGGACTGGCAAAGGGAATGGGGGAGGGAACACTGTTCATGCCAGCCAGTAAGGAAGCACCAAGAGGTTCTTTAAAGACTTTCTCATCAGGTTCGTCTTCAGAGGGCTTCCTGCCTGACGAAAGGCAAGGAAGGGTAGCACCAGGCTCTGGGAAAGTCGGGGTGAAAGTGAAATCCCTCCCCGGAGTCCGAGGAATGCCGCCACTGTTGATCCCGGGGGACTGGGATGGGTAGGAAAAGGGGCTTCCTGGGACCTGAGGGGAACTTAAGGTCAAGCTGCTTCCTGTGAGAGGAGCGTCATTGCCAGGGGTGGCTGGGACAGTGTCTGTGCTCTGGGACTTGGAGAAAGTGTGAGAGCACTTGGCTGCAATGTCCCGTCCAGGAGTCCGAGGGAGCTCTTCTTCCAGAGCTGGTTTGGTCATGCTTAACTGATCCGGGAACTGCTCTGGAAGGAGGAATGGCTCCTCTTTACCAGATGTGGCTGAGGGGAGGGGAAGCGAAGAGGGTGGCACCGCACTGAGCGGAAGCCCAGGAGACTCCAAGTGAGCCTGCCGCTCTCCTCCGGGAGTCCAAGGGAGACGGTCCTCTTCCTCGGCTGAGCGGGACTGTCGGCTTTTTGCTGGGGCTTCAGAAATGTTGTTGTCCGGCTTGGTGAAAAAGGAGGTACTGCTGGCCAAAATGTCTCCCAAAAGCCCCACCGGCGTTGGTGGACAGAGGTTTTCTTCATCCTGACTCTCTGGCTGTGGGCTGACCAGCGCCTCAGGCTCCAGCTCGACATCGGGTTCAGACTCCTCCTCTAGAAAGGAAAACACAGAGGAGCAAATGACACACCTTAAGGAAACACACCGCGGTTACAAAACTGCCTGAAGACTGGAAGGGACGCAAAGGGCATTTACCCCAAACATCTGGGGCTGGGAATGGAAACAGGATCTATACAGGCGGCAGACTGAAGGATGTTCACGGAGCACCGAGGTAAGAACCCACTTGCAAACCCCTGCAAAGCTCCACTAAGTCTTCAACACATTTTCAAATTCCTGTCTAAAATCACAATGGCTAGAACTGTGCCATTAAAAAAGCAAATTTCACGCCAGATACCCACTGGTATCTACTTGGGCAGTCAGCACAAAGTGCACACAATCCTAATTTTAAGCGGTTTTTCTACATCATCTTTGCCACCACATAGTGACAAACCCAGTGGACAGAGAAGCCAAGCTGAACGAGGAAGTGAGTTGGGGGAGGAGTTAGCAGCCAGCAGCAGTTCTATTTAGCTGATTGGAGGACTTGTGAACAGGGCTGTTTGAGAGGGCGCTTTGAGGATGAAACCTGGAGTGCTTTCTCATAGAGCACGTAGAACCATGTGGTAGGGTAGGAGAGCTGAAAATAATGCCAATAAGTTTCACATCTGACAACCAATGCACCCCTTGGGTTTCAGATAATACATGGGTAGATGAGTCTTAAAAGCCCAGGACACAAATTTTTATGGCTCTCTAACAGCTATGGTTGCTTGATGCTTAGTTTGGTCAGATTAGAGTAATAGACTTCCAGAGTTAATGCTAAATACATTACTTCTGGTAAATGAGCCACCATATGATCAGACTCGTGTGTCCTCTCCCCTCTCCTACCCATGTGCTTATCCCCTTCCTCTTTCACAACAAATTGTGAGTTACCATTACATTTGAACTAGCAAACCATTGTTTATGTGCAAACCACATAACTGGAAACCATGGTTCTACAGCAGAAACCAGGCTGAAACTCATTTGCATAAATGCCAAGCCACATTGCTACATCTGAACTGAGTTCATGTTTAAAAAAGAAGCTGGAACAACTATTATGAATTAATTGACATGTCACTGGAACATCACAGCGCTATCAATTACTTTGTTTGGTCTTAGAACTAGAGCTGGGTGCTATATAGATAAATTGTCTGAAACTGGTTTGGTGTTCAGATCACAATACAGTGGTGCCTCGCAAGACGAAATTAATCCGTTCTGCGAGTCTCTTCGTCTTGCGGTTTTTTCGTCTTGCGAAGCACGGCTATTAACGGCTTAGCGGCTATTAACGGCTTAGCGGCTTTAAGAAAAAGGAAACAAACTCACAAGAACTCGCAAGACATTTCATCTTGCGAAGCAAGCCCATAGGGAAATTCGTGTTGCGGAACGACTCAAAAAACGGAAAACCCTTTCGTCTAGTGAGTTTTTCGTCTTGCGAGGCATTCGTCTTGCGGGGCACCACTATACTGCTTCCAAACAATTTGAGCTGACAATACATTGCACCAGCTCAAATTGCCTGCAGACAGCAAAGGTGCAGGCAGACAGGCAGAGCACCTTATCGGACTCCGTCTGCCTGCCTGCGCGTGCCTTTGAGGAAGCCCCTGCATTGCCCCTCCAGCTCACACAAATCAGAGCAGCATCAGGGCTCACTCAGCTGAGGGGCGGGAGGCTTCCTGCTCCCCCCAGCTCATGCAAACCAGAGCAGTATCAGGGTTTGGTAGGGCTGGGCAATGTATCTCAGCTGCTTCTACTTCCCGTAAGGTGGGTAGGAAGAAGTAGCTAAGATACATTCCAGAGTCAGACATCATGAGATATCAGCATATCACAGTATTTAGTTGCTGATATATCACAATGCTGAAAACCAGATATTGCCCAGCCTTGCTTAAAACTAAACGTGGAGATTGAAAAGCAGCCACTTGTATTCAGATCAGGAACTTGAACAAGAAATCCTAAGAGAAGGGCTAAGAGAGGCCTTTAAATCAAGATGCTGTTGAACTAGACAGAATTTGAAACCAGCACAAGACACATTAAGGCTGCTTCTGATGTGATCCTGTTCAGCCTTAAATCCCACAAGCCACTCCCACATCAGCACGTGTGCCCAAACTTTATTTCAGAATGAGCTACACGTTCAGCTGCTCTGTGATTCACAGGTCTTTCTGGAGCCAGGGGCATTTTTTCATGACAGGTTCTGCACTCATGCAAGGCCTACCTGCAAATATTTTATCAGCTTTCCCCTCCAAAGGTAGGGACTCCTACTCCAGGAGGAAAGGCAGGAGCAGAGACAGGCTTTCAGAGCCCTTACTCACCAGATACTGGGAGAAGAGAGTTTGCAAAACGGTCAAAATTGCCCCTCACCTGGCACGCCCACTGGTGACAACTGCAGCTTCTCCTCCTGGGCTCTCTCAATCACCACCAGCACTTCAGCCACAGACTGCGGGAGGAGTTCCCCGCTTTCCTCCTCTGCATGCTTGACTTCTTCCTTCTGCTCCTCTCCTTCTGGCATCAAAGGCTCCGGAAGAACTAGAGGAGTCCCTTCAATGTAATCGTCCACTGGAAACAATTCCAGGATGGTCTCCTTCTGATCATCGTCTTCAGCCTCTTGAGTGAGAGACTCAGGGGCCAGCTGGGTAGGCAGGGCTTCTGTTTCTTGCTGCAGAGACACTCTTTCTTCATCTTCCACCTGCTCCTCATAGTCCTCTTCCTCTTCCCCTTCCTCTTCCTCCTCCTCCTCCTCGTCTTCATCAGAATCAGAGCTCGTCCCAAATTCTGAGGATTCCTCACTTTCATCAGATGACTCAATCTCTGCTCCAGAGGAAGCAGGACTTCCTACATCTTCTGCTGGAACACAAAAAACAAATTTGGTCAGGACAGGCAAGAGAAATTAATTAGAAGCATAAGATTTCCATTTGCTTGTTTTTTCTCTCCCTCCCTGTCACATATCCATGCTAGAGAGCTCCCTAAATCTTTATAAAACCATCCGTTCTAGTAGCCATTGAAATGGCCCAAAGCAATGCACTGTGTGAAAACACTTTTTATCCTGAATGTACCATAGTTTACCTGGACAGTAGAAGGTTCAAGGGTTTTTTAAAAAATGTAGGAGTAAAAGAAGAGAAGCTGTCTTCTCACCGTACAGAATTTTACCTGCCCTTGGTAATTTTTTATCTCATATTAACAGCCCTAAATTCTTGTACATCTCTTCGTAAGACAATGTTAACCTCCCCACTTTTAATTTCAGTTGCTTTAAGTATTTCATGTTCTGCATTTCATTCTTACTTTTAGGTGGGACACCTAGAAGTGCATATGGCATTGTAAACTTGAGTGCCTGTTAAATTATACTATTATATGACAATACTTGCTGCTTTATCTTCAATCCCTTTCAGGATAGCTCATGAAACTGAGCTTGCCTCACACATTGCAGGAGGTTAAATATTACCTGGAGATTTGGACAATGCTTCATCTAGTCAGCTAGTCAAAACATCAAGATCTCATTTACTTAGAGCTAACAAGAAACCATACCTTCTTCAGAATCTTGTTCCTCTTCCTTTCCACTTGTTTCTGCTTCAACTTCTTCTTCTTCATCGTCTTCGTCATCATCATCTTCATCTTCTTCCTCCCCTTCCTCTTCATTGAGGTCTTCCTCCTGTTCCTTGAGAGAGAAGGCATTTTAAAAGTGCAACAAACACTTGTTTTTTTGCAGGTGGGGGAGCACGTTGACCGAGGGCTTATATTATTACATAAGAAAGAGGTCCAGTGCCATTGTGGCACATCTGGTATAATGTCTAGATAAAATGATAGGCTGGTGGACTCAGGACATGCAATATGACACTTCTTTATAGAATGGAAGACACATTTAAAGTTTTTTTAAGGGGGGAAATAAGCTACAGAAATATTTCAAAACTCAGAAAAGCAACACATATGAACATATCTAATCAATTGTAGCTACACAAAGGGATATCCCAAACAAGGCTGGATTAACCATTAAGTGAAATAAGTACATGCTTAGGGCATCAAGGGAAGGGGGCACCACAGGCATTTTCCACTGCCAGATTTTTAACATTAATGGTCACAAACTGCTCTGCTGAGCATCAATTTTCTCAACTGAAGTGTATTAAAAATCCCAACGGAACAACTATGCAACAAGACAGGCTGGATGCCTTATCTTTACTAAGTATAGAAGCAGATGTGTTACATAAGATTAGTTTTTAGGATCTGATCAAAGACTTTGACATTAGTAAAAGCAGGAAAAAATGTTTCAAATATAAAGTGAAAGTATACAAAAATAAACATTCTTTTCCATCTTAATGCAGGCTTTGTTCCATTCTGAAAAATAAAAATTTATTTTACCTTTTATTATTTTTTATATTTTGAATTAGATATGTATGGGGGCACCAGAAACTTTTAAGTGCTTAGGGCCTCTAAAGGTCTTGACTCAGCCCTAATTCCAAGCAATATCTAGAATGTAAGCAAGGAAGAAAGAAAACTTTGTGGCTAGGGGGGGACAGCCTGCCACAAAACTCATCTTTCCCTTTGACTTAGCAACTTAGCCCCAGTGGGGCTACCTTTGAAGGTGACCTGGAAACTACAACTAATCCAGAATGCGGCAGCTAGACTGGTGACTGGGAGCGGCTGCCGAGACCACATAAAAGACCTACATTGGCTCCCAGTACGTTTCTGAGCACAATTCAAAGTGTTGGTGCTGACCTTTAAAGCCCTAAATGGCCTTGGTCCAGTATATCTGAAGGAGCGTCTCCACCCTCATTGTTCTGCCCGGACACTGAGGTCCAGTTCCGAGGGCCTTCTGGTGGTTCCCTCACTGCGAGAAACCAAGTTACAAGGAACCAGGCAGAGGGCCTTCTCGGTAGTGGCGCCCGCCCTGTGGAACACCCTCCCATCAGATGTCGAAGAGAACAACTACCAGACTTTTAGAAGACATCTGAAGGCAGCCCTGTTTAGGGAAGCTTTTAATGTTTGATGCATTACTGTATTTTAATATTTTTTTGGAAGCTGCCCAGAGTGGCTGGAGAAGCCCAGCCAGATGGGCGGGGTATAAATAATAAATTATTATTATTATATTATTATTATTATTATTATTATTATTATTACTACAAGAGGGAGGTGCTGGCTTTCACTCACACATACACAGCCAAGAGAAAAAAGCCCAGGTTGGTTGTGGGACCTACCTTGTCAGAAACAGATTTCATCACCCCTTCCCCTTCCTCTTCCTCCTGCTCGGCCTCCTTTTCAGAAGACGTTTCCTCCTCCTTGCCTGAATCCTCCTCTTCTCCTTCACTGTCTAGTTCCAGCGGCCTTCCGGGTCTCCTCCTGAGGCCGACCACTTCGCCATCTTTCTTGGAGAGGTCTGAGGCTGCATCCGGCAGGTCTCGATCTCGTTCTGATTCTGGGAGTGTGAAAATGCACGAAACAGTTGAAGCAGCAGCCAGCTATGACATTCCCAAAGTGACAAAAATGGATTCCTGCCTTAGAAAACTGAAAGTAGGTGGGTTTTTAAAAAAGTGTTTTCTTTCGCTTGCTCATTTGTTAAATAAATAGATTTTAAGAAGAAAGAAAATGCAGCTAAGGAAATGCTCTTGATACTTGTGTCACCTTGAAAATATGTTACGTGTTAGGAGAAACTACATACTTGGCGTTATTCTATCTCCCATGTATATAACACACCAGAGAAGTGGGAGTTATTATGATGGGCCCTGGGTTTAGGTGGGAAAGGGGCAGCTGAATGCCACATTGTACCCCACATCCGAGTTCTCTCTCTAGAAGAAAGAAGGCAACCATGGAAGGAGGCTTTGCTATCACTGCAGCAGTGTCCTCAAGTCTAGCATTTTGGCTTTTCTTAGGAGTCTTAGGGTCCGGTTAAATCTCGTGAAGGTTAGTTATAGGAGGATAAAGGGACTCACTCCAAAGGCTTCACAGAAAGGGTGGTTTTTGAGGGATGGATCTGAAGGAAGAGAATGCCTGTGGCGGATGGAAACATTTGGTTCTTCTGTGCACATGGGATCTGCATCTCTGGACATGCACCCTATGCAAGGATTTATTTTTCAAGACACCATTTCTGACACATTAAGAAATAGGGGAAGAAATCTCCATCCCTCAGTAGCTGAATGTTTGGGAACCTCAGAGCTTTTAATCCAATACATTCAATATGATGAAATGTTTTCAGTGCATTAGTGGCACGATCCAGTCCATGCTAAAAATTAACCACTGATTACATTTAGGGGAAAGTAAGCCTGTGCTTATTGCTGCCACCAAGGCCCATGGGACTGCAAAGCTTAACTTGGCTGGTTGCACCCTATGAGTTTAGGAAAAAGAGGTTAAGAGTGGGCCTTGCTTGTTAGCTGCAATCTGGCTTCCTTAAATCTTTCAAGAAGATGGTATGCAATCTAGGAAGAGTTAAGTACACCAAAACTTTATCCCGGTCAATAGGGCTTAAATGCACAGCAAAGGAAGGAACTCCCAGTTTCTCTTCCTAGTTAGGTTACTGAACTCCAGTCAGGCTATGTCCTTCCAAAGCTGGTAAGAAATTGGTGCTTGAATACTGAACAACTGTGGGTGCTCAGAAAAAAACCAAGAAAACAAAGACAAAAAACTGTGGGTGCTCAGATTAATGAAGTGCACTATGTCAAGATGACTACTACTTAATTAATTATATTAGTCATATAATTATTATAGTAATACTATTACTAATTATTATAATTATAGTAATTATTATAGTACACTAATCAATATTATTATTATTATTATTATTATTATTATTATTATTATTAGCCTTCTCCAAGGAGCTCTGGGAGGACAAAGCATTTAATGATAATTAACAAGAACTGTGGGGTGTGTGTCTTTCATTTCATACTGAAATAGCATTAAACCAGTTATAACACTGAACAGCCTGTTCTTTCCATGATGCAAAAATATTTTTACCGTGATTTACTTAATGGAACAGTGCCCATCTTAACTGCAACACTGAACACGGAGTCTTATCTGTGTTACAGATTGGTCCCAAATATGACATTAAATTGCAAAAATTAGGACAAAGAGAATTTGGAACTCTTAGTTTTGCATAGAGCGGGGGTCGGCAACCTGCGGCTCCAGAGCCGCATGCGGCTCTTTAAAGCCTTTGCTGCAGCTCCGGGGCGGAGGCGCGGGGAGGAGGCGAGGGGCGGAGGCGAGGGGACGGGGCGAGGGGCGGGCACGAGGGGAGGGCGCGAGGGAAGGAGGCGAGAGGCGGGGCGAGGGGACGGGGCGAGGGGCGGGGCGAGGGGAGGGCGCGATGGAAGGAGGCGAGGGGCGGGGCGAGGGGAGGGCGCGAGGGAAGGAGGCGAGGGGTGAGGAGAGGGGAGGAGGCGGAGGAGTTAGTTGCCTGAAGCCACTGTTCAAAACTGGTCACTGTTTTGAAGGGGAGTGAAGAACACACACTCAAAAAAAGGTAACTTGTTAATTTAATGTTTATTATGTTTACTGATTTGTGCTTTGTGACTGTTTGAGGTGGGGTTTTTTTCTTGGGAGGCTGGGCGGCGCGAAGAGAGGGAGGCTTGTGGTAGCGTCGGGGCTTGTCTCTAGCAAAGTAAGTCCTCGCTATTTGGTCACATGCGCAGCATTGTGGCTTCGGAGCTCCAACACTTGCTTTGCCGGCTGCTTTCAAAAGCGTCGGAATCAGCTGTGCTGTTGCTGGGTAACCGGATCGTCCCAGCAGCCATCTTATCTGCCCATGTGGTCTTCTGAGGCGGCCGCCATCTTACTATAGGAAATTCCACGTGGGAGTTAGTTGCCTGAAGCCCCTTTTTAACCTTAAGCAGGGGAAAGTTTTTGGGGAACGTTATGCAACAGCTTATTGCTGGTCTTCGTCGTCCCGCCTTTGTAAGCAGGCTGCATTGAAAGGGGGCATATACACTGGTCACTGTTTTGAAGGGGAGTGAAGAACACACACTCAAAAAAAGGTAACTTGTTAATTTAATGTTTATTTCTATGAGGAGGAGTAATTCTGAGGGGTCAAACAAAGAAATAATAAAAAGTGTCAAAAAAGGTATTTTTATAATGACGAATGCCTCATTATTATATATTATTTACAACAGGCACTGGTTATGATTTATGGTACACTGGGGCCCTGATTAATTTTCTATGGCATTTTGGGGCATTGGTTATTGGGCATAGCAAGTTGCGGTCGCGTGGAATTTGTGCTTTGTGACCGTTTGAAGTGGGTTTTTTTTCTTGGGAGGCTGGGCGGCGCGAAGAGAGGGATTATTTTTATAATGACGAGGATGACATTGGGCCCTCATTATTAATTATTATTTACATCAGGCACTGATTATGATTTATGGTTCACTGGGGCCCTGGTTAATTTTCTTTGGCATTTTATGGCATTGATTATGCAGTCGCGGTCGCGTGGAATTCCACGTGGAGTTAGTTGCCTGAAGCCCCTTTTTAAGCGAAGCCCCTTTTTAAACTTAAGCAGGGGAAAGTTTGGTGAAAGTTTGGTGAATTGCTGCCAAGGAGTGTGGTGGAGTCTCCTTCTTTGGAGGTCTTTAAGCAGAGGCTTGACAACCATATCTCAGGAGTGCTCTGATGGTGTTTCCTGCTTGGCAGGGGGTTGGACTCGATGGCCCTTGTGGTCTCTTCCACATATGTATGTGAGCAGGTCTTCTCCAACATGAACTATATTAAAAACAAACACCAATCACGCCTCACAGATGACAGCTTGCAAGCCTGTGTGAAAATGAAGGTGACGTCTTACAGCCCTGATGTGCAGACACTGAGCACTGAGGTTCAGGAGCAAAAGTCCCATTAACCTGGTTACCTGGTTGTAAATTAAATATTTTAATTAGCTATTAATTTGTCCTTTTTTCTTGAGATTGACAGCTGACTGCACGATCCTGTATATATAGCATTAAGGCCAGAAACAATATATGCAGTGTTATATTTGTTTTAAATGTTGCAATGTTTTTGCGGCTCCCAGTTGTTGTTGTTTTTTCGGAAACGGGTCCAAGTGGCTCTTTTTGTCTTAAAGGTTGCAGACCCCTGGCATAGAGTGTCCAGATTGAGAGACAAATCACCAGCGTGAAGATTAGAGGATTCAGCAGTGTGAAACCCTTACTGTGTTTTGGATGAAAATATGGCTTCACAAACCTTCATCTTCATCATCTACCGAAGTAGAGGGACGGATTCTCTTCTGGTCTCCAGCTGAGGCAGCTTCAGGTGGCTCCTTTCTCTTCACCTGCAGAAAGGACAGAATTAACCAATTTTGGGAGATGTACTTGTTTTTAGATTTACAAGTGCTCCCCACTTCACAGCATACAAGAACCTTGCTCCCCAAAAATGACTACATGGGAGTGCCAATGTTTGCTTTCCTTTTTATGGTTGTGAACACATTTTTACTTCAGTTTGTAATTTAAAAGGCAACAGAACAATTAGACCAGTGTGAACATCAATATTGAAATTGTGTGGACATCAAAATTGCCATTGAAGCCAGTTCAAACATCTAAATACACAGAAGTGCAAACATGTGAATTAGGAAAGTTGGAATAAGACAGAAACCTTAAAGTCTTATCACCTCTTTTATTCAATCTGTTAAAAGATTTCTGATAAAGGTGATGTTCTTCCTTACAGATCTCTAACCACTTTCCATGTTTGCATGCTTTCTCTAAACAACACTCTCCCCCCTAACTTTTCCCCATCCCTCAAGTCTTCCAGTGTGCTCTCTAAAACCCACATGGGGATAGAGGCAACTGTTAATCCTTCTGCACCATCATAAATCAGCCAGTAATAGAACTGGTGGTGGTGTGAAGAGCCAATACTGGGTTATTAATCATTTCTGTAAGGTTAGAGAGCTAAAAGTACAGGCAGTTTATTGGGCAAAAAGTGTGCAACAGCTGAGACATTAAAACTGTGACTCAATTTTAACATTATTTACAGTTCTATAGGAAAGCAGGGTTCATATTATGATATTGAAGGCTGCTCTTACCTTGAAAGATGGCAACCGGATGGCCCCGCGTAACCCAATGCCCAAGCCAATCCCCTCGTAACCCAGCCCTTCTCCTTTGTTCCAGTTCTCCAGAAGACAAGATGTGATGCGGTCCTTTGGTTTTGGCTTCTCCTCATCTTTATGTTCTCCAGATTTTACTGGAGTAAGTGATGCCTATGCAAGACAAGTAGGATTAAAAAAGAGGACACTAACACACTGGTGCAGACGCTAAAAATTGGGTGCTTGAACAAAGCAGCAGCATCTACTCATACGAAAGCTCTAATTTCCCTGAACAAGTACAGACTTAAGGTGCTCAAATCCATCAATAGCACTTATGGAACATCTCTGCTTGACTTCCATTGGAAAAGTTCAGCCTGAACAAATTCTAGGGAGGAGGCAAACGTCAAAAACATCTGAAGGATGTGCCTACTTTCCCTACTGCAGAGAGTCCATCGATTAAACTGCAAACTCTCCACCTTGCCTGGCAGAAAACAACCTTAATTTGGCATGATCCTTTTGTGGTGCAAAAACCATGTAGGTTTTCTCATGTAGGCTGTAGCCTAATATCCACTATGGGTTTTAGGAATTTGCGAAGGTCAGGCAGTGCTAAGTACACTTTTGCCATTTGTAAAGACATGAACATACTCTAAGCCAGGCACAGGCAAACTCGGCCCTCCAGATGTTTTGGGACTACAGCTCCCATCATCCCTAGCTAACAGGACCAGTGGGAATTGTAGTCTCAAAACATCTGGAGGACCGAGATTGCCTATGCCTGCTCTAAGCCATGTCTGACGTCACACAGAAATCACACACAAACATACACAGAGAGCTGCCTCAAATGGAGTCATGCATCTAGCGCCATACTGCCTACTCCAAACACAGCTGACTCTCTAGTCTAGGGTTTCAGATAAAAGACTTTCACCCCCCCTACACTAGAGATCCCTTTAAAACAACAACAGCAATAACCTTGAGTTATAAGGAATCAGACCTGTGCTCTTATACATGCATGCATGCACTAAGCTTTATTATGACAGGTGTATGCCTTGCCATACACCTGTCATGTTACTTGTTTTATGTATGTCCAAGCCTGAACTGGAGGAAACACAGAAAGATGCAAAGAGGCAGGTGGTGCAAACTGTCTGTCATTGCAAAGCCACTGGAAAAGAGGGGTGAGATTTGATGGTTACCTTTGCCAGACGCTCTTTCTTGTCCCACCAGTCATCAAATGCCCTGAAGGCCACCACCTCCACCATCTTCCGGTTTAAATCCCTCTTCATTATTGCTTTAAGTTCCTTCACAATCACCAAGAGGACACCATCCACAGTGGCCTTATGCGGATCTTCCTTCTTGGGCTGGTAACCCGGAGGAGGAACCGAGGGGTCAAACTTGGGCAAAGGGGGCCACTGCTGTCCGCGGTTGATAGCTGCTCCCATGGAAAAGTGTCGGTAGGGAGGAAGGTTGACAAACTGCATCCGGTTCCCCATGAACGGGGGGTACTGGTAAGTGTTCTGCCCTTGCATCAAGCGGCTCAGCATTTGGGTTTGCATTTGAAAAGACATTGACATGCCTCCCCATTGGTTGCCCAAGACACTGATCATATCTACTTGCATGAGGGGAAACATCCCAGGATGGAACGGAGGAAGTGGAGGCAAGATATGAGGGGGAGGAACCCCAGGAGGCGCTGGAAGGGGGGGAGGAGGGACAGTGACTGCGGGGTGAGTTGGGGGAGGCGGGGGAGGGAGAGGCGGAGGAGGGGGCATTGGGAAGACCGGCTGGGGTGGGGGTGGGGGAGGCAGGGGAGGAAAACCATGGGGAGGCATAGGAATTGAGGGAGCCATCACAGCTGAGTTGCCAACAGAAGTATTCACCACAATGTTTTTGGCACATTCTGTGCTTGGAGATTGGTTCATTTCATCATCGGAGATCTCCATGTCTTCCCCTGAAGACTGATGACACTGTGAGGAAAAGAGAAACATATTCTGCTTAGTTTAGGATTACAGTCCCATTAGCACGACAAGTAAATAAAAATCGGGGAGGGGGAGTAACTTTGTCTCCTCAAGTCATGCGCATCCAAGACAACTTAGTATTTTCTTGGGAGACATTCAGTTCAACAAAACATGTAAAATCACATCCTATGAGGTGCTCAAACTGTCAGGGCTATTTGTATATTAAAACCTGAAGAACTTTACCACAAGGCCATCTTAATACTATTTGGACCTTTCCCCCTAACTATGAGCATTCCCAGTTCAAAATGTAGCACTAAAAGCAATCCAGAAATCTAATCTGGTTTTCATCAAGTATCCGCTGATCAATTTACTACCACCAGAGGGCAGTTGCTTCCAAAAAGCAAAGTTTACAGAAAGAAATGTGCTCTTTACCAGCCTGTGGCTAAATGAAAAAGAACATGGGTTTAAATCAGCAAAGGACAGCATATAATCACAAGAAACTCTCCTGTAACCCTTACCTATTCTTGATTCTGCTTAGGAACAACGCAGGAGTCATAGGAAGGTGAGAGAATATAAAACTGAATATGGAAAGAAGCCACACAGAGCTGTCAATGTAAGTTTCATCTTGGATGGAGAAGTCCCAAGATTTTGCCAGATTTTGCCCAAGGCTACCTAACAAGTTCAGGTTAAGAGATGCTCTCACTCAACTTCAGAAACCACCCTTTGCTGTTTCTCGCAGCAGTAGTCTATCACAGTCATGGCCAAACTTGGCCCTCCAGCTGTTTTGTGACTACAACTCCCATCCTCCCTAGCTAACAGGACCAGTGGTCAGGGATGATGGGAATTGTAGCCCCAAAAGATCTGGAGGGCCAAGTTTGGCCATGCCTGGTCTATCATGTCAGAGCAAAGTGCAATGAAGTTGGCATATTAGCCTGATGATTAAAATGATAAAATAGCAGTAAGAGAGGAGAAAAGGCACATTTGCAAAAAAAAAAAGGTGGGTTGCACATGTTTGTTGTTCAGTTCAACAAGCCCTTTAGTGAACATGCTGCAAACACTACTAGAATGGGCCTGTCCCTGGAGCAAGCACATGGCGCACAGAGCCCCACTGCCTCTCTTCCTTTTCATGGCAATGATAGTAGTGCCACCCCCTCCTTCTTGGCTTACTTTCTGCCACCAATTTAGCAGCAACAGTCTCTCTCACACATTTCAACCGGTGAGTTCCTCTGCTTCCACCCTCCCTGCCTTGCTCTAGCAAGAGAGGAGGTGGAAAGTCTCTTGGGTGAACAGAAAACGACAGGGCCACCAGTCATGGCTCTCAGTGCCAGGAGAGAGTGGGATGGTAGGACCCAAACCAACGGCTTCAAGTTACAGGAAAGGAGATCCCAACTCAACATCAGAAAGAACTTTCTAACAGTAAGTGCTGTTTGACAGTGGAACAGTCTCCTTTGGGAGGTGGTGGACTCTCCTTCCTTGGAGTTTTTAAGCAGAGGTTGGGTGGCCACCTGTCATAGGTGCTTCAGCCGAGATTCCTGAATTCCAGCGGGTTGGGCTAAATGACTGTCAGCATCCCTTCCAACTCTATGATTCTGTGAATATAGGGCTGGAGCAATCATTCCTATTTGCCCCCTCCAGGGATGGCCCTGGGTGAGAAGAAAGGCTCCGTCCATCTCTGCTGGAAAGTGGAACTTGAGGATAACTTGAATATAGGAAAAGAAAAAGCCTGGATAACATGCTCTGATACAGAGTGTGGGTCAATAAACAGGCAAAAGGCACACCTTCCTGACTTATTTTACTTATGCTATACTCTAGATTGGTTCATCTTTGCCTCTCTCTCTCCCTCACAAAAAGTTGTGTCTTTTTTGGCAAGATCATAATGTACCAGGTGAAGCCCAGTGCAAAACTGCTGGCCTCGGTCTATGATAATGCAACCCTTCCCATATAACACATGGCAGCCAAAGTCCACCCCACCTCTGTGGGCAGCTCAGAGTACCTTGGGGCATGGGAAGTGCACAGGAAATATTTTAACCAATATTTAAATATATGGGCATATTTGCCATTTGTATTCTGAAATAGGAAATAGGAATCACAGATGGGTTGAAGGCAAGTTGGGTGAATTAAAAGCTACCACCAAAACCTTATGAACTTTATGCAGAGGCAACATTGCAAAAGCCCCGTGTGGCTCCAATAGCTTCATGGCTGGCAACTGACCTGCATGCACAGAGGGGACAAGTTTTGCAATCCAAAATTTATTTTAAGCAATACATTAGAAATATGATGGGGAAATGGGAGAGGAAAAAGGAGTGGGGAAATATACCCAAAATCAAAAGAAAGCCAGCTGGAAGGAGGAGGCTGTCAATTAAGCAGAGTTCAATTAAAATAAAATTCAGAAGGATAAAAAGCTTGTTCAAGACAAGAGAAATCGTGGAGAGCAAGAAAGAACAAATGCAGAAAGCAGGGTGTAGCCAGGGAGGAAGAAAAACAGGGTCTAGGCAGAGAGTGAATGTAGAAGAAAAATGCTATGGCTTAGCTTTTTAAAATTGTTTTAACTGAAGATTAAACTTTCAGTTCATCAAGTCCTATTTTCATTATTTTACATAGTGTATGTGCCTAGTTTTGCCCCTGCAGAAAGGCCCCTGTAGTAGAGCATAACAGAGTGTTGGACTAGGACCTGGGAGACCAGGGTTCAGATCCCCACTCAGCCATAACTCACTGGGTGGCCTCTGGCCAGTCCCTGCCTCTCATCCTAACTTACCCCACAGGATTGTTGTGGGGATTAAAAGAGGAGGGGGAGAACCATGTGCACCACATTGAGCTCCTTGGGGAAAAGGTGGCTATAAATGCAATCCATCAATCCTGGTCCACAGGCATCCAGTGAGCTTCAGTACAAGGTGGGAGGCCAGAATGCAGGCCTCCCTCAAAGTCCAACAAGTCTCTCTGCAGCTTGCCCAAGCTGATGCCTTCCAGTTAATCCACAGATCCCACCATCCCTGCCCACTGGGCCATGCTGCCCGAGCCTCATGAGAGTTGTAGGCCCAAACATGTGGAGGGTGGCAGGTTGGGGGAGCCTGCATTACATTATCCAGATATCAAATATATTTTGGCATAGTACCAATTGGTGAATTATGGTGCTGGAGGAGACTCTTGAGAGTCCCAAGGACTGCAAGAAGATCAAACCTCTCCATTCTGAAGGAAATCAGCTCTGAGTGCTCACTGGAAGGACAGATCGTGAAGCTGAGGCTCCAGTACTTTGGCCACCTCATGAGAAGAGAAGACTCCCTGGAAAAGACCCTGATGTTGGGAAAGATGGAGGGCATAAGGAGAAGGGGACAACAGAGGACGAGATGGTTGGACAGTGTTAAAGAAGCTACCAACATGAGTTTGACTAAACTGCGGGAGGCAGTGGAAGACAGGAGTGCCTGGCGTGCTCTGGTCCAGAGGGTCACGAAGAGTCGGACACGACTAAACAACTAAAAAACAACCACCACCAATTTGAACCATGCAGCAAGAAAACAAAGAAGACCAGCAGCTCCTTCCAGAGTAGATGTTGCATCGAATATCTGTTGTTTATTCTCCAAGAAGCAGCCAGACAGTGTGTCCCCTCCGTCTAGGGTTGTTTTCACCAGTGCTCTGAAGCACACCGGCCCTCTTGAGCCAAAGCACATGGTTTGCAACTGCCACCTGCCATCCACCTACAGGGCTGGGCTGCTACTGCTCACCCCAGTCCAAACGCTTGTTAAAATACAATACTACACCTTGCTGGAAGGAAAGAAAACTGAACAACAAAAGGCCTCGTTTACAGTGCTTTATTAAACTCTCACGAGAGGAAATTTAAACTGAGCTTTCCAGACGCAGAGGGGTGGAGGGAGATATTCCCCTGAAAACTGCAACACACTCCCAAGACTACTGGCTTGTAAAGAAATGCCACCGTGCTGGTGTTTGTGCCGCACAATGCGGCGGGCTCAGGTGCAGCTTCCTAATTAGTTATCGCCTCTTACCAAGAGAAATTGGTAAAAGGGGCAAGTGAGAAAATGGGGCCGGTGGGGCGGGGAGCAGGGAGAGAACCAGTTGATCACAGCGGGGAACTTGCAGAGAGAGCAAAGCCACTCGCCTCTCTCTAAAGGGGGAATTTCCAAGGGATGCAAAATGCCCCTTGTTCGTAAACAACAACTTTGTTTTGCACCAGAGGCTCGAGCAAGAGACAGACTTTTAAGACTCTGGTTTGTGGTCCATGCCCTTCTTACACCTGTTGTTCTGGAGAGGAGATATCCACACTCCTGGGGATGACAAAGCCCTTCTTGAGGGATAAAGAAGAGGGAGGTGCTCTAATTTTGGCCATGGGCCATCCTCCTTTGCTCTAACGTAAGAGAATTAACTGGCACCTTGACAATGCTACGTGGATACCCAGGGACTGCACATAAAGACCAGAGAGCACGAATGGGGCATTCAGAGCAGCTAACCAAAGGAAATGCAAAAGCACCAGAATTGCCTTGCTGGGGCAGACCTTGTTTAACAAAGATGGCTCTGTCACATTCCTGCCCCCCCCTCCGGGGAAGGAAGGCAACCCCCCCCCCAGCTGCTTGTTTCTCAGCAACTGGTCTTCAGAGGTACTCAGCACCTCTGTCGGATTTTGCTCTTCTTCAAATCTGTTTTTGATTTTTAAAAACTTTCTAAGGGTTGCAATATTTCTTTTTAAGAAAGTAAGACAAAGCATACACAGACCCTCCCATTGCTTCTGAAAGGGATCCAACAGGCTCCAAGTCAAAAGGGCAGAATTTTAAAATGAGCCATCTCATTTGCAGAACAACTTCCACCAGACATAGGCTTGCCATTCATCAGGAAAATTCCTGACGTGTTCTGGTTTTCAGGTGTAAAAATGGGGGGGGGGGAATGTGGCAAAATGTCATGGAAAACCTGGGTGTATGGCAACGAACAATTCTGGTGGTTTCCTTGAAAAAGCTCAGCAACTTTGCGGGTGTCAGGAAAAGCAGACAGCATTTCATTAAGTT